TGATGGAGCTTGTCGTGGTAAGACGAAGTTGACGGTGCGGGGCAGAGCCGCGGTTGTTTGAGCTGAACTCGATCTAAAGTAGGGACGATAGTGTACGTCAGGTGTCGTTCAAAGGACGGTCGGTGGTATGAAGTAGGGTAGGGTGGGAAAGGAAGAGGCAGCGAGGGGGTGGATTGGACGCAACGGAAGCTCTCCGTGCAAAATGTTGAGGTAAGGTGATGTGAGGTAAGGTAGGACAGCTATGTGACGGCAGAGCCAAGTACCTGAGCTAGATGGTGATTTCACGCCTTTCCTAACGTAGGTCGGTAGGGGTCTGGAGCTAAGCAAGGAATGCGCAGATTGGGACCAATCTCTTCAGGAATTGGACAAGTCTGGGGTTCTCGATCAAGCGTTGGGTTCGGTGTAGAAGAGTCCGGTCATCGATGTCGAGTAGGGAAATGCAAGGGAGAAGAAAAAAAGGCAAAGGTGATTTAATTGCTTTCTTGGGCGGACGTCAGTGACAGTGTGTTTGGATTGCCTGATAGTTCCCCCGCACTGCCGGGATAAGCTTGGGATGGGTTTAACCTTCCAAATCACAGGACGAAGAGGGAAGGGAGATCTCAAGGTATATGAGTTGGCCCTGTGTGTGGTATGACGTCGTGGGGCAACGCAGCTCGCATTTCACAAGAGCAGCCCGGTCAGTACCCGTACCTAACTAAGGTACCCCATGCCTCTCGATAGGAGGAAACAACCACGGCACAATGGTCCAGGCGTTTCTCTAATAATGGTTGGTCTGGCGCGATCAATTCAACGAGAATTGCTGCTTCGTCGGGAGTGGTAGGGCGCTAACGCAAGGTAGGAACGAGAAAAATTATGCTGCCGCCACGCGAAACCCCTCTCTGGGGACACTTGTATACGTACGTCTCAACAACAAAAATTCACCAGCCGAGTCCAAACAAATAGACGGCTGACCAAGGCGCCGTGCAGTCGATTGGACTCATCGCCACCTCCGGCAGGGGTGGTTGGCCCCCAGCACACCCACAGCGCACATCCAAAGCAAAATGGGACGCTGAAGGTCGAGGCACATTTAGCGGCTGAAACTCCGCGTTGGTAAGGTACTCAAAATTTACTCGGCAACCCCGTCTTCTCACTTGATGAACTGATGGAGGCGTTGCAAGCCTGTTTGCCGGTTTTCACACCTTGCTCCTTCGAGGCGAGAAAAAGAGGGTAACTTCGATAGGTAATACCCTCCAGTGACCACTAAGGAGAGGATTAAGGAACAGGGGAGACGAGTACGAGTTATCAACATCAGCATTAGTGGGACCGATATTTCGTTATCATCGCCAAATGCCATCACTAATACGCCGTGGGTCCTGTGAGAATTGCATGCCAAACGCACAGTGGTGGAGCTTTTCTGCCAACATGAACTCTGGGGGCGGGCTGGAGGCGCAACTTGGTAGTCTCGAGTGAATCATGCCAGATGCAGCAATTATCCAACGCGTTCCTCCACAATTCTGCCAAATGAGCTGGCAACCTACACGGCCCAAAGTCCAAGAAAAACAATACGCTGGAGTAAAGTAGGCCGACGTTGGCTATCACGGTCCGCATTAGGAAACCGTTACAGGCGGCGGTGGCGGCGGTTTCCAGGCTGCCAAAAAGGCCTTTCAAGCAGATTCTGTTCAGCAGCGGTCCCAGCTACGGTTGTGTGATGCGCCGCCTCGTTTCCCAGCTTCAACGGGAAGCCATAACATCCTTTGAGTGCCTATTATCGACAGCTTTTGGACAGATACGATGTGCAGCCCAGATTTGGATGAGGACATGGGCTAAGGTACGTGCGCACGAACAGCTCGTCGAATATGTCCGATCCGGCTTCATTACATACCACTCCAGAACGGGTCAGAGCCTCAGATATGCCAGTGACCGCGGCCGGGGTATATCAGGCTAACGCAAGCTTCAATGCTATGGGAATTGACTTTGGGAAGTCGAGCAATCTAGAAACGGCTCTCGAAGGACGAGCTCGATAAGAGCTGGTAGCTTTCCCCAATGTTAGCCGCTCCTAAGCGCTGTTGTGCTGGAGCTCCAGCTCCTCAACCCCGCATCCGGGCCACATGAACGCCGACAGCTCTGAGCAAGGTCCCTTATCCGGCTTATCTATCAGACCAGCCACACGCTCACGACATCCCCTCCGGTCACCGGACTCCCCGTCATCACCATCAACAAGTCCCGAATACCAAGGTACAGTCCGAGACCGACGGGCTAGAATCACGCCGACATTTAGGTTATGGTCCCTTGACTGGGCACCCGGAACAATGGCTCTATCCTCGCGGCCACAGGCCTACACATGCGCCCGATGCTTGCTCCTCTCAAGCGCCAAGCGTACCTTCTCCGCCTCCTCCGCTGCTCGAACCGCACCGAGACGTACGCAGGACTTCAACTCTGGCTTCACGAGCAGCTATGATCCGACTAGTGATACTGGGCGCGGGCCCATGTTCAACAAGAACAGCTTCGGAGTTCCGCAGTTTTATCCCCGAGATCTGAAGAAGCGCGTAGACGACTATGTCGTAGGGCAAGACCGAGCGAAGAAGACGATCTGCTCCACAATCTTCAACCATTATCAAGGGGTACGGCGGAGACGGTATCAGGAACATGAGGAGAAGCTCCAGAGGGAAAAGGCTGAGAGGCAGCGATATGCCCGAGACAGAGACGTTCTTGAGAGGCGTGATGTCCATCCTGTTCAAGGTCAGCGAGGTCGTCAATCTGTCTTCCAGCGCTTTCCAGCTGATGACGAGTGGCCCCAAGATGAGTTTCCTGGCCATGCTGAATCTACAAAACACCTGGACGAGGGCTATGAGTCGTCCTCCGATTTCGACGGGTCCTACCTTGCCGAAGAACCTGCAAACCCCCCTCCTGTCAAGATTGACAAAAGTAACCTGCTGCTCATTGGCCCTACTGGTGTCGGAAAGACGTACATACTAGAGTAAGCTTGGTTTGATTGCCCTCAAGGTCTGCCAGAAATCTAACATGGGATAGGACTCTTAGCAAGAAGCTCAACGTACCGTTTACGATATCCGATTGCAATGGCTTCACCCAGGCCGGTTATATCGGGCAGGATGTCGAGACATGCGTAGAAAGACTATTGATCGAATCGAATTACGACATCAAAGCTACAGAGCAGGGAATCATCGTTCTGGACGAATTTGATAAGCTGGCGAAGCGGGAGAGCATGAACGGTCGCGACGTCGGTGGAGAAGGCGTTCAGCAAGCTTTGCTCAAGCTCGTTGAGGGCTCCAAAGTTACCATCAACGTCAAGGACAACCGCTCATCACGATCGACACCGCCTATCACAACCAACTACACCTCTTCGAACTCATTGTCAGCCCCTCAATCTACCCCACCCCAGGGAAAGGTTGATCAGTACACGATCGACACTACAAACATTCTGTTTGTTTTCTGTGGCGCTTTTGTTGGTCTCGACAAGTTTATTGTACGGAGAGTATCGAAGCCTTCCATGGGCTTCGGCTCGGATTTGAAAGGGAAACATGGCCTCGCTGGCAATCAGCACGACTTGCCGCGCCAATCGTTCTCGCATCTGCCTCATGTTGACCCCGAGGCGCCAGCATCAGCATACACTCCCTTAGACCTCACAACACCGGTGGATCTACAGGCGTTTGGGTTCATCCCCGAATTGATTGGCCGAGTACACAATATCTGTGCACTTAGTCCTCTGTCTTTGAACGATCTCTACAGGGTTTTGACAGAGCCACGCAACTCTCTTGTTGCACAATATACTGCTCTGTTTGAAACATACCCTTCCAAATTACACTTTACTCAGAAGGCATTATACGCAATTGCCGAACGAGCTGCGAAGGCCGAGACTGGAGCCCGAGGCCTCAAGATGGAGATGGAAAGAGTTTTGGCAGAACCAATTTTCGACGCGCCGATGTCGTATGTCTTAATCACCGAAGGGTGTGTAAAGGGCACCGAGAAAGCTGGATACTGGGGCAAGGACGGCCGCATGGAACTAGAGCGGCGGATGGCCGAAGAGGACTCTGAACCTGGCTCGCCAGGAGGTGATATCACCTTTGAGCAGTATCGCGAGGCTGGCCAAAGTGGCGCATGAGCGTTGTCGCTGGCAACTAACAACCATACCTTTTGACATATGTCCGTTGCCATGGAGTACTGCAGTAGGCTAGGTGGCAAGTTGAATCAATGACGCACACAGGAATGGATATACTCACGCCCGATCAATACTACTCTTTGAACGTATAATGCTTCTGCAGGTCTCAAAAAATGAAAATTCATCGCTGCAACATGATTTGTAGGTAGATGCTTAAGTCCTTGGGTGAAACTTCTCGAGCGGAGTTGGTTGTCAATTAGGTATTATTAGAGACTCAATGCAGGCTTGATGTGGTCGGCGGAGACACCTCGGCTCGGACGGACATGGCGATGGTCGGCGGGGAGGAAGGGATTGAGGCGTGCTACCTAGGGGCAAGCTGGCACCTGGGGGCGAAGGCTCTCATCACCCGGGGGATCGGGGACACGTAGGCATTGCGAGCCCACAATGGAGTCCTTTCTCTTCTTCAGTGCCTGGAAAGCCTGGGAAAGGCAACAAGGCCCCAACATTTGCAAGATTCACCCGCAGTCCCCACGCCGAGTGGAATCCTTCAATTCCAGGTTGTACGGCCAAGTTTGACAGCTTCGAGCGGAATCGAGCCAGGCCAAAAAAAAAAAAAAAAGTTTCCGTCATTTCCTGAGGGCGAAGCTCCCAGACTGGGTGCTCCAATTGAACCCGAGCGTGGACCCGGTGTATCCCGGAGAGAGGAGCTCAGCCGAATTGAGACTAGCGCAGCGAGGTAATTTTTTCCTACTCGATATCCGGTCACGTGATGTCCCCGAGCAAAGCTCTAACCGACGAAGCGTACATCCCGAGCAAAACTGCTCACTTCCTCCTAAGTCCTCCTCCAACTTTCAACCATCACCTCTCCACTCCCATCCGAAGTCGCCCTTAATCATCTGTGAAGATGTTCAAGAGGTTGGTACCAACTACCTGATCGAATTTTTGAACCGTCTCGCGTTCAATTGGCCCCAATTGAGCTAACCGGTCCTTCGCAGCGGCATTTCCTCCTTCGCCCGGGCGGCTCGCCCTTCCTTTGCGGCGAACGCTTCCCGTCGCGCTATCAGACCTTCCACCTTCAGATTCCCTGCCTCCAGCAGATTTGCCAGCACTGCCGGTGTTGGTGATGGAAAGATCTACCAGGTGAGTGATGCCTTGCTCATCCCTTCCGCTAACCCGAGGGCGATATCGGTTACTGACAACAAACCAACAGGTTATTGGTGCCGTTGTCGACGGTTCGTATTCACCGAAGTAACCCCTTCAAAGGGGTTCGATCATCACGAACCCATCAATACTGACACGTAGATACAGTCAAGTTCGACACCGCCAAGCTCCCTCCCATTCTCAACGCCCTCGAGACGACAAACAACGACCAGAAGCTGGTTCTTGAGGTCGCGGTACGTACCCCGGCGGCTGGGAAAATATTCACTGCAAAACAGCAAAAGTCGAGTTTCATCTGACACGTCAGTACAGCAACACTTGGGTGAGAATGTCGTCCGCTGCATTGCCATGGACGGTTAGTATCCCCCCCTGAAAAGTTTTCTTGCGCTCGTACTCACAATCCCCCTAGGTACCGAAGGTCTCGTCCGTGGCCGTCCTGCCACCGACACTGGTGCCCCCATCACCATTCCCGTCGGTCCCGCGACTCTTGGCCGTATCATTAACGTCACTGGTGACCCCATTGACGAGCGTGGCCCCATCAAGACCGAGAAGCGCCTCCCCATTCACACCGAGCCCCCTCTGTTCATCGACCAGTCCACCACCGCCGAGGTTCTCGTCACTGGTATCAAGGTCGTCGATCTCCTCGCTCCCTACGCTCGTGGTGGAAAGATTGGTCTTTTCGGTGGTGCCGGTGTCGGCAAGACCGTCTTCATTCAGGAGTTGATCAACAACATCGCCAAGGCCCACGGTGGTTACTCCGTCTTCACTGGTGTCGGTGAGCGTACCCGTGAGGGTAACGATCTGTATCACGAGATGCAGGAGACTTCCGTCATTCAGCTTGACGGCGAGTCCAAGGTCGCCCTGGTGTTCGGTCAGATGAACGAGCCCCCAGGTGCCCGTGCCCGTGTTGCCCTGACTGGTCTTACCATTGCCGAGTACTTCCGTGACGAGGAGGGACAGGATGGTGAGTTGAGAATTCGCCAACCTAAATGATGAATTCCGTGGCTAACAAAATTCCAGTGTTGCTCTTCATTGACAACATTTTCCGTTTCACCCAGGCCGGTTCCGAGGTGTCCGCCCTTCTGGGTCGTATCCCCTCTGCCGTCGGTTACCAGCCCACCCTCGCCATCGACATGGGTGGTATGCAGGAGCGTATTACCACCACCAAGAAGGGTTCCATTACTTCAGTCCAGGCCGTCTACGTCCCTGCTGACGATTTGACTGATCCCGCCCCCGCCACCACCTTCGCTCACTTGGACGCCACCACCGTCTTGTCCCGTGGTATCTCCGAGTTGGGTATCTACCCCGCTGTCGACCCTCTTGACTCCAAGTCTCGTATGCTGGACCCCCGTATTGTCGGCCAGGACCACTACGACACCGCCACCCGCGTCCAGCAGATTCTCCAGGAGTACAAGTCCCTCCAGGATATCATTGCCATTCTGGGTATGGACGAACTTTCCGAGGCTGACAAGCTCACCGTCGAGCGTGCCCGTAAGATCCAGCGTTTCCTGTCCCAGCCCTTCACCGTTGCCCAGGTTTTCACTGGTATCGAGGGTAAGCTGGTCGACCTGAAGGAGACCATTGCCTCCTTCAAGGCCATTCTTTCTGGTGAGGGTGACAACCTTCCCGAAGGTGCCTTCTACATGGTCGGTGACTTCGCCTCGGCCAAGGAGAAGGGTGAGAAGATTCTGGCGGAGTTGGAGAAGAACTAAACGATTCGCGACGAAAATACCAGATGACGTCGAGGATTGGGGCGATAAGCCTGTGTATAGAAGAGGAACGATGGAACGGGGAGGTTTCTTAGCTCAATCCAAGTCTCTTTTGTGAGCTGTGTACCAAGAAATCTACTTAATTCCTCTTGTAGTTGAGAGAATCTCCTTATTTCTTCAGCCGTTTTCCCCCCATGCCAGTGACATGCCATGCTCTCCAAGAAGTGATATTCTACTGGTGGTTGTAGCTCATGTCGTTTGTTGCGGCGAATGGCTGGCGCGTCGATCTTGGGACAGGTTTGTTAATGATTTTCTGGCACGGAACTGACAACATCCTCTGCCCGAAAGTGCTCACTAAAACCACGATACATTCTCATCATTTGGCCAACAAAAGTTGACGCAGCTGCTTTGATGGCTTCGCCATGACTTATAATGATCGAATTATGAAGTTGATCTGTCGGAAGTCACAGACAAGGTTCGGTCAGTCAGTCAACCTTACCGGACACCGTCATGAAGTCATATACAATGTGCCGTGGATTTCCCGCTGGCTTTACCGTGCACGATTACCTTGCTGTTTTCTTAGTGAGATGTTTTCAAGCCTGACGCGTTCCTCAACGTCTTTGCTGCACTTTTCGGTAACAATTTTACGTCTACAACGACTGCCTTCTAGCCCCCATCTCGAAAAGACTGGGTCGACGAGAATGACTGATAGTACAGTACTGTGTACGCGAACAGTCGCGTTTTCCGCAAGTCTCGAATCTAGACATGGGGGAATACGTTGGAACTCTGACTCCAACGAGTCTGGGTTGAACCTGTTGATGCGCTGTGCCAGCCACTTGGCAGGAGTTCCTCACGCCTGGTCCCAAAGGCGTCGAACAAGCACGAGAGGTCGTTTTCCCTTATAAGAGATAGTGCTCCGCGGGTTCGTGTATCCGTGGCGTTTGATCCGGGGGGTAGAAATACACGTAAAGAAACACGAGAGAGCCAGGGCCGTGGCACAAGTATACATTTATAGGTAATCGGTGGTTGGATACACCTTAGCGCTGCACGGCGATTAGAGCGAGTCTTGGAATCACTTGAAGAAGAGGAAATGAACTACGAATATCTACAAGAGCCTAGAGACTCTTATAATTCCTCTTGGCCGGTTGCTGGGCTTGAGCTGGAGGTTCAGCTTCTACCTTAACAGCAAGTTTCAGGGATTAACTGGCCGACGACGATCGGCCTTAGCACCTGCCTCGTCAAAGCAAGCAAGTGACGAGTGCCGGTGGATGTTCCTGTTTGGAAGCCTTCAGAGGCCATTGACGACGATATAAAGCTATCACAGCGAGAAGTAGATGTCGATATGACATTATCCTGTTGCGCTTGCAGACCAGATCGACGTGCCATTGCTTCCTCACAGAGTGGAGGGAAGAACTGCAGGGCTTATGGTCACCGAAAACCTTGGAGGACAGACGCCATTCCGTACTAAGAGAAGCCCCCCTCAGCATATGGTGGTTTGCGTCCAATACTATCAAGTAGCTACACTTGATTGCTGCTTTGTACCTATGATTCTTCCTTTGTGCAGTGCTCAAGCCCGAGTCTTTCTTTCCCAGCTTGTGTACTCAAAATTCTCGTGCGTAAAGCGCTCAACTTGCAGATGATGTATCAGATACTGCTTTCTGTGTACGCGGGCGTCTGACACCCAGAGTAAAATCTATGGCAGCCATATATCGAAGCAAAGGCAACGTCACATTGTTGTTATCTATGAAGTATTAAAAAAAACAGGCACACGTAAGCCCTAGACCTATTATCAACTATCGAAGGGCTTAAAAGTAACGCGTAGCCAGGTAGTTCGAGTCCGTACCGTCAAATATAAGTATGGATGCTGGAGGAACGGGGACAAAAAAGGCCAGGCGAGTTGCATCTAGCCAGTCCAGAAAGCACACAGGGACCATAGGCTGTTTGAAATATTATCTAACACCTGCCGCTCGTGATTAACTATCGTCTGCGGCCTGTTCTCCTTTATGGCCAATTCTCGTCCGTAGTGTACCTTTGTTTGCAGCATATTTGCGTGCGGACATGTCACATGTGGTCAAGTGAGACTAGCAGCAGAGAGACAAGAGCTCTTATTATGCATGATGGCCAAAGCCGAAAAGCCCAGTACGTGTTTTCGATGGGCCACTCAGTTCTTGCTTAGAACCCAGAGCACAAGAGGCATCAATCCATGACTCTGACGAACAGCGACCTATGCCCTGCTCTAAATGCACCTTGCGGCGGTCGGTTGGTCTGTAAGAGAAGATCGGTGGCGGTGTTCTTTTTTCTAGTGAGCCTTTGTTTAGGTGAATGTGAGCGAAGGGCAATTCGTTTTCCTTGTATTTGCTAATGTTGGCTGTACACCTTTTTTCTCTCGCAGCCAAGCCGTAGAATGTTTCGTCACTTTACCCACCTAGCTTGGAGGTGGTCCTGAAAGAGTCTTTGACCAAAGGAAAGAGAGAACTGCAGAGTAGGTGTTCGAAGGCAACGATCGACCAGGATCTTATCTAAACTATATAGGGGCCAATCCATCTACACGAGTCTGAGACCCTATCTCTTTCTTGCTGTCATTCTTTCCACGCTTACTGAGATGATGCCACAACTGGAAGAGTCTGGGGATCTCAGCATTGGCCGACTATGGAGCTGTGACCCATGTGTATTTGATGCTTCGGCGAGGCATTTACGTGGCAGAGGAGCATATCAAAAACGCCATATCTTGATTCGGACTGTAGCGTTCCACGATGCAAGATCGGATCAGTGGAAAGCAAATATTCGGCCCAGGAAGAGTGGTGGTCGTAATAGTAATGTTACCCTCACAAGTACTAGTAATTTGTCTTGATGGCAAGGCAGAGCTGAATGATGCTTTCCACTCACTCATTTAGGCATGGAAGCTATTACTTTTTGCTCTTGATAGGAACCTACTAGTTTAACTTTTGCTTCCTCGGCTGCCACGTTCAGATCAGTGGAACAGGTACCTCTAGCATCAGCAGGAATGAGTGGTCTATCTAATCTGCTAGGTCACCTTTGAGCTATTATCGTATGAACTTCATCCCAACTGATTAGGGAAGCCTTGCCCCCTCCCTTCAGCCTCCATTTCACACGCTTTAGATACACCTATTGACGTACATACAAGTCGATCAGGTCAAGCTTCCATCTTCACGTATTTCAACCTACATCTACAGCTAGCTGAACCTGCTTAAAACCAGTGGGATCATACCCCCCGGACCACCACCGTCTAGCATTTGACGATGCCTGGTCGCGGTACTTGGTGGCAATGTCTAAAGTTGCAAAGTAAGTTCCCAAGTCCAACCGTCACGGTAGGCCAACAGCCTGTCTTGAGATTGGAGGCTCTAGCAGCCCAAAACTGGTCATTTCCCCTCCCGAGCTTCGGAGAAGTCTCCTCTTTTGCCTTAATCATCTTGTTTCTTTCTGGGGTTGGGAGACGTCTCAACTACATAAAAGTGCAGGAGTTGCGGAAGCTTGGGTATGGCATTCAACATCTTCTAACAATAAACCTTTGGAATGAGACCTTATGCCATCGGTGATAGGAAAGATGTTGAAGATTCTTTATGCACCAAGAGAACCGTGTTCATTAATGTGGCCTGCTGCCACCGACCATCCTAAGAATGGATTGTATGGGTATCTGTCGCAAGAACAACCTTCCAGTCCCGTGCAGTCGCACGCCCACGGAACCTCCATAGAGCAACCCCTTTTTGTCACCCTTGTGATGCCTATTACCCAAAAGCAAGATCATCCATATTATATCTCCTTTCATCAAAATCATTATCCTTCGTAGAGAAGCCTGCGGAATGGCAATGTCCTCCCCCTTACGCGCCATTGTTACCTCCATTGGCGGATGCAGTCGAGGCAGTATGGTGATGCCCAAGACCCAGGACTCTTTGAAGGCTCTTTCTAATGCCCTTCCCGGTGCTGTCGTCCTGAGCCTCGGCTGCCTTCTCGCCCCTACCCAAGAAACCGAAGCTCATCCTACGAGTGGGATTCGGGCCCTGTCCGTCCGCCACTGACTTCTTCCGCCGTCTTACGGCTACAATACCGGGCTCGGCGGCTGAGGGCTTCGGTGGCCACTCGCCATCCCGCTTCCAGCCAACCACGCACGCCCGAATCATGTCCGACAAGTTGACGGGACATGAAGGTGTAAGCGCATGCACTATCACCTTCTCGTATAGGGAGATGTATACGGAGGGGGTAATGGATGCGCGCATTGGGTTACCTGGCGGCAGAAGTGGCGCAGGGATAGGAACAAGCGTCTCGACGGGGTATGTCGTCGATGTGGGAGATGCCGTCGACTTTTGAGACTCCTTGGACTTTTGCGCTGTGAGCTCCTTGGACGGAGCTTTCGAAAGCTCAGAACCGTCTGATACAGCGGCCGAGGCTTCATTACTCACTCGCTGCTGCAGAGAGTGCGCAGGCGATGCTGGAGAGGCAGGAGCGGGTTGGGGATGGGAAAATGAAGAGCGGAAGAAGAGGCGGCGTGGTGAGAGAGGGGAGAATGTCTGCGTAGGAGAGACGGGCTTGGTGCGAACGCGTACCGTCCTTGCGCCTGTCCAGGCATTACGCCTTGCCTCGAAGCAAGCCAGTCCTTCATTCCATTCCATCTCCTCCCGCAGCGCTCGCCTTCTCCGCGCACGCTTGTCTGCTATAGATGCCTTCACCGTCGCCCCGATTGCGTCAGGGCTGTCGAAGCGGAATGGAGAGAGAGACAGGGGAGGGTCCTCGTCGGACAGGTCAGACACCCATTCTAGGCGAGGCTTGAAATGCGCCGCGTCTTCTGAGACGGTGCTGTACACGGATTCGGCGTCGCTGTCTTCCTCCTCTTCTTCTTCGCTGCCTATGGTGTCGATTGCCTCATCATTTGAGGTTGCAGTAGCTTCGACCTTTGGTTCTGGGGATTCTTGTTGCGGTTTCTCGGCGGTTTCTTGTTCGGGTGTAGCACTCATATCAGGTGCAGCATCGCCGTTTTGGGGCGGGGATACGACTGGTGGCCAGACGAATTCCCAATCGTTGCGAATCTTGGCGGTCAAGTACTTCTTGACAGCTGCCTTTTGCTTTTCTTTGTCCTTGCTAAGCAATTCAGGATCGTACTCGGGTAAGTCCAAGGCCAGAGGCTGCTGTGACATGGACAGGCGGAACTTGGCCAGCGGTGAGCGTGGGGACTTGTACATGTCTGAGAAGAGCATCTTGGAATTCGAGGAGGAGGGGTGTGGATCTGTCTTTGACGGGGGGTTGGCCGAAGGTGCAGCTGACGACGAAGGAGAAATAGGAGGCATGGGAGGCGCGTCGAGGGAGGAGAAATCGGGTGCCGTCCGCTTTATAAGACGGGCAAGTGAAGCTTCGGGCAGGGTTGCCGTAGGCGTAGAAGCTAATGCTGGCGTAGCAGCGGTAGCGGTAGCCGTCTCCGTTGCAGTCGCTTGCGGGGTGGGTTGGTGAATGTGATGGAGCTGGAGCGCGCCGATGTCTGGATCTGGGACTGGGACTGGGGTGGTGGTCGCGGCCGCGGGTGGTCTGATGTTGGTTTCCCAGGGGGCTGAACTGTCAGTTATATCAATCCTGTCATGTATATGGCCTGTACTCTGTTTTGGGTTTGTGCAACACTACACCCATCAGTCATGCAATATGCACCGATTCCAGGGTGTTGTGAACAAAATGAAAACGGGGCAGAGGAAGGAGGAGGGTCGTAAAGTGTGGGCCACTCTTTGGCATCGTGTATGTAGTAGGTAAGTATTGGGGTGCAATGTCGGCGGGTAAGCCAAAGCGGTCCAGAACCTTGCCCCGTCTATTCCATTTCTGTCTGTCTTGGGGGAAGGAGGCGCATGGGAGAGATATATAAAAAGGTGGAGGATGGACAAGTGAACAAACGCCAGGCTATACCAGGCTCGGACTTGATGCCTGTAGTGCGTGTAGCGCGTGTGAAAGAGAAGGTCAGGGAGAGGAGACAGAAGGTGCCAGGACCATCTCGGCTTAGCGTCCTGTCTCTGGCTCACTCACCTTGATCTGAAGGAGGAGGAGCGGTGACCTCGTCGCCGCAGCCGCGGGGAGCAGAAGAAGAAGAAGAATAAGAAGCAGCAGCAGCAGAAGAATCAGAAGCAGACGCAGATGCTGATGCAGACGTAGGGTGGTGTCGTTGGCTAGGCATGGATGTAGCAATGGATGGCGCCTCAGCGTGCGAAGAAGGTAACGCCATGGTTTATGAAAGAGCGGGATCGACCAGGACTGCTGTGCGAGACGAGGAGGGAGGGGAGCAGGGCGTCCAGGGTCCAACAAGGCATGAAGTTCGTTCGCGCAAGCAAAAAGTCAGAAGGTGGATGCAAAAAGGCAATTCTGACTCTATTTCTTGCGACTTACGCTAACTGGAAAGCTCTCGCCAGGACCATTTTTTCCCACCTTCTCAAAGGGTTGAAGGGGGAAAAAAAAAAAAAAAAAAAGGGTGGACAGGGATCCATCCATCAGGCTTCAATGTCACTAGGTAGTCGGGAAGTGCCCTCGGCGGTTGGCAGTTGCGCCTGAGCTTGTGCCTGTCAGCAAGTGCCACCTCAGCAAAGATGTATCCAATATTGTAAAAAGGCACCTTTCGTCGGGAAGTTTGGTAAGGTGCTTGCCGACCTGCCTGTCTGCTTGCCTGAGCAGCACTGGAAACTCATTCATGTCCTGCTCTTCGCTATAACTTACCTAAAGGTCAATACCGAAAGGAGAGGCAGGCTTTGCGCTTACGATGGGAAGGAAAGTGGGGAGACGTGGGAGAAGGCCTTGGTGTGACTGTCCACGCGACATGGCTCTGCAAAGTTTGCTCTCCCAGAGTAACATCGCCATCGGCATCGGATCCGAGCTCACCTTCAAGCTTCACATCACAGTAAGACAGAACCCTCGGAAAATCTCAATGGTCACCTGCCCCGGTCTGACAAACCTGGCTTCTGCGGATACGCATCGCGACGACTTTTCGGTAGCGCGTCCCTTTCCTGATTTCGAGAAAAGCGTACTTTGGTGCTTTGGGCCGTCTCCGAACCAGAAGACTGTCATTGGCTTGACAAAGCAGAGGGACGGACGACGTACGACGTCCTCCTCGCCCAAGGCAGTTTCTGGCGAGCTGCAGCGTGCCATGAGTTTGCTTGATTGCTTGATATCTTGGTAGGCTTGCCTGCGGTTTGCTGGCTGGCTCGTCGCTTGTTTCTCCTGCTCGACTTCGCTCCTGTCACCGACCAGTCAGGTAGGTCTCATCCCCGTCCCGGCTTCTTGCAGGTGCAGATCCGGGGTGTGGTTGGCTCCCTGGGCAAAAGAACATGCCCCGGGTCGCGGAATGCTGCGGAATGCTGCAGGCCACCTCCAAGTCATTATTTGTACTGCGTACAAAACAATCTGCCGAGGTACTGCCCATGGATGAATAGTGAACCGGCCATCCATGAAGTAGTCCGTACTGCTGAAGGGAAGTGGTGTAAGCTTGCTGAACCAACCCCATGAATCATGACGTGAAGCATTTCCAATCCCCCAAAGTCTTTCAACCGGAGCCTCAGACAATCTACATCCCCCCCCTCCCCCTTCTTCCCCAGGTCCGCTTCATTGTGCCCCTTCTGAGTGCCTTGAACCCATGCGCCGGCATCGTGCCACTCGAACATATTAGCAGTAACCCTCGGGGATGATTGTATCAATTCAAACAGCAACAATTTTCATGCATCCACATCCTCCAACGTCCGTCTACCGAGAGGAGGTAAGTAAGCTTTCCCCAAGATTACTTGCTGGCTTAGTGCCTACTTACCTACCAACCTATCCATGTCAACACCCGACGTGCCGACCAACCCTCGGTCTACATGATGGGGAGTTCATCAGCGGTAACACGCCCGCTCAGTACACGTGTAGAAAAATGCGGAGAAGCAATCACAAAAGCTTCGACTCTTTCAGGTAAGGTCTGAGGCGGGGAGGGACGACCACATGACGCTTTCTGCAAGGATCTCCACCGATGTGATTACCTAAACAAGCGGCACGACTGCTGCCGCCATGCTCCAATGCTCCACGGGGATGCTCCGTGGTGTGGGAAAGGATCGTCGCTGTCGCATCACCACACAGCTGATCGCTGATGTGTTGAGCGCTGAATTGACGACAAGACGGCCAGCTCCGAAACCCAAGTCCTGGATACCGTATTTTGCTACCAGGGGGCTGTTTCTCCGACAGATATCCAGTCGCTTGTCTGATGAAGCTGAAGCAATTAATGCAGATCATGCCAATGAAAGGAAAAACAAAGGTCTAGACCCGTTACTTAGTTATCATCTATTGCTGATGGTGTGTATTGCAAAATGATACCAATTTTTGCCCAGCGCCGCCCACTCTATCAAACGACGCCTGTCTACCACGGAGGTTACTCCCATCTGCGCTTCAGGTAGCCCCTGACTTGAAGACAGCGCGAGATATAGCTCGGTCAGACAGCAAAGTAGCAGAAAAGGTAAAACAGATCCAAAGTTCCTTTATGCGACTTCCTCAACCATTTTGCCAGACTTCAGACTTCCGGGCACAAATACCTTGCCCGTTGGTCCTCCGATAATCTCATCGGGCACAGCAACAATGCTGCCCTTCTTGGAGTTGACCCAGCGGATGAACGCGACGTCGGGCTTCTGTGAATCGTTGCCGGGCGTGTCCTCACCATTGGCACCTCCCTTGCCCTTGGTCTTGGGCGCCTGTTTCTTCAAAAGCTTGTTGATGGTCTCCATCTGTTATTGGCAGTTAGCACACGCCCTACGAATGGCCAGATATACCAAAACACTTGCCTTGACTTCTTCGTTGCGCTTGTCAGACAGATTCCGTCGACGACGCGCCATCTCTGCTCTTCTCATCGACAACTCTTCCGCAGTGAAGACTTTCTTTGCTTGGACCTCTGTAAAGACCTCACATCAGTTTCTGCTTTTATCGAGGTACCTCGCACATATGGCGACTCTTACCGTCTGAAAGCTTCATGTACTGTTGAGGCTCGTCCTCGAAGCGAGCACGCTGTCTCCTCGTCATCTTGGTCAAATCAGGAGTGCCCTCACGACTACCCAGATCGCTGTCGAGCTCGCCTTCGGCGTCAATTCCCGCGGTCTCGTCGGCAACTTCAATCTCCTCTTCCTCTTCGCCCTCAGCGTCCTCTTCTTCGCCCTCGGCATCTTCCTCTTCACCTTCGGCATCCTCTTCCTCGTCTTCCTCGTCGTCCTCGTCATCGTCATCGCCAGCGCCCCCAACATCGATGCTCATGTTCATCGTATTCTCGGGGTCGCTGACTTCGATTTCGCTGAGCTCCTCCTCATCATCATCATCGTCCTCGATCACTCTCGCCGCTGCTGGTCGTCGAGGAGTGACCTTTCCAGCCTTGGGCAAGGAGATCTTGATGGTGGGGGCCGCAGGGGTGTCCATGTCGATGTCGCCATCGGCATCTTCTTCCTCGCCCTCGGCGTCGACTTCCATGTCGTCGTCATCGCCATCGGCGTCAGGCTCCTCCATTTCCTCGTCTTCATCATCTTCTTCCTCGTCGCTGTCAGATTCGACAACGTAGCTCTTCTTTGGGCCGCGGTTGCGTCTGCCGGCAACAACCTCGCTACCTCCGAAAGAACCCCGACTGTTGACCGAAATGCTGTTTCCCGTCGAGTTCCGTCCTCTGCTAGTGGCCTCACGAAGCTTGTTCGCGGGCACCTTGACAGTGAGGTTTAGGTGCTCACTTCCCGGTGATGAAGGCGGGCCGCGGGAGACGCCCGAAGTTCGGCCATCTGAGCGACGAGCACGTGTAGACATGCTGCTGGTTCGCTCGCTATCGGCCCAGTCAGTAATCTGTTCTTGAGCCTTCTTGGCCGCCGAACGGCGCGGTCGCGAAGCCATGTCTGGATATGTGCGAACGTGGTCTCTTGGAAATGGCTTGTGTTGGCAGAACAATGACGCGTGAGGGGGTTAATATGCTACGTTTGAGCGGTTTGTGTACTGAACGAAGATGGGATATCTTGGAGTGAAAAGGTTTAGGGTGGTTTCGGGATGATGGTGGGGGAGTTTTTTATCCAAGATTGGACGCGGGAGGTTGATTTAAGGTAAGCTCGGGGGGCCGGTCCAGACAAGGAAGGGGAAGGGTGAGGTGGCACTGCTGCTAGGGAATCTGATCCCTTGATACGGGAGATGAGGTAAGGCAATAAATGTAGTTGGCCGAGATGCAACTTTAGCCCAGGTAGGTTTCAACGCGTTCCTTTCTTAATGAATCGCACAAACGCGCGGGCGCTCTTTTGGGTTCTTCTTAACAACCCGTACTCTCGACACGGCTACTTTTCGACAGTAGTCTCGTGGAACCAAATCGGATTCGTGGCATGTGCACACCCGGCCGATAGAGTCTCTTTCTTCTCGGAGATGTTGCTTTGCAAGCCGATGCCGTTGCTGCTTGCCTCACTTGACTTGGCCCGGCAATCCGGCGATGTTGATACGTGATTGGAGGAGGGATGATGTACGTGGTGAAGGTTGATGGAGGCGTAGCGCGGAGTGTGACAGAGGGACAAAAAAGCTAAAAGGAAAGTCGCATCTGCGATGGGATTTTGAGCTTACCGATTGATACCTTGCGGAGGATAGACGACGCTTAGCCGCAGCAAGCAAGATGCGCGCAATCAGGCGAACGGCAAGTGGGATAATCGCCTTTGGTGGCCTATCGCCTCATAAGCTGGATCCAGGCACGGCAAGGTTACTGGGAAACGTGTGGTGGCTGTGGCCAAGCCCAAGCCGCAGAGGCAGAAAAAAAAAAGTGAACCCCCTGGAAACGGGAACTGAGACTTTTGGGATCGACTGGATCTCGTCGCCTCCTGCGTGTGTCGCTCTCTCTTCTTTCTCCTGCGTCTCTTTGCTTGACGCTTGCTTTCTCACCCAGCGTCTGGCGCGTGAGCTTTTCGTTGCGGTTCTTACTATCCCCTACTTAGCGAGTTCACTTCAACATTTTCCTGCTCATCTATACAAAAAACAAAATGGGCGGTTGGCCCGGTACAAACTCACCTTGATCCTTGGTCGCACGGCGAGATGCGTCGGTGAAGGCGGCCAGTCGAGAAGACAATTGGAGATCGTTGGTGATCGCGCGGCAGAGCGAATTGGATGGTCCCGATTAAGGGCCTTCGTTGGCTTGAAACAGGAGTGAATCTCGTACCACTTTGAGGATTTTCAAGGCGGGCGAGATGAATTATGATTGCTATAGTTGAGACGGATTCTCAATGAGATGCTTGTGCTGGTTCCTCCTCACCTTGGGGTTCAGCCTTTCATTCACCTTTCAGCAGAGCACTGAAGTCCGCTGAAGCGCCGGACGTCGGAAACGGAAGCCCCATTTTTGGTGGTCGCCATGGACACCGTGCATTGGGGTTTGTCCCACTTCCCGCCACCCGCCTCAAGTAACCGTACAGAACTGAAGGAGCCATCGAATGCCCGTAATGCGCTGTAGCAATGACCCCGTAAAGAACGTCCAGCCTTTCCGTTTCTGCCTCCCCAGCCGAGGCATGTGGTCTTAGGTGCCGAACCGCCGACCATCAACAGCCCGCCTCCGGAACTGCGCCCGGCTCAGTCGCGATCCGATATTGCACCAACCTCGACATCTTACGAAAGATACTGTTGCAGACTTTCTGTTGGCGCTGTAAGGCGCAGTAGGCAAACATGAGCGACTCTGACGACAACGGCAGCACACCCGGCATCCCGGCATGGCAGCGCGACCAGAAGAAAGAGCCCGAACTCGAGCCGGAGACCTCGCAGGATGCGAAGCAAGAAGATGGCGTCTCTTCCCGCGTGGACCGCCTTGAAGTCGCCCGAAAGTTCTTGCAGGATGACGAGATCAAAGACGCGCCGAGGGAAGCAAAGGAGACATTCCTCAAGTCCAAGGGCATCTCGCCCGAGGATATAGAGCAGTTGTTGGGTAGCTCGGTATCTGAGCCGGCGCAAGAGGTATGCTTCCTCGTTGCTTTTGATTTGTTTCACGAGATCCCACGACTGACACCATGACTCCAGACCATTCGAACAGAGCAATCGCTACCAAGCCTAAGCCAAGCAACGACATCATCGTCATCAGCACCAGCACACACATTACCATCACAGACACCACCATCACCGTCACCACCATCACCGTCACCACCACCGCAAAACGAGCTCTCCTTTCCTCGCCAAACAGACCAACCCCCCGTGATAACCTATCCCGAATTCCTCACAAAACCGACCCGCCCCCCGCCGCTCATCACCGCCAATGGCATCCTCAACACCCTCTACGCCTTCGCCGGCATCTCCACCCTCCTCTACGGCACGAACAAGTACCTCGTCCAGCCAATGATCGAGAACCTCACCGAGGCGCGCTATGACCTCCATGAGACGACCTTGCAGAACCTCGCAAAGATTATCGAGAAGCTTGAGGGTACCGTCTCCGAGATCCCCGCCCCCAAGAAGACCTCCCCCACTGCCGAGGGGGCCTATAAGGATGCGGACGACGGGAGCAGCAGCGTCAGCGACGAAGACCCTAGCGAAATGTTCCACCGCGATATCGGCACGCAGACCTCAATCCCCTCGACGCCCTTAGCGAGCTCCGGGAACCGCTTTTCCGGTGCGGGGGAAAATGAGGATAGCGACAGGGAAAAGTCCGCGACCGACAGGCAGGCTGACAAGCTGGCATGGTTCAAAAACCAGGCTGCCTGGCTCAAGACCACGGTCGTCGGCGACGCGGACGACGTGGCGGACCTCAAGGCCAAGATGGACGTCCTCAAGGACGACCTCGTGCAGCTGGCGTACCCGAGCCCGTCTGACTACGGCAGCAGCTACTCGCTGTACGGTGGCCCGCGCAAGAACGAGCCCGACGACGAGATCAAGAAGGCCAGGGACAATATCAGGAGGGTTAAGGGGGTGTTGCTCAGCACGAGGAATTTCCCTGCTTCGGCGAGGTGATTCATCTGTTGGACATATCCTGTCGAGGGGCGTTTGGAAGCACTGGGTTTTTGACGAGGAACGGTTGTTATGAGGACGAGGGTTTGTACCATATCAGTAGAGGGTATATTGGAACTGAACGACTTTACTATTAATGGATCTGCCTGTATTGACAGCCAACTGTTCGGCCAGTATATTGTGACCACACACATACCTTATTGAAGCGAAGACAACGACACGTGTTTGGTTTACTAACAGTATACATGTTCTACAAAGCAAAATTACCGTCCGGATGATGGGCCTTGGTTTTTCAATTCTCTTTCATCCATGTCACAAGTAAACATCATGCGTCAGCGTATGTTTTCCGTGCAATTCCTGCTAGAGTTCCTCAAGTCTGAAACATTTCTACATCGCTGAACTGTCACCCCTTTTCCGTGAGTCATTCGCACAGCGTATTCCATCCATCTGCACGACGCAACGTTCATTCACTTCTCGCCATTCCCTCGCGGCTCTGCCTTGTCTCTCCTCTCAGGGGGAATTCTGACAAGTTCAAAGACGCGTTGCCAGGAAGCAACGTTGATGTGCTCGAAATGCCGGTTCTCGGCCACCTGCTGCTCCTGATACCACTCAATGGTCGGCTTGAACGTGTAAGCGTACGCGCTACGACGTTTTTTTCTGTCAATGTTCATCACCCAAGTGAAGAACAGGTTCTCGCATCTGCTCTGCCCGTTCGGATTGCTGGCCCGGGGTGGATGGAATATGATCTTGCTCTCGCCGCCATGACTACGATGACCGCCCATCAGATCAACATTCATCGAATCTGCGAGATGAGATCCTTGCCGAGCAGGCGCTTCGCCGGGAAAGATCTTGCGATATCCCCTGCGAAGCAAGAACCGATCTTGCACCGGGAGATGTTTCTTGGTGTTCGACATCATCACATCCAAGTTAAAGATAGTGATGTCGACCGGCAAGGTGTAGTCTGAAGGTTCTGTTTCGAAACCGCCGAACCAGACCTGCTGCAGAGGAAGGCCCCGTTGAACGTCTTCACTTCGTTCCCGTACCATCTGTATAAGATGCTGCTGAGCCTGGAGAAGTTGACACTCATAGATCTCGTTCGCTGTGGAATATCGCCCCTTTGCAGTAACGTCCCATATGAAAAGCTCTGTCCCCTCCCACGGCTTGTGAGGTTCACGGACCCGCCAAATCGCGAGCCATGGATGGCGCGGTGGCGGCTTGATTGGAGAGTCTTCTTCGGGAGTGTAAAAGAAGGCGAAGTAGGTGTTGAACGTCGGCGGCACATGGATCCCTCCCGGAGGTTTGAAAAATGGCTGGTAGGTAGAGAAGAATGGCCAGGGAAACTTCATCCACTTATCGAACGTTTTAAAGTCGCGGTGGAAATCTCCATAAGAGTCAGCTGTATTGACGACATCTTCATAGTAGGAGACCGGATAGCCGAAGAGCTTCCCAAAAGGACACAAATTTGGACGTTCATTTTGCTTGCCAATTGCCATCAACTTGCCGGTAAAGTGGAATGCAGACAGGCCTCCAAGAAGCTTACTAACGCCGCTTTGGGGTTGAACATCATGATCAGAGCCTGACATGATCTGATCCGGACCATGTACATTGAGGTTTGGTTCGGCTCCTGTATCGCGACCTACCCCGGGTGGGTATATGGGAATGTCGCTGTCTTTGATCAAGTGGCTGTTGTCGGAACTGCCATCTGTTCCCAAAACGTGGAACTTGCGGAACTGATCGAGCCGGGTCTGGGACCAACAACCGAACCAATTCACCAAGCTTTGCTCGTCATTGGCATCAATAGACCCGTCAGCAAAGACAATCGGCTCAAGCTGTTCGTCCGGCACAATGCTCATCTCTACTGACGGCTGGAGACCCTCCACTATGGCACAGGTCTCAAAGCGAGCTGCGCAGTCTTCTCTGCTCAATCCTGCCTTGCGTGCTATTTCCTCTCGGTCCGACATCGACCACTTGCGTGTCCTATTGCCCTCCGTCATCAACTCATCACGATGAGCGGACCGCTCATACGCAAGATCTCGCATATACTCGCGTATGCTTGCAGCGGCCACGATCTTTTGGTTGTTTGCGGACTTCTTATAGGTATTCTTGTACCACTCAAAAAGTCGCAGGGCACGGTGGGGCTCAGAGACCAGAAAGCTTGGGGTAACCAAGATTGCGTTGCCGTGGGGGAAAAATCTCGTCAACTCAAATGTGCCTGGCTCTGACTGATCATGTATAGACCGAATGGATGGGTACGCGGGAGACAGCTGAAGTGACTCCCCGATGCACCAGAAGACATAAGTTGCACTGCTCTTATGCAAAAGTAGCTTGAGCAAGCCAGGAAACCGTCGAAGAGCATCAGCGGCCGTCTCGTGAACAATGATGACTCCTTGCGCAACAATCTTCGGGTTGGTAAAGGCAGCCCAGTCGCCATTGGTTTTAGTTGAGAATACCCTACACTTTGGATTCTCCGAACGAAGCCACTCGCTCACAGCCTCAAGTAAGAATACCCTAGAGGGGGGAAACGCCAGGTAAAAATTATGACGTACATCTCGAATCCCGGGGGGTAGGATCTTCTGGTAGTCGAGGCGTAAGAGGTCGCGAAATACCGCAACGCGCGGAGTTATCTTTGGGTTATCGACGGTATCGACCTGCCTGGCGGGTAAAGGCTTGGCAGCTGGCTGTGGCTTGAAGATGATATATCTCAGGGCGACGTTCGCCGGGCTGTTGGCTTCGGCTTCATGCATTATCTGCTTCCAATCTTCACACTGAGCTGGGTAAATGATGATGAGAAACTCTTCATAAAAGCACGCGACCCCGAACGACCCTGATCGTAGCTGCTCTGCCGCTCTTTCGACAGCGCCTTGGTCAGTTGCCGACTTGGGCCTGACGCTTCCATTTGAAAGTACCCTTTCGACAACTCCTGTTCTTTGAGAGGCAAAAGACTTTGCAGTGAAATTTCTGGCGAAATGCAGCATTTTCTCATTTACAAACCGCATATGCCATGCGTCGGAGTCGGTTGTGACGTTGTCAAATATCATTTCAATGTCCTTGCTTCCTGATGGACCCAAGATGACTGCTTTGTCGTAGTTTTGGCCTGTGCTCCTCGACTTGTAGTCTGTTATTGATAGCTTGCGAAGGATAGACTGAGGTTTGGCAGGCGGTTGTGAAGACTGGGACAGATCTGGAGGCATCGGGGGCGACTTGAGTCTTTTCGGCGGAACAATCTGGTCGTCCATTTCCATATCCTCTGGCTCATCGACAAGCGGCAAGTCTACAAACTGAACAGACTTCCTTTTCCTGACCATTGGCTGAGTAGTATGGGACTGCTCCAGGGTTGGAGGACGTGTCAAATCCATCCTCTCTGACGCCGTCACACTGGACTCGCTGGCTGACCTCGTTGTGAAGTCATCGGTTGAACGTCTAAGTGCAGACCGAGGGTTGCTCGTCGTGGGACTGATGTTTGAACCGATGTTTGTGCCAGGGGGGGGCCCGCGGCTGATACTGAACAGCTTCGTTGGAACGGTGGGAGCCACATCTGCTCTATCGCGGCCTTGCAACTCGACCTTTCTCCTGAGTCGGTGATTTGAAAACAAGCGAGCGTCTTTGGTGGGGTCTACCACATTTTGAACAAGTTGACGGCGTTGCTTCGATTGTTTGCCGGCCGCGAAGACATTGATGCCCGTTCCGCTATGCTGTGATCTGACCATCGTCCTGGAGCTCGTAGCAGTCTTTTTGGCCTTGTGGGCAATCCGCGCAGTTGCTGTATCACTGGACGGTTGCCGGCTAGTGGTCGCATTGTTGACCAGTTTAATCGCGAGAGACTTCTTCTTTCCTGTTCCTTGGGATCCGTTCGCCGCTGCCTGCTCTAAAGATGGCTGCGAACGTGGCTGAGGAATAGACACAAAATTCGTCTTCTCTGTTGTTGATTTTGGCTTCTCTGCCACGGAAGACCGTTTCTGAGGGTTTGGGTTCTCTGCGACCGTCTGCTTTGGTGAACTTTCGGGAGGCACGGGGGGTTGAGTGTCATGGTGAACCACATCGTCTTCTCGCCCCACAACCTTTGGAGGGGGAAACAAAGCGTTGTAATCATCCACTCCAACGTCCTCGTCGCTGAGATAGTAATCCGCCTTGGTTTCCCCCTCCCAAAGTCTGAGTTGGATGCCGCGTTGTTTCCGTTCAATATTGCGCTTGTGATGCCGTTGGTATTTGGCCTCGTTACGCTTAGCCACGCTTTCTTGCCAGGCGGCAATGTTGAATGGGCTCTCCTCGCCTCGAGCCTGCTTTGCTTGCGTATCTCTCCATTCCCCAAGTAGCTCATCCGTCACGTTTTCTTCTGGCTCCCACGTAGCCTCCTCAATGGGATAATCAGTCCACTCCACGAGAAATTTGTCTCTTCCGCCTTCACGACTCTGGGCGCGGATGCCCTGCACGGACCACTCCTCATCGGAGTCATGATCGGACGCGAGGGTGGAATTGATGGAGATGTTATCATCGTCTGAATGCGTGTCATCCGTTACGAAAAGTCCGGAAGCGTCCATGGCGCACTCAAAATCTGTAGCACATGTTCCCGAAGCAAGCAGGGGGGGAAGCGCTTTGGTCGGTAATTTGAGCCAGAGTCAGAGATTTTCGATGGGCAGAGGGTTGAAGTGCACTCAGATGACAATGCGAATGTTGGTTTATCAGGTATCAGACGCAATCCGGTGCAGCCGCATGACCCTATTCGGGAGCGTAGAGGATACCGTCTGAACAATCAGGAGCGGTGCTGATCGGAAGAGGAGCGCGAACCTCAGAGTTGGCAAAGAGGATGGAACTCACTCTTCTTCCCAATGTTAAGTGTAGCAGTGTAAGCTGGAGAATGATAGGCGATGAGTTTCTTCGGGATAGGCAAGGAGCAAATACTTGCAGGACAGATCGTTTCTCTGTTGTAAAGGTCCTTGAGAGCAATCGTTACCTTATCTTTAGAGACTTGGGGGAAAAGGTGAAGTTTTGTATTTGTATGTACTGAAAAGTCGGCGTGGAGTTGGGCCTGAACAGAAACGATTCAACATTGAAGACTGCGCCAAGCGAGGGGAAAGCGTTTACATGGATAGGTACGGAGGGCATCCCGTCGTCCCTTTGGCCCTTTGGGGAGGTGCCAACTATGTCCGTGCGGCGGTTCCGGCACTGATGTATTCGTACCCAAGGTACGGACTCGGTACGGAGGTAAGGTAAGGCAAGATACCTTACCTTACCTCATCCATTGGTGGAAGGCATCGAGCGGGTAGAATCTTAGCGTGCACAGAGGAATGTGTTGCAGGCAGTCGGATAAGAAGCAACTTTCTTTGGACCGAATCCTATGTGCAACATATTAGGTGAGTCGTTCTATTGGAATTGGCATTGGTAAAGACAAAGCGAGTATCTACCCTTGCAAACTACGAATACCTACCATAGTATATCTCGCCTGCCTACATTGGCAGTTCAAAGTCGGCCGCGTCAATCGGCAAGGGAGTTGTTCAGAACACACTTGACACGGCATCGAGAGCAGAACCTACATTGACAGAATCTCAGGTCAAGCTTTCTGGGTGTCAGCGCCACAACCTGGAAGTTTGTGTCACACATGGACGAAGCGTTGAAGACCAAGTGCCGTTGCTTTGGGGCAGTGTGGGCGGATGTACGACGTCAGCTTTCGATTCTCGGTGCTTCACCCAGTACAAACGGAAGCGTGTGTGACACTCAGGGCACACGGCGAGCTGAGAGGCATGTCGAGGCTGTTCTCTCTGAACACCGCGGTCTGGGCACACGTGATGCCTGTGGTGAAACACGACACTTCCGGGTACCGAGGGCGGGATCCCGTCCTGGGACCTCAGTCAACTGCTGACCTCTTCACCTCCTGTCAAACTTGGAGGCAGGCGAGGGAGACACCGATGTGACGAACGAGGTTGGTGCATGCCCGACGGTGGTGTGGCTCAGCGGATTCAGCATATCCGGGACGTGGGGCATTTTCCCCTTTCAACTTTGATATGGGCAGGGACTGGCGAGCGAGTGACGGGAGCAAAGGCATTGATCGCTTTTTGTGTTTTCCCTGCCAGGAGCCAGAGCAAAGTACCATTCCTTGGTCAGCGTGTCGCCTACCTACCTTACCCAACTCACTTACCAAGACACTTCTTTGACCTTGTTGCGTAGTTATGGACGTTGCTTGACAACCCCACCAGTTGATGATCTGGCGGCAGGGAGATGCTGAATTAATGGTTTCTAAAAACACCATCGTTAGCTTTTGGTTCTAGACAGTGAACACGCCTTTTCTTCCTTCAAAATCGACCATGGGGTCGTTACTCCTCTTCCCCTTCTACTGAAAAGTATGCAGTCGTCCATCTTCACAAGTCGAGGAAAGTTATACATCTCAAAGCACCTCGAGTAAGGTACCCGACTTGCACCGCGCGCTACCTACCTTAGGTAGAGAGTACTTTTAGCTGTCGAGTTGTCTTGTACTACCTACCGCCTTCTAGCACTCGGGACCCGACAAGCCCCCTTCGCCGCTGCCTTTGGACACCTCAGTGAAGGATACCTTACAATTCCCAGCAGCATCCCCACCTACCTTACCTACCACGACCAGGTACCTTACGCCCAACTTCCCTTTTCCAGTGGCTGTTCCCTCTCTGGGGCACCGACCTGACCCTCCAGGGCAGCGAATCTCCGTGGCCCAGAGCTGCGCCGACACCACCACCACCTCACCTCAATCTTTGCTGCCTCACCCACCACACCATGCTGCCTTGACCTGCACTGTCCACCTCTCTCAGTCTGGTTCAGTTCCAGACCCTTACACCTTGCCTCGCCTCAATTCAACTGCTTTATCTCGCAGGGCCGCGCACCACATCCATCGAACCGCAGTAACCTCGCCTCGCAACACCAACGAATTTGCACCTCTCACGACACTCGTCCATCGCATTTGCAAAACAATACCCGACATCATGGCCAACGACGAATATGACGTGAGTCTCTCCATCCGCAACCGCCCATATTCCTTGAGCCTCTGCCGACCCTCTCCCTCTCCAACCGCTTCCATGTTCCCCCTCTTTGCGCTAACTTGATGGTGCCTCTTGCAGTTCCTCTTCAAAGGTGCGCCAACGACCGATCCGAACTTGCGACGTTATCGCATAGTGGCCACAGGGTTGCTTCGGGCCCAGCTGACATTTTCATCTTCTAGTGGTGTTGATCGGAGACTCGGGCGTCGGAAAGTCCAACCTTCTCAGTCGATTCACCCGCAATGAGTTCAACTTGGACTCCAAGTCGACAATTGGTGTCGAGTTCGCCACTAGATCCATCCAAGTCGACTCGAAGACGATCAAGGCACAGATTTGGGATACCGCCGGCCAGGAGCGCTACCGTGCCATCACTTCGGCCTACTACAGAGGAGCTGTCGGTGCCCTTCTCGTCTACGACATCAGCAAGCACCAGACATACGAGAACGTCACCCGGTGGTTGAAGGAATTGCGAGACCATGCCGATGCCAACATCGTCATCATGCTTGTCGGAAACAAGAGCGATTTGCGCCACCTGCGAGCAGTGCCTACAGAGGAGGCAAAGGCTTTCGCCAGTACGTTGCGGTGAAGGGCCGGGGGGGGAAGCGCCATAGACCCTGAGATGGCTAACCTGTACTCTAGGCGAGAACCACCTCTCGTTCATTGAGACGTCTGCCCTCGATGCCAGCAACGTCGAGCTTGCATTCCAGAACATCTTGACCGGTGCGTCTAACTCCCAATTTTGCAGCTCGGATGCATAATCCGGATACCTGGTGACAACTCGATTGCTAACATGACCCGTTTCGCCACAGAGATCTACCGAATCGTATCGAGCAAGGCACTCGACTCGGGCGACGGACCCCAAGCCTCGATCGGAGCCGGCCCTGGCATTTCGCTCAGCAAGCCTGCGGACGACAGTGCAGAGAAGAGCGGCAAATGCTGTTAAGCGAATCCCCTTCTGCGAAACTGTTTCACGGCCTTTTGGGAGGGCTGCTACGGGCGATATCATGGCATGTCACACACATGCCCCGGAATCTGTACGTCACTTGGTCAAGGAGGAGCTGTTGCATCGAGGAATGACTAGGAATCCAACGAGTCTTTTTATGATTTCTGAGGGGACGGAGTATAGTCTCGGCCTTTCTTTTGTTCTCCTTTATACGGCTCAGTGCAGCTAGTCTGGGATTTGAGGTTTCTGACGATCGCTCTGACATGCTTACGTAGTTGAATGAATCCATCTTAATGCCTTGCGGTTATTCTAGGCTGATTTGCTGATGTCAGAAGCATTTTGGCTGTCTTATCTGATTAGCCATCCTCACCATATTGCGATGCACTTCGCAGCCATGTACAACGTGGCGAGCATGTTCGTGGTGTGCAATGGTACGTCGAACGTACGGGTCGCATCGTTGGCCGCCTACCCCAGGTGAAAGCGTTCGTGACTCCTGACGTACCTTTCCTGGTGCACCTAGCTACGAACAGTCAGTCTTACGGTCATGACAGGTGTTCCTATCAATCGAAAGTGGCTTCTTCCTTTGGCCAGGTCGATATACTAGTGGTCAGCCCAGTCAAGCATTTACATTCAAGTACCGCATTCTCAAATCTGGTGCCTTGCTCGAGCCATGTACTCGCATCACTCTGGTCAGGGCGACATGAAGCGCTCCAGCAAGGTGAAATTGAGGTGGGCATGCAAGCTCGCTGCGATCCACAAAGTTTCTTTCCCCCCAGCCCGCGCTAGGTACTCATAGGACCTGCGGCGTCCATCCCCTCAAGCCTGCCCTGCCCCTCGGGCCTCGAGCCCCCTCGTCCCCTCTTCAGTTGGGTTAGCGCTTTTATTCTTGTCTCCCCCCTTCTGTGGCACACTCGGACACGGGTTGGGCGACAGGGTAGGTACCTTAGGTAAAGGGAGCGAATGCGCGTAAAAGGAGGTACGTACCTGCCCATTAAAAAGGATCGAGGTGCACAGGGAACCTCCAGCCTGAAGCAGGTGGATGGGTGCCCCGCTACCTTGCACTGGGCCACCGCCTTGCCGATAAGCTCTCTTATCGCGCGTCCCGTCCGTAGCGGGAAGGAAAAAAATTTGGGTTGGTCGCAAACCGTCGGCTTCGACCTTTTGGCAGGTGGGCTGCAACATCTTCTTCGCGTCAACACCGCATCTTCGAAGCCGCCGCTACCCCCACACTACGATTGTGACCGACAAGATGGCTTCTGTGTACAAGTCATTGTCTAAGAAGGCCGAAAAGGCTGAGGCGCCCACCAATGGCGTCAAAAAAGTGCGCCAGAAGAGACGCGCTCTGATTCTTTCGAGCAGAGGCGTCACTTACAGGTGAAGCTCCTCCGTCAACAATTTTCTTGTGGCATGGCAGTCTTGCTGAACCTTGCAACTCGCAGACACCGACATCTGATGAACGATATCGCTTCGATGATGCCCCACGGAAAGCTGGACAGCAAGGTCCGTAATATTCCGACTTCATTGGCTTTACTCGTCGGCGATCCTCGATCCTAACACCCCGCTTTAGTTCGATTCGAAGGCAAAACTCTACGTCCTTAACGAGCTCGCCGAGCTCAACTCGACACCTCAGATTTGCTATTTGGAGGCCAGGAAGCACCAGGATTTGTACATGTGGCTGGCAAATGTGAGTGTCTTGCACCATAGTTTCAACCTCGAGGGGGGTCATACTGACAAATACAAGGCCCCGAACGGCCCCAGTGTGCGTCTACACATTCAGAATATCATGACCATGGAGGAGTTGCGATTCCCGGGCAACTGTCTTAAAGGAAGTCGTCCTGTACTGTCCTTTGACGCTGCGTTCGATACCGAACCTCATCTCCAAGGTAAAATCTCGTGCCTAGCCGCTCACTACAAGCCAGAACTGACACTTTTGGTGCAATAGTCATAAAGAACTTGATGTCTATGGTGTTCGGTGTTCCAGAGGGGGCGAGGAAGGCCAAGCCTTTCGTGGATCATGTAATGGGAGTCAGCTGGGTTGACGAGAAGATCTGGATACGCTGTAAGACCTATACCCCTTTCCTGGATTGCAAACAAGTACACTTGCGTCTAAAATACTGACATCGCGACAACTAGATTTCGAGATCAAGGAGGTCGATGCTGATACGGAGCAAGAAGCCACCGGGAAGTCAGTTCTCAAGGGAAGCAAGACAGACGTCAGCTTGGTGGAGATTGGTCCGCGGTGGACGGCAACCCCGATTGTCATACTCGAAGGCAGCATGTGTGGAAGCGTGATTTGGGAGAGCCGAAGCTTTGTCTCCCCGAACCAGATTCGTGCGGATTTGAGAAAGAAGAAGTCCACTCGCCACGTCTCGCGGACGGAGCAGCAAGTGGAGCGGATGGCAAAGAAGGGCGAGCTTGGACTCAGGAGCAAAGGTGGAAAAGGCGCGGCGAAGGACGAGCTGGATACCAAGGCACTGTTTGCGTAATAATAAGATTCCATGCTGCTCAGGCATATTTGAGTTTATTGAGAGTTCAGTATTTTCCACTATGGAGCCAGAAGTTGTAAAGTAAAACCAAGGCACAGGGAGAAGACAAAGAAAAAAACGTCCGGAGGCGGCAGATATCGTGTATGTCTGGCAAGAACTAATCAGCGGGACGGTGTGATGGAAGCTTTTGATGCTTTACCATAGAATGGAAGATACGTATCGCCTAGGTAGGCCCCAACAACCTCTCCATGATTGGCTGACGTGTCCCAAGCACCCGAGCCACAACCATTAGGTTTGCGATACGGCATCCCTGTCGCCAACAGCCCGGGGAAGGAGCCCACTGGAGGTACCTCAGGTAGGTAAGGTAGATAACTCCCGCCATCCTAAAAGCCCGAGGTACCTGCACGGCTCGACTCCTGAGCTCGATGGGCATTAGGTCAGCAATCGGGACCCTTGGTGCATGTCCTCTGCGTCACCGTCCTTCCCTTGGTCTAGATCTCCCTCATGTTCGGGTTTACTTCTGCAACATCACTTCAATAATCGGCACCGCGTTCGTGGAGCAAGCATGGCCAACTGGGATATGCGCCGGCTCATTTCGACTAATATCGTGTCTTCTGTGCAAACAATGCCGACCTACATCAACGTTTTCATCACTTTAATTGATAGCCCCAACGTTGGGGTTGTCAGAAAGTAAACCCATTGAACCGATACCTCACTGGTGAAATTATTCATTCGTGAGGCCAGACGAGGCGAATTTGCCTCCAAATCAGCGTATCCTCCTTGTAGCTGGATATCAGAGCTCCCGTTCGACATCAAAGCTAGGCCACGGGCTCTAGCTCATTCTGTCCGTCCCTGATTCGCAGGTAAGAATCAAAGGAGGCCGGGGAACTATCATTCCAAGATCCAAGGAAAGAAGCTGCCTAAAAGCAACATGCTGCTAGACACCAGTGAGTCGCACATTTGCCAGCTTGATCTTTGAGATACAGCCTCTAAGTGTTCCACAGATTCGACTCGTACCATTTTTGCTGTCGAAGTCGTTTGGCTGTGTCTGACTTGTTTTGTTTGAATAATCGACATATCGAATAAACACCAGACTCAGCAATCGCCAGACCAAATCATCATCACCAAAATCCTTCAACCCGAATATTGGTTCTGTACTGCTTTGCTCAGGACAATTTCTTCTCTATTTCTCACCAACCTTCAGCTCAAGACCGACCTCACCATACATAGATCGCTATAGACAGCCGTTGAAAGCCTTCAAGATGTCTTCAACATATTCATCACTATTTATGGGTCCACACATGCAATCAGACCCGACAGATTGCGACCTAGGCACACTAGATGGCCTCGAAGGGCTACCGCTCGAGATTATTTTCGATATTTATCATCAACTCGATGTCCGCAGCATTTTCTCACTAGCTCAGGTCAACACTCTTTTCCATGGACTGTTGAAAAGAAACAAAGCGGCGATTTTGCTACCAGTTCTCCAGCGAGAGTTTAGCCCATTGCCCGAGCTGCTCCAAGTCTTTACAGCATCGGACCAAGACATGCTCCAATACGGGGATACCTTTCAGCCGCGTCGCGTGGTTTTCAGACGATTCCCAGGCGACATGACGGGCGTCACTCTATCCCGCGGTGGTATCCCACACAACGCGGGCGCTTTGAACGGAGACCAACCAGCCAGGGCCACTTTGCCGTCACCTCGATCGGTCACGCTCGTTGAGAGAGACTTGAAATCGTTGCTAAAGTATTGCTTGGTGACACGGCACTGGGAAGAATTATTCCCTCAACTCCACTGGTTCGCGACACCCGAGGACTGCCGTCAACTTGATGAACCAGAGAAATTCAAGCTTCGACGGGCTCTCTATCGATGGTGGCTATACGCCTTTTACTTCCACGGCGAGCTTCTTCGGCCGCGGAGCAGTCAGCCAGAGCCGTTTGTAAACGATATCCGAACCAGCCATATGCGACTTCATTCAACTCGCGAGTTGATCGAGATGAGAGACCTTTTTCTGTCAATGAAGAACCTCGTCCGATACTACATCTACCCGAACCTAGAGCAGAACCTCGAACCTGTACGTGCCGTTTGGCGTGTCTTCCAACATAATACTATGAACACGGAAGCAATAAGGACAGTGTAGAAGATCATTACTGAAACAATTTTATAGGTTGACGAGAGCAGCCCGCTTGAAACGATGATTGAAACCAGCATTCGCGAGCGCATTGTGGACACATATGCCAAGCTTGACCCGAGAGATCTGATGTTCTACTTCGATAACCTCTTCAACTACCCTCGAAAGAGACTGGTGACGGATGTCAACTTGAAGCATCCCGCCTTCTCTCAGGACCAGGAATCTTTGGTGGCAGCGGTCCAGTCAGCAGCGGATGAGCGGCCATGGCTTTACGACATTGTCGATCTGACCAGCATTGGAGGCATCGTTACCTCTGATGAAGGCCTGGACGAGCATCTCGGTCGTGACGGTAGTCATGATGGCTCCATTCCCCCTCCAGGAGCATTCCGGCGGCCGAGGGGGATTTGGGCACCACCAGGGGACGATGGCCGAGCTCTTGCCGAGCGAAGTCATTCACATGGTGGGCAACGTTACTGAGTTCACGGGTAGAGACAGCCATGATTGGAGCCAGGGTCTCATGATGATTTGTCTAAATTGAAAGTGAGGCAGAAATGGGCGCGGGAAGTGTAGACACTAATAGAGTGATTGTGCATGGCCTCACATCGCCTTCGTTACGTTGATCTGTTATCTTTCGGGCATAAGTAAGAAGTGCCCTTCCTCAGCGATGACACTTCCTCCATTGCAGGAATGTGGGTATGATGTCAGGCATTCAATTTTGATTGCTGGTGAATTATTTGGTAACGAATCTCACTCAACGCACTGTATTCTCATGGGTAAGGTACCTTGAGAGCGATGATGGAAAGAAATGTGGTCCAAAGTCGAAACAACCTAAGACTGGTTGAACTTGCCTTCCATATTCAGGAACCTAGTAATTAGTGGACTGAGGACTTGATGTCTCAAGTTAGTGCAAGGCTGCGGCCTACAGGGGCGTAGTGTGGCGGGTGCACAATGCAAGGCGGCGGCTTGTGGCCAGCGCCTGCCTTGTCAGTGGCCCAAGCCTCTCCCATCCTCAGTCATACCCGGCCATTCACTTAATAGTCGTCCTACACGACGGCATTACCCCCATCAGCGCGGCGCATTGTCTTTGCGCATGTGGAACTTTTTTTCCTTGACCCTCACCTCTTACACCCGATATCCCGTACAGGTTCTGCAGGCGCTGCGCTGTAATCAGACTTGCAACGGACCTGCAGCTGGCGGGCGACCTATTCCGATCTCAGTGTTGATCCCACCTTGGGCAGCAGCCATTGTCAAGCCGGTTGTTCTCACAAAGGTCAGTCGCTGTTCGCCGAAATTTTTATTATATTTAATACTGTCAAGCGATGGCCTTATCGGTCTCATGTTTCATCATCAAGCGAGCTGGCCGAGAAGGTGCATCCTGAACGACGATCTTAACGCCGTTGACCTTTCATCAAACCCGAGCAATAAAGAAGCTTCGTTCGAGCTTCATTATCCATTTTCATCCTTAGGGTCATTTCCGATACTGCTGCTTATTCAAGACATCCGATTTTGAAACTGTGATTCAGAAGATATCCCCCTAGTCTTTCACTTAGTCTCCCTCAATGTTCTTCTACTTTCGGTGTCCTGGCCAAACCTGAATATATAACTAACCCAGAAGTAGAAGATCAAGTTTCTCTGGGCAACCTCAGGCGTTTCGTTCTGTATGGTTGGAGACCGGCAAGCTTCCGGTGATAGGATAGAGCATTTGGCCGAGTCTGCTTGTCTTTCTGAAGCATAGGGCTGCCTTCCGTCCTAGCTCAAAACGCCCCAGCCATCAATACGCTCTGTTGCCCAACCACGGCGAGACCGTTGAGCCCCAAGGTATCGAATCTTACCCTGATCTCAGTTAGCTTGCAATAAGTTCATTCGCGTTTTGGGGCGTGTCGACGCAGCCGGTTTCTTGACCATGGAAGGCGGCGATCAGGACGTCGCCATGGGCGGGGACGATAGGCCTTCAAATGATACCACAACCACCAACGGAGTTGCGGTGCCTATTGGCGGGGGACAAAAAAACGAGAATACCACGTCGCCTGACGACGAGGATGAAGAGGACGATGAAGACTACGCAGAATCTCCAGACCTGCAGGTTGCAGTTCAGCTGCGCAGGCGAGGGCTTTTGCCCACGGCATGTTGCTACGATGACCGTATGAAGCTTCATGTCAACGCCGACTTTGGGACCACGCCTCACCACCCAGAAGACCCCCGGCGAATAGAGGAGATTTTCAAAGCATTCAAGAGGAATGGTCTGGTTTACAACGGCCCAGAAAGCAAGATAAGCGATGTACTTCGCGACACCCCGACGAGATACATGTGGAGGATCGGCGCTCGTGAAGCAACCAAGGAAGAAATTCTTACGACACATACTCCGCTACACTACCACTGGGTCGAGAGCTTATCGAAAATGGACTACCCTACGCTGAGAGAGACGAGCCGACAATATGACCAAGGCCGTGCCTCGCTCTATGTCGGCAGCCTGACTTTCACGGCTGCCCTTCTTTCTTGCGGTGGCGCCATTGACACCTGCAAACATGTCGTCCAGGGCAACGTCAAGAATGCCTTTGCTGTCATCAGACCCCCTGGTCACCATGCAGAGTACGACCAACCCCTCGGCTTTTGCTTCTTCAACAATGTGCCCGTCGCTGTTAAGATCTGTCAGCAAGAGTACCCAGAGGACTGCAGAAAGGTACTCATATTGGATTGGGACGTACACCACGGCAATGGCATCCAGAACATATTCTACGACGATCCAAATGTCCTGTATATCTCCCTTCACGTCTACCAGAATGGTCACTTCTATCCGGGTCCGCCAGAAAATGCAGAAATACCCGACGGAGGCCTTGAACACTGCGGTACAGGACCTGGCTTGGGAAAGAACATCAACATCGGATGGCATGACCAGGGCATGGGGGATGGCGAATACATTGCCGCCTTTCAAAAGATCATTATGCCTATCGCCAAGGAGTTCAATCCCGACTTGGTCGTCATTTCTGCTGGATTCGACGCTGCCGATGGAGACGAGCTCGGCGGTTGCTTCGTGACGCCGTCCTGCTACGCACACATGACCCATATGCTCATGTCTCTAGCAGACGGCAAGGTCGTTGTGTGCTTAGAGGGTGGCTACAACCTGCAAGCGATCTCCACATCAGCTGTGTCAGTCGCTCGTACGCTGATGGGAGAACCGCCACCGAAAATGAACTTGCCCTCGCTGAACAAGGACGCGGCCAGGGTCCTCGCCAAGGTTCAGAGTTATCACGCGCCGTACTGGGAATGCATGAGACCCGGCATTATTCCAGTACCAGATCTTCAAGACCTCCACGCGACAAGACTTCACGACCACATTAGACTTGGCCAACGGCAGAGCCTGTCACAACGCCACCAGATGATCCCTCTCTTCATACAGAGGGATATGCTCTTCAAAGCCTACGAAAACCAGGTCCTCGTAACCCCAGACATTCCGTCGGCACGCCGTATCCTTGTCATCTTTCATGATCCGCCGGAGCTGCTGGCTCAACCTGATGTGGTTGACCGCCACGTGGAATCCCATAACGCCTGGGTTGTCGACAGCGTCGAACAGTACATCGATTGGGCCGTTGGCCAAGGCATTGCGGTAATGGATGTCAACGTCCCGAACAAGGTTCTACGAGACGAAGACATGGAACCTTACACTCATCAGACAGGAGAGAATGAGCTCCTGGCCGAGCTTCAAGAGCTGGCGAACTACCTGTGGGACAATTACATCCAACTCTACGAAGAGGCCGACGATATCCTTCTTATTGGCGTGGGTCGGGCGTACAGTGGAGTCAGGGCGCTTCTGACAGGTCGAGGTATGCCTTTTAAGACGTGGCAATAATGTAGTGTTCCCCGCTAACCACTTTTTGACAGACTGCAAAACGCGAGTTGCTGGAGTTGCTTGCTTTGTCAAGGGCATGTTGCGACCCGTCAAGTCCGATGTCGACACCGAGCTTGCCCCATGGTACAAGGAACACTCCCAGATCTACGTGGAGCGCGATCATGCTTGTTGGAGCCGTCCAGATACGAAGCATAGAGTGACCAAGCGGCGCTTTGGCACGGTGATCCGGAGTCCAGAGAACGGCGTCCAAAAGATGGCGCAAACCCACGCCAAGGAGGTCCAGAAATGGATGTTGGAGATGCTTTCGGCTCGTCAGAACGGGGATACTACAGAAGACGATAAGATGACTTGAGGAAGTCACATAGGATACCGGGAGGGAGTCCAAAGAGGGGAGATATAACACAATGGGGTCGCGTCCAGTGCAGCACAAATACATATGGGTACTAGAGCGTCGACTGGCGTAGAGGACGGGGATAAGAGTCAGGTCTGTAGCGAGCTGAAGACGAGCAGGCGGAGGCTTGGGAAGAGACACTTTTGATACCGAGAAGTTTCCGAGCGCGGGATAGTGGCTACAACCGTCGTCACTTGGCGAGAGGATTCTGTTGATACACCACCACAATGTCGAACCACGTTGTTTCAAACTTGGCCTGTCGGTCTACTCCGTGTAGGTAAGAGTGAGGTCCACCGTTCACAAAAGATCAACTGAGATTGGGTCTAGAAGCCAACGTCGGGTCTCCAATCCCAACAGTGGATCATTGCATCCATACAATAACCCGCCTTGCTAGCTCAATCGGTAGAGCGTGAGACTCTTAATCTCAAGGTTGCGGGTTCGACCCCCGCGTGAGGCTCAAATCCTTACATCAATTGGCAATGCCATTATCCGGGCTAATCTTTTGCTTTTTGACATTCGTATGTATGTAGGTTCGGGCTCATGTCATGCACACACACGCAGTACACGGCTTTACCATTCAAGTTTGAATTTCAGCAAGTAGAACAAACGTAATTGGTGCTTGGTGGACCCCCTACTTGGGGTTGCTACAACTTCTAATGGTCTTGGCTGTTGATCTTTTCAAGACTCGCCCCGTCGTGGGGACGCAACCTTTTTCCCGGCAAATCACTTTAAATCCCAGCCCATCGTCAGTTCTCTTAGCTTTAATTAGTTCCAGCCGAAGGGACGCCATGTGGACCATTGCTGACGTCCGTAAGAACACTCTCATTGGCCAAATAGCCGACGTCCATTAATCTTGTCTGAACAAACGCCCGTGCGTCGCAGCTGTTCTCGCTTCTCAGCCTCCGTTTGTGGGTACTCTTCGGTTTTCAGGGGGCCCGATCCCATCCTGTTTGCATAGGAACCCTGCTCCATCTAGCACGATTGACGTTGGCGTTGGCGCGCATTTTAGCTGACCCTCAACACCAACCATACCATCGCGCGCGCAAAATCACAACCCATCACGAAGGCTTGTCGCGAGCATTACTCTTAGCCATCTGCCGGCCACGCTTCCACGACAAGACAGTATGGATCGCGATCGGAGAAGCAGGTAAGTGGTAGCTGCCAGCAGCTCGTGTCGCCTTTCCCACCCGTTCATCCCGAGCTCATTGAAGCCTATCTCGCCGAGCTCTGCGTCCTCATTGCTTCATACCGGAGTGTAACCCTCCGGAATGAGAATTTTGTGGGGTCGATGATGATGTATCACTTGCTTTCCAGCTGGCTACTTGTCACGAACCCATCTCGGACTACCGTACCTGTGCAGTGATCGCAAAGCGTCGCAGGCTGGCAGAGAGCTATGTGCCTCCAGCGCCGAATCATCCATTGCACTGCTTCCTAGGGCCTGAAATTTGTTTGAAAATAATCAATGGATCAAGCTGACGGAAGATAACAGGTACGAGGACGGCGAGGTCACTAGGTATGGCGCTGGCGAGTCCTGGAGACCCTTCCCTAGAGGCGGAGGTGGTGGCGGAGACCGTTCCCCTCGACGAGCCCGAAGCCCACTGAGAGACCGCGAGCGAAACCGAGACCGAGATCGTGACCGCGACCGCGATCGTGATAGAGACAGAGACCGGCCAAGATCTCGAGACCGCGATAGAGACCGGGACCGAGATACCAGAGATACAAGAGACCGCCCGAGATCCAGGGACCGCGACAGAGAGCGCGCTCGCACACCACCCTTGACATCGGATAGCTACGTCCCCGGAAGATCCCCTGCACGACGCCGCTCGCGCAGTGCTGAGCGTTACCGACGCGATCGGTCCCGCGAAAGAGACCCACGCCCCCAGAGCGACACATGGCGCAGACGAGATAGGACTCGAAGCCCCCCTCCTGTGAGGCGGCCCTCGCCAAGACGTAGCCCTTCAAGGCGCCGCAGTCCCATTGGAAGATCTCCCGCTATTCGAGATGAGAGGAGCGATCGTGCCAGATCGCCGCCCCGCCGCGACAACAGGGACAGAGAACGTGAGAGGGAGAGAGACAGGGACTTTGATCGGCGGGACGACAGGTACCGTTCGTTGCCCCCCTTTGCGCAGACTCCAGTCTCATTACCTATTAGACGACGGTCGCGCTCGCCGTACGGCCGCGACAGAGGTCCTAGAGACAGAAGTCCGCCCAGAAGGTCGCCGGCGCCTGCACCTCGTGGCAACTACCGTCCGCGGTCTCGTAGTACCAGCCGCCGCGGCGGTGGCGAGAGATACGTAGGATCTTCTTACAGACGGGCGTCGCCGCCCCGAGATTCTGGCATCTCGTCAGCGATCACGTCTCGATCAGCTTCAGGCAAGTCGTCACCGCATCTTCCTCCTTCCACCCGAGCACGTTCGCGGCCGCAATCGAGGGAGCGTGGGGAGCGTGTCGAGCGGGTCGAGCGGGAGCAGCAGCGAGAGCGAGAGCGGGAACCCACACCGCTTCAGACCGGTGCTTCTGCCGCATCATCGTCCTCGACGATGACGACGACGATTCGCGAAGCACCTAAGCCTGCCGCAAACGCCACCGCAAACGCCGCCGTTTCCGCCTCCTCCGCGATCGCTGCCCCCCAAGAGCCGGTCCCGCCGGTCGCAAAGACACCACCTCGAGGCCCCGCCGCTTTACGTGCTCCTCCAACCGGCCCTGCCGCGACCCGAAACTTCACTGCGCCCGCCGGCTCACCAGCTGTCCAGCCACCTAGACACCCGCCGACCCCGAGCGTGCCACCCTCGCGCGCAGACGCCGTTAGCCCGACGATCCCCCCGGCTGGCCCCCGAGGCTACATAGCTCCGGCCAGGGGCGGCGGATACAGCGCTCGCGGTGGACGAGGCTCGTGGTCCGGTCCATCCCCTCGTCAGGCCCCTGCCCCCACGACATCCCCTTCTGCCATTGGCAACGGACCATCCACGATCCCAACGGGTCCGCGCGCCAACCCCTCCAACACAACACCGTCAAGCACATCGTCAGCACCCAAGGCGTTCAACCCTCCCACCGGTCCCTCTTCACAGCACGTTGCCGGAAACTCCCGCCCGACGCTTGCACAGAGCATGCTCGCGACCTTGCCGCCCATCATTCCCGGCGGCAAGATCGACCCGTCTCTACTCCCGACGACCACGGGCATCACGAGGGACATTGAGCCGCACTACAAGAAGCTCAAGGCGGAAGAGGAAAAGGCCCGCGCAGAGCTGGACGCGAAGCAGGATAAGTTGCGGCAGAGCCTTCAGATGTGGGACAAGCTCGAGATGGAGTCCAAAGCGTGGAAGACGAGAGTGGACCTGAGCGAACAGAGCTTGAAGAGTTTAGCCGGCGAGGGCATGGGCGGTGCCGCGTTCTAGGGCCATTGGCGACGGGATGTTAGATACATTGAGGAAAGGGGAAGGACAGTTTATGTGTGCTTTTGGAGGATCGGGGACGGGGGTCACTGTTTTGGCCCCCCTTGCAGCGGCGATGACGATGTATTATTACTACTGTCAGTGAGGGAGGCGAGGTAAATATCCTTACCTCCCCTTCTTTCCTTGTTTGCATGTACCAAGCTCTATCGGAATTCTTGTACGTCTAGCTCGACGATACCCTCATCGAAAAGTTGTAATAGACTGGAAATCTGGGACGAATCCGGCTTGTGCGTTTCATGGTACTTGACCACGAGAAGTGAACGAGAGAAATGGCAACTCTGACACAGTAGGGCCGATCACGAAGAATACGGGCGAGCGTTGACACTATTGATTTTTCCATTCGGCAACTTTCGACTGCTTCCTCATTCATGCCACAAGGGAACAAAAGAAGCCGCTCACTACCTTACTTTAAACTTAGGGGGGAAGCAGTCGTAGCGTCTCCAAACGCCGTCCGTCGTGTGCCTCGAATTTCATTACAGTCCTTCAGCCCAATTCAGTCTCTCAAGTCGTAAGCATAATCCATACTCGTTCGTTTCTGTGAACCCATCCTGGCCTTCCAATCGAGTTCCTCTCAAGCCAGTCCTATACTCCAAAGCCAAACCGTTGTCCGTTCCGTCGTCTTCCGCGGCATCAAGCCATGAAAATGTGCATAGAAGCCAGCCAAGTTGTAGAATTACAAGCTCGCAAAAGACAATGCTTACCATTGGTAATTCTCTGCGAATACCGAAATGACAACAAGACAGGCGAGTGTTTCTCGCAGATCAAGGGGGGGGGGGGGAGACATATTCAATATTACTCCTAGTCCATATCGCCATCCCATTCGTCATCGACCTCAAAGTCTCGTTCGTCGTTGAGGAAGTCATCCATGCTGTACTGATGCTCCCTAGGTTTTTGGTTGTCGATGTGGATATCGACGACATTGCACATGCCTTGGATGAATGCGTCTACCGCTGCACCTTCCGGGGCTTCGTCAGCTTCATCTTGATTCGAATCTCCTGCCCGCTCTTCCATGTCGACATCGCCGTCAGAGTCAAATTCATCGCTGTCTGGCTCCAGGTACGACTTGGGCTTCCGCTGCTGGCCACGGAGCCCTCTCGACGTGCTGCTAGCGCGAGAAGAGGTACCCGATGCATGGGACACAACCCGTTTGCTTCGCCGAGATGGCTCTGTGACAGGTTTCTTTGACTTTCGTTTTGAGGCGACCAGGGGAGACGACTCAATGGGGAACGGCTTCCGCAATGTGAAGTGTGGTCTTGGATCGGGGCTGTGCCGGAGGAAGACCTTTTCAAACTTTTCTTGCCACGATCTGCGGAATTCGCTCCGCGATCGCCAGGAGATGTTGAGCATTGCCTTGATAAACACGTGCCTGAGATTTGGTAAGTCTCTAGCGCTGTCGATTAGTGATTGAAGAAAAGCTTCGGCAGCCGTAGTGTCAGCTGCGTCGGAGCTCCAGTGACGGAGATTCTCCAAGTGAACCGTCTGCAAAGATGCCGGCCAACTGGGAACCTGGCCAGGGAGCAATAGTGTGTCGTAGGACGGAAGTGTATCGTCGATTGTCTCCAGTAAGCTGAAGTACTGTAGGTTCATACGCAGCTCCTTAAGATATGGACAGGCAGTTCCAAGCACCGTGAGGAAAGACAAGTTCAGCGAACGATTGTGGTGCAATACCAGCGACTGCAGCTGATGCCCCTTCGCAACCAAGAATAAGCTGAAGTCGTCGGCAATGACTTCCGCGCAATTGACTAACTCGAGGAGTCTAAGCTTTGCTGGGAGCAAAGAAAACAAGGACGAACTAACGATCGTCGAAGATTCAAAAGCCAAATCTTCGAGATTGGGCAAAGCCAGAATGGAATCTGCAAGCAGGCTCACAGACCTCTGATCTTCAGCCAGCAATTCGGGATTGGCTCCGGGATCTTTGTCCAGTCTGATGGACGGCATCTGGTAGTTCACGAACTTGAGCTTCCGCAGAGAGGTAAAGCTCGGCATTTGGTGGACTTGTTGAAGTCTCGCAAGGCTAGCCTCCCAGTTCTTGCCCATCAACCTGGAGCTCCACTGCCAGCTTTGGAGTCGTGTCATTGCAGTCTTGTCTCCCGCCTCAGCATCGGCGGTAGGTGACACCTCAAATGCCTGAAAAATCTCGTCAGGATAAGTCCACTTGATGGATTCCTTCAGCTTCCGGTAAGGGGCCTGGTCATAACCATGCACAAGTAGAACCTCTTTGAGACGTGGCAGGCTCTGCATCAGTTTGAGTGGCGATGTAAGACCTTGCAAAGACACCAGTCTCACATCGATGTGCAGGGCCTCTATTTTCACTCTGTAGTTCACAGTGGTCTGCGATGGCGGCTTCTCGAGCAGTTCCACAAGCCCATAAGCTTTGGTTTCGTCCCGTATTGGTGGACACCTGTAAAGAACGTTCAAAGCCGGATCGGCGAATTGCCGACACACCCGAGCCGTACGGAGGATCCAATTGACGTCCAAGGTATCCTGCTCATCGCCCGAAATCGCCGCGTATTGAAATATTTGGACCCAAATTGAATGTGCGATTTGAGGGTCTAGCCAATTCGGGGTGAAAGAGCTCGTGTTGTTCATGTCGACATCCGCCTTTTTCATTGGAGGCCTTCCGCGCGACTTAGTCGGAGAGGTCCTGAGAGCAACTTTGACGCCTAAAAAGTCGTCTTCAGATTCGAGATCGTCAGATTCGTCCGAGGAATTGTGCTTGACTTTCCGTCGAGGTCGACCTCTCTTATGGCCAGAGTCTTGCGTAGTAGTGGTCGACTTGCGTTTGGTGCCTGTCCGCTTGGCTCCTTTTCTGTCACTGGCCTTAGTAGGTGTCTTTCGCGGACTCCTACGTGAGACACGACGTGATTTCGTAGAATCTTCGGATTCTTCCGCGGCGGAGAGTTCGTCATCGGAGCTTTCCATGCCAACGTATGACTGAGTCTGGGAGCGGGTCGAGGATCGAGTCTTGGTTCGGAGACCATCGGTCGGCTTAGTCGTGTACGATCGGGTCCCGGTTTCAGTAACTTGCACCTGATCGGTGACAGCAGAATGAGAGCCGGTAGCGCGCGCTGGATTGCGACGAGGCATCGAGGTTGTGGCTTGTCGCTTAGAAGCCATGGCGCAGTACTAACGTGCTCTACGTCGAGAAGAATCGCATCTTAGAAATCTTGAAATGAACATTGACCTGGACTCGGTAACTAACCTGTGCTGTAACTATATGCAGAAGCTTATGGGGATATAGCTGGTCAGAAAAGTGTCGAAGTGCACACCAAACTAAGCGCATGCTGGTCCAAGCTGTCGAGTGGTGACGTTTGCGACGGTATGCGCCAGCGGCCGGAAGTCCGATATGAAGGAGCAAGACGGCGCGTAGTGTAAGCGATTTGCTTGTAGAATGTGGAAGTTGGAGATGAAGGAAGATACGGGTGCGCAAATGAACACGCTTGCGTAAAGTAGAAGAAAGGCAAGCGTTTGGGTACTTTCAATCGTCGAGGAAGGTTCACACCTTTGCAGGTGAATTGGAGTTGGGGTTGGTGGGGCAGGTGCGCGCAAGCCGCAACAGTGACTGAACCAACAAGAAGGAGCTCTCAGCCTTGCACTAGCGTCTTTTGCACCTCAAGGCTGCCTGGACGCTTGTCGAGGGGCCCCGCAAACACATGGCCTGTGCACTGTTCCAAGAAAAATGCTGCCTGATGTGCCTGGCAAGTGGAAGCTTTCGCTTTCTCAACTTTGAGAGTTTACTCGCCCTCTGGCATCATCGGGTTTGCCCCTGAGCAACAGCAGCGGTACAGATCGACTGCAAGAGTGTTGCGCTGCAGGGTACCAGACGCTTTAGATGGAGATAAACAAGTCTTAGCCGATGGTGCTGTAAAGAAAAGTAAGGCTCGCCTGTAATTCGCTTTGCTCCGAGTTGCCGTGCGGATGGTATTGGCTCTTTCTTTGGAAGGGAGCATCATGTTATGACGAGGTGCAAGTTGGCCTGAGAGAACAGAATTATCTGTTCAAGATTTTCGAGACAGGGTTCAATACTCCGGAAGGCAGGGCCAACTTGATTTGGTCGTCGGAGCGAACAGCCGCGCAGTCGGTTGCTTTCTGTTGCGCCTGAAGAGAGTGGGTCCAAAACAGGAAATCTCAACCAATCAAAAACTTGTATTAGTACAGAGGTAGAGTTGTCGAGCAACGTACCTACGTACAGGTAGCCCAGGCCAACCCCGGACTGGCCGCAGAAAGCAGAAGCCCCCGACACAGCGCTAAAAGTGCTGTGGTGCTGCCCCTTGCCCAGTTAGTTTCACTGTTAGGAAGCCTGACCAGTGACAGACAGCTTGCTGAAGGTCCCGGTCCGCCTCCAAAATTCAATTGCTTCGGGGGTGGATTGTTCACGTTTTTTGAGCCATCATCGACGACGCGCCTCGATTCCCACGTCTCTCACAGCCTGTTATTGTCACCGTCCAGCGCCACCACTCTTGACCGTCAGGAACGCGCCGCCTTTCTCCTGCCAAAACTAGAGCAAGGTGTTCTAGCCTTACGGTCCGTCATCTTTTAGGCTCGCTTGTCTCTTGTGTCCAAGCAGCCAGCCGCTTGGGCTCCATTTACTTTTTTCCTTTTCTCGACGGCGAGTCGAGTCGCGGTCGCGTCTTGTTCGCTGGGTTCCACCAGCTGTCTCGGCCCTCCGGTCGCATTGCTCACCACAACACCTCTTCGGCTCTGGGGAGGAAAAAACTTAGACTTGCGCCTTAGGTTGGCCGAATTGTGCAGCTAACCAGTCCGGATCTTCGGCTTCAAGACGCCAGAAAGGAGACAGCAGTGAGGTTGTGCATCACTGTCCCTTCTCGTGAGACGCGGCCTCTCACTGGCAGACCTTCAATGAGCACCGGGACCAGAGATTCTTCCACTCTGGCTCACCACGTTCAAGTGGGTTTTGCGAAGTAAGGGGCAGACACACCCAGGGAAGATTTGAAGGCTTACAGTCTTCATTTAGCCTTTCTGGGAAGCACCAAGCGGGACTATCTCTATAAACCTCTCATGGTCCCCCTTCACCAGCTATGACGCTTCACTCGCGGCGCCAGCGCAGTACCCCTTTTCTCCAGAGGAACATCTTGCAAGGCATGGGAAACACCCAGTCTTCGGCTTCCAAGGCCGCTGCTTCCGGAGATGTTCCCAGCGGCCATCATGAGGTCCGCCCCAACAAGCGCCGCCGCATCGACGCCGATCATCAACTCGCCGACCAAATATTCCAAGCTCGAGATGTTGGTGACCTGCAGCGCAATCTACGCGTCCAGGTCAACAGGATATTCCACAGGACTTCCAAAAGGATCTCGGTCGCTCCTTGCGACGATGTCGTGAATCTCAAAGCTCGGTGCAAGGTTTCGCTGTCGCATGTCACCAAAGCTGGTGAAGTCCTGTTGTACTGCAACAGCCAGCTGTGCGATATCAGGTCCTTCAAGGACCCTGGCGGCCCATATCGGATGGCGCGCATCTGCCTGCAACGCCCATTCTACATCCCCGAGGATAGCATGCGCATCAACCGCGACGACAACGGCTCCTTCGACCTGGCTGATTCCTATCGTCTCTGCGTTGAGCTCGAAGCCGCCGGCCCAACCTTCTGGCCACCAATCATCATCAACCCTTCTGGCGAAGATACAAGCCCCACCGAAGCCATACACTGGGTGCTCGCTGCCGCCTCGTCAGATTTGTTCACACGGAGGAAGGCGCTCCTTAACCTCAAAGTCAAGAAGACGCCGCAATCCATTGGGCCGACAGAGCATGTCCTTGATATTGACGCGCAGTGGACCACTGCTTTCGAGGCAGGCCAAATCCGTGCTGTGGAAGCGGGTACAGAACCCTCAATTACCGTATCAGGTATGCTGGCCGCCCAGGATTCTCTTCTCAACGATTATGGTCAGGAGCCATTATACGAAAGCCCGCCCGGAACGCCAGTCAAGGCTCCCAGAAACGGCGCGGTAAATGGGGATGTTCACGTGGACGAGGAGCTCGAAGAAGAACTCACACCCAACCGGTCGCTGAGAGTGCGCGGCGCCACGAAAAATTACAACCTGAAAGTCCTCAGTGACAAGGCCCAGGGAAGGGACAAGAAACGGAAGAAACGCGGCGCTGCGAATGCCGTTGAAGAGGGAACGGTTACCTATCACCTGCCCAGCGAGAAAGTCAGTCTGGATTCATTCCGCTGCATAACGTGCGGCATGCCACATGGCTCTCTCCCTCAGCTGCAGGTTCATCTCATCAGTCTACACGACCAGTATGAGTTTCGGCCACAGTCCCGTGCGAAAGGTGCCGAGTTTGAGGTAGCGCACCGCTACGAGACCTACACGTTTGGACCGGAGCCATTCGCGCTCAGGAGGCCTACGAAAGCATTCGATCTAGATCAGTTCGCAGAAGGCAACATATCTTTTTTAACGGCACGTTTTGGTACCGAAGACCAGAATACACCAGGACCCCAACCACCGGGTCGCGGCAGCAAACCGCCCGCCAAACCCGCGCAGGTTCGTTCTCTCGCAAATCATCTCGTGAAAGGTTACTGACTCTATATAGACACGCTCGAAAGTGCTTTTGCCGGATATTGGACAGACACTCTACGACCCCATCACCAGGGCTACATTACAACCAGGCACCGAATACCAGAAGCCACTTGCTAGCGACAATTGGCTCATTCAGTGGCATCGTGATGCTCTAGCGGACTTCTCCGATGTCCCACCAGACGAAAGAGAATACATGCAGGAATGGGACAAGTTCATGCTCACCAAGCGCCTCTCGTCCAGTATATACTTCCCCGCGGCGTGGTTGAGCTTCGTGAGGGTCAAATCAGACTGGCTCCTCTCTTCGCCCTCTCGCATGACCGAGTTTGGCAAACACTTCACATACCTGTTGGCGAGAAGCAGTCTTGACCACGGTACCGTAGTCGAGGCCCTCGACCACATTGCAACCCGTAAGACGAAGCTCGGCATCAAGAACGGCGAGTATCCGACGTTGGTTCCCAAGGGATCACCTCAGGGGCCTCACATCCGCAAGAGCGCCGGTGGCTGCTTGGTGTGTGGGCTGACCGTTCTGGGACCGAGGCTTCTCCTGTGTACCAACCTGGTGAGTGGCGGCCATGTTTTCGACCTTCATGAGGAAGCCAGCTAATAATCGTGTCAAGGAATGCTCAAAACGGCTCTATCACTCGGACTGCATCAGCGAGAACGCAAAGATGAGCGTCGAAGACCCGGACTGGGTCTGCAATGAGTGCTTTGACAGGCAAGCGGCAGAGCAGACGTAAAGAAGAAAGCCCAGCCACCGCCAGCCGCGGAAACCAAGACGCCCGAGTTGTACAAAAGAAAGCATTTTACTCGACAAATCGAGGAATGAGTAGATGAGAGGAGGTGGAGGAAAGAGAGAAGAGAAAAGGGAGGCTTTATCATTTTTCATTTCGACGACAAAGCGGGATGGCATCTGCATGGGGCAACCGGCGTCGCATGATGATTGGGGCGCCGATAGAGATGGGTTCTAGAGGCATCAGACATGAATTTTTTTTTTTTAAATTGAATCTCACCTGGAAATGACGAGTACTACTTTATCTCGGCGAGCAAAGGTATAGCGTGAAGAAAGGCAAACTAATCCGAAGCTCGTTTCTGACGTAGAGTTCACTTGAATGTCAAGAAACAATTATTAAAACTGCAAACATTGTTTAGAATTCTGTATGCCCAACCCGGCGCCGTTGCCCCTATTGCACATGAAAAATATTCAAGACTTGGAGACAGCCGCCAAGTCTCAAGCATACCGTTACAGTCCTCTCTCCCTATCGACTTTCTTTCTGAGAAGTCACCAACCCCTGTTCAAAACCTGTACTTGCTCTGCTTCTTCTTCTCGTCATTGCGCTTCTCGTCAACCTTTTGCCTCTTCCTCGACTCCTGCGCGATCATCTCGGAAAGATCCTCCTCGTATGCCCACTTGGCGCCCAACCCCTCTTCGCGCTTCCCTTCCTCGAACCGCCGCCGCACCTCGTCCTTGCTGATGCCGTCATTGTTGAGCAGCGCGTCCGGGTCGATCGCGACGTCCACGTCGCCGGGCTTCTTGCGCTTGCGGCTGTCGTCCTCCTGACCGAGCACCGGCATATTGGCCTTTTGCTGGTTGAGGTCATACACCCTGTCGCTGCCGAAGAAGCCCTCGGTGCGCTGCTGGCGCTCGGGGATGACCTGGTACGCCGAGCGCGGGTGCGAGCTCTCCTCCGTGTCGAAGCCGCGGCGCTGCTTGCGGAGGTCCATCTCGCCCGCCACGGACGTCTCAACGCCGTGACCAGGGTAATCTGTCGGTACCGATGAGACCATGCCGGAGGTCTCGATGCCGCTCGGAGAGGCGAGGCCGCCGGGTGCGTCCTCGTCCTCGTCCTCTTCCTCGTCGGATTCTTCTTCCGACTCTTCCTCCTCAGACTCCTCATCGCGGGGTTGCAATTCGCCCCAAAGCGTCTTCTCAACGGGTTCGCCGGTGGCCAAAGGCACGGCGGCGGGTTGCACAATCTGCGCGCCAGCCTGGTTTGTGAGACCAAAAACGTCACCACCATACAGTGGGCGGTTGAATTCGTCGACAGGGGGTTTGCCCCAACCACCAGGGTGGAAACCCCAGGAGCCGCCTGGTGGAGGTGGGGCATTGAGTCCTGGGATCTTGAGAGTGGGATATGATGGAGGAGGGCCGAACCGCTGCTGGTTGATGAGCCATGGTGGAGGTGCACCTGGTGGCATACCCAAAGCCTCCTTTGTGGCCTCTGTCAGGTCACCTGGTCTGAAGTGCTGGAAGTCAACCTCGCTCTCCTTACCCTCGTAGTACACCTCGCCGAAGCGGGTGAGTTCCGGCTTGGTCTGGAAGCGGAAGAACGCGTCATAGAGCTTCTGGTAGTCGATGTCCAATTTGCCCATCTTGGGAGCGACACGCTCCCGCTGCTTTTGCTTCAGAGATTGCTGCTCCTGCTTTTCGAGGACAGCATCACGCATTTCCGTGATGCCCGTCTCGGCGATGAACTTTGGTAACCGGAAAGGCGGCTTCTCGATACCTCGCTTCGAAGAAAGGTACTCTCTCTTGAGCGCCCAGTGGCCAGGAACGGGCACGACGTTTCTTTGCGCCTTTATCTGCACTAGAAGGCGTGGGTCCGTGGATGAGGTGTCTTGCCACTCGACAACATCGGGTATCTTGACCAAGGCCTTCAACTCCGCAATAGAGAGCTTGTTGAGTTGCTTCCTCTTCTTTTTTGAGAGCTTTGTCTGCCCTGTGGCCTCCTCATCCTCACTAGGAATATCGTCCTCGTCCCACAACACCTCTCCCGTGTTGCCAGCATTGGCCTCCTTCGAAATCTCGTCCTCGTCTATTGAGACGCCGAATTTTGAGAAGATATCCTTGAATGCGGCAAACCTCTCATCATCGAAGTTGAACTCGTCATCGGCAGGGCCGTCGGCTTCGACCTTGGCATTGGCCTCGGACTGGTTCTTGACCTCGAAATCGCCGCCAGTCTTTTCTTGTGTCTCAGCCCCCTCAGGCTTCTTCTCATCGTCGTTGACTTCGGGAGTGTTCGACGCGACCTGATTGTCCTGTGCGTCAGTATCGCTCGCAAATGCACCAACGCCAGCCAGATAACGCACCTCTGTCTGAGCCTTCTTCTGCTCCTTCTTCTTCGCCCTCCGCATTTGGTTCTTGGTCATCTTTGGGGCCGCCATCTTGAATCGAAATGCGCTGTTGAGCTGAACGCTTTTGGTGTAGCTTGTGTTACGACGTAGCAGATCACTCCAGCAATGATGAATCTTCTTGGGTCTATGCGAGGGCGCATGCTTTGTTGGACCGCAAAATAGTGGCGAGTCTGCGGGCACGCAGGAGTGAATTGAAGAGGGAAAGTCACAACGCGATGGGACAGATGAACGTAGGGGACGAATGGATAGCAGCAGCCTTCTGGAGGCGACTGACGATGCGTGACAGCCGCGCCAAACTTTTGGAGGCTGCTCTACAATTAAGTGGGTCCAGGATACAGACCGAATTGAGAACGGTACGTATTTCCTCATGTTACTGCTCGAGAGCTTGGAGTCGGTCGGGGCTGCTGAGTATGGGCGGGGATGTCTTATCGGAAGCCGGCGCTACTAATCATCCAGCAGCACGGCACCTCAGTGCCACGACGTCGTGCACACTAGGTACCTTAGGTACAGCTGCCAGCCCGTTCCGCCAGTCTTCCAGCGGGTTTAGTGCCCGGGCTTTTCGATGCTTTGGTGGGCGGGCTCCGTGGGGGCGTTTCTGCCCCTTGCTCAGCAGGGATGTCAGCCACTAAAACTAGCCAGTCCTTGGCGGCACTGCAGCACCGTGGGATTTCCGATTGATTGAGGTGAGGACAGCTCCCCCAGTAACTTTAGGGAGCTGACTTTGTAGTGTAAATCTCGCCATGGCGTCGAGACTTTTTCCATGCGAAAGAGAGAACGCGTAGCCTTCCACCATCAGAGCGTTGCCATCTGAAATCGAGTTTACACGAGGCCAGAGACAATGCTAGACTTTAAGCAAGTCTAAGCTTTTTTTTTCGCGCATGATTGCCGCATCTGTCACTCGTTTTTAACAATACAAGTTATATTTCCAAAGGTGGCCAGACCCAAAGGAACTAATCTCCCGGAATCGCACCCTGCCGCACTATCAGCTACGGATACCTTGTCTAGGTTGATACCAGAATTTGTCCCCGCCAAATATCCCCAGTGTTCGCGTCATGCCTCACTCCACCAGTCCTGGTTTTACTACACAAACCTCTTCAGTCGGTCGGTCGCAGCACTCACCAAGACCGTACGGAGATAGCGATTCCCTCTCTGCCAACGGCAACGGCGGCATGGAGAAGTTCCCCGATCACATCGATTCCCACCTCACCAACGGTTCAAGGGCGCCGAGCCCTGCAAAGACGAACGGCTATGCGCTGCCAGGAGCGCCTGTAAACGGCGACCGCTGGCAACCCCGAAAGGAGAGTCTCCAGGGTCGCGGCGTCAGATGGGGTGCGCCAGGACAACAAGTGCCAACACGGTATGGCCACGGGAGGCAGAAGAGTTTGGGTGACGCCATTCACAACATACGGACAAGAGGCGGAAGCGTTGGCCAGAATGCTCACGAGATAGCCGATGCGCTGAAGGCTCCTGTCTCCCCTAGGTTGATTGTGAGTTGTCTTCGAATGATACTCCCTTTTTTTTTTTTTTTGCTGGTGCTGACAGCCGTGTCACAGGCACTCTGTGTCCTCTGGTACACCTCTTCCGCCCTTACGAATACGTCCTCGAAGTCCATTCTTACGGCCTTCGACAAGCCTGCGACGTTGACCCTAATCCAATTCGCTTTTGTGGCGACATACTGCATCCTATTCGCCTGGCTTGCCAGTATCTTTCCGAGTCTCAAGACAACGATACCAGCTCTCAAGCATGGCATTCGCTACCCTTCCCGCGATGTCATTTCGACGACAATGCCTCTTGCAGCATTCCAGATCTTCGGCCACCTGTTGAGCTCAACTGCGACATCCAAGATCCCCGTTTCGCTGGTCCATACTATCAAGGGTCTCTCGCCCCTTTTCACCGTCCTGGCCTACCGCTTGATCTTTAACATCCGGTACTCAGTCAACACCTACCTGTCGTTGGTTCCCTTGACTCTCGGGGTCATGCTGGCTTGCTCAGGCAAACATAACAGTTACAGTGGTGAGCTTCTGGGCATCTTATACGCCCTCCTTGCCACCATCATCTTCGTGACGCAAAACATCTTCTCGAAGCGTCTCTTCAACGAAGCTGCCAAAGCTGAAGCCGAAGGACAGTCGGCTCAGTCGCAAAAACTGGACAAGCTGAACTTGCTCTGCTATTCCTCTGGCATGGCATTCATCTTGACGGTTCCGATCTGGTTCTGGAGCGAAGGCACTGATATCATCGGCGACTTCCTCCACGATGGTGCAGTCGACTTGAACGAAAAGGCGGGCTCATTTGACCACGGCCGCCTCACTATGGAGTTCATATTCAACGGCACATTCCACTTTGGACAGAACATCCTCGCTTTCGTCCTTTTGTCACTTGTGTCGCCGGTGACATACTCAGTCGCCAGTCTGATCAAGCGTGTTTTCGTCATTGTCATCGCAATCATCTGGTTCCGAAACCAGACCACCCCTCTGCAAGGAGTCGGCATCCTGCTGACCTTTGTCGGCCTCTACCTGTACGACCGAACTCACGACCGGGATAAGGCGGATCGCAAGGCCAAGATGATGGAGATCAAGGAGGAGCCCCTGCTACCCCTGAACACAAAGGACGCCTTGAACGCCAGCCAGAATGCGCCGGTTTTCGAGAGCCCTATGGTTTCTGCTGGAGCTTTCCAGTCGTTTAGCAATGGGCACTCGCCTCATGGCGAAGATGCCAAAAAGTCTGACGGGCCCAGCAGTGGTAGAGCCCGCGGCGCGAGTAATGCCGCCTGGCTCGCACCGGGCACCAAACAGGAAGATACCTGGCGATTTGGGGATCGGTAGGGTAGGGTGGAGATGTAAAACATGTCTGTTTTGGCCAACATGTCGCAGGAGTTCAATGTACTATCATGATAGGCGCCAGTCTGGGTTGGCGGCAACGTATGGATGAAAACACACATGTCTTGTAAGCTGCCTTGGTTTTAGATGTAATCGGGGATCTATGCTAGGCATCAGCGAGGTCACCCTTCAACATGAGATACCTAGACACCGGGAAATCAAAGAAGGCCCCGGCGTTTGAATGACTACTTGTAAAATCCTTCACGCGTTTTATCGCTGAACCTCCTCATCATTTCATGAAATTGGTTTGTGTAGGTGCTGATACTCGAGCGTGCTGTTTTCGTAATCGATTCCACCTCTTGTTGTTATCACGTTGAATGGTCATGAGAAGTCATCCACCATCATGGCATTAACTTGTACGAACGTTACTTTTCATGTTAGTCAATGAGCCATTCCTCCACCTCGATACCAACACTTCGCCCCACACCCCTGATGATATCCCACCCGACATTGATCCTCCACTTGCCGCCCCGGTCCATCGGATCGCCGCCCGTACCCACCTTCATCAACAACCGCAGGCTCGCAAGAGTCGAGATGGCCATGCCGACGTCTCCATCGACCACACTGCCGGTGGTAAGCCCGCCGTCGGCAGCCCACTCGCTGCGCACCGCGGCGAAGATGGCGAGCATGCGCTCGAGGACGAACGCGTGCGCGCCGAGTAGCTTCCGCGAGATTTTTTTGTGCTTGCTCGGCCGACCCCTCTTCGGCACCACGAAGCCTCCGCCGCGCCGCTTCCGACGGCCGTGGTGATACGTTGAGAATAGCGTCAGGTCGTGGCGCGGGGCGTTGTGCGAGGCAAGGTATGCTGCCAGCAACAGCAGCCGGGTCGTTGTCGGTAGAAGCGTGGTCAACTCGGCCGTGGCGGTGCTCAGCGCCGGCTGGGCTGTCGCATGCTTTGAGGGCGTGCCAGGTAGCCCATATCCATCCGCCGCCGGTGTCGCCTTGGAAGCTGTGGTGCCGGGCTTGATATAGACGATACTCGGGTTCAGGAGGCTCTCATCTTGGAAATGCACACGGGAGGCGATGAGAAGCTTGGAGAACTCGCGCGGACCGTGAGTCCGGGCCAGTATGGGCGCCGTGAAGCGCGGCCAGAGGGCCTCGCAGCTGTTTCGACATGAAGGCAGGGTGTTGGATGCCGAGGTCGTGAGCGCGTCGCAGACGGCACCGACGAAGCGGGTCCAGAGGAAGTTTGTGTCGTCCTGTGTTGTCGTCGGGGTCGGAGACGGTGGTGACGCCGAGATGATCCTTATATATTCCTGCTTGGTGTAGTTCGGGAATTGGATATGCGGCACGAATGATGTGCGGAGGAAGGAAGGGGGAGGTGCGGTGACGATAAAGACACAGGTCAGGCATGGTATCTATGTACGATAGATGTCAGCATGCAATGGCTGAGCGTGGAGGATTACATATTCACTCACCACTTCGGACAGTCTTGCTAATGCTGGGAGGAGAGTTGCGGGAGCGTCCCTCTGTCGGTCAATTGCGTCGAATACGAGAACAAGGCGCCAGCCCTCGGGTCGTTGTGTATACTTGAGCATCTTACAAAGCTCAACCATCAATTGGGCGAGGGTTTCGCACTTCTTGGGCGTTGTCTCCCATTGTATAGCTTCCACGACGGCAGAGATTGTCCGCTCGAACAGATGCCGGCCTGTGATACATTGTATGGAGTTGATGATGGCGAAGTTGAGGGATGTTTCGCTTCCGGGTTTTTCGTTGGGGGCTTCGGAGAGGGTTTCCAGGAGGGAATCGACGATTACTGACTTTCCGGTGGCTTCGGTGCCGTATATGACGAGATTCCGGCAGGGCGCGGCGGCGGGCTGCGCAATTGAAGTCAGGAAAGGGTTCGCGGCGGCAACCGGTGGCTTGGCGACTTACATGGAGGAGAGTAGCTAAAGAACGGATCTGACGTTCGCGGCAGGGAAAACGCTCGAACAAGGAAGACAGAAGAAGCTCCTCTGGGAGCTGGAAGAATGATGCCATGTCAATTGGTGCTGTTCTCAGGTATTAAGCCTTTACGACTGCCGAAGAAAGTTCGTCTCTTGGAAAAGAAAATCGGGGAACCGTCGCTCCGTCGCGCGCGTCCAGTACACCCAGACGTAAAATCAACCTGGAAGCCGTTGAGACGCGAAGTCATGTGACCGGATCATCGGCCATCGCAGGCCTCTCACGGCGGGCGCAGAGACTACCTTAGAGGCCCGCCATGGGGCCCGGGCGCCCTGTGCCGGGCGTAGGCCCCCACCTTTTGAGTCTTGACCACACTCAGTTCTAACGTTACCCACCTCAGTCACCAGTGTCCTCTCCCTCTGGCCCGCCCCTCCTTCTCTCACCAACTGTGCGCCAAGTATCAAGGTCCACGTACCCAAAGGTCAAACAAACATGCACGTATCCAAACTCTCAACGCCAAAAAGGGCAACCCACAGAGGTTGACAGCAGGGAGAGGCACTCCGGGAGGCGCAGTACGTAGTGTCATTCTGCCCTTGGAATGACAAACTTGTGTGCCAGTTGCCAGGTTTGCGCAAGCCTCTTACCCGTCCTTTTCTGCTGCTGTACATGCTTCGTGGCCTGCGGCGCAGTATGGATACCTACGTCAACGCATGGAACACCATGTACTGTTGCGGCAATCGTTCTCCCACTTGACTTCTCTGGTTTCTATTAGCCCGTCTCATATCCCATGTCACCCCCGAAGGATTCATGCCACCCAACAAAAGCGCTAGTCAATCGTCAGATGAGGGAGAGCTCGTCAGCTCAATGTGGGGTCGATGACCTCTCCATTGTGGCTTTGACAGCCAGTCTCTGGGAAGGCAGCAGCAGCAGCATCAGATTCGTTTGTCGTGAGGCCTCACACACTTAACTCGACACAATTGACCCTGCACTGCACATTGAACCAACGGCCTCCTGGGGGCAAAAAGCAAACTTGAAGCTAGCAAGCCGACTAATTAGTGCGAAAGGGGACTGTGTTTTAAGGCTTCATCCGATAACAACTAAGCGTCTCATCCCGTCAGCAGCGTCACCCACCCACATTACTCTGTTTCAACCCCGACGACATCTCTTCCCCCGTCCGGCCGTTGGACATCATCCCTAAAAGTAGAGGTCCGAGCATCACCACCCTTCTTCTACCTTAGCGTCCGACTTCACATTCGAACGACGTACCCATTGCCACTAACTTACCAAGCCTCTTCTCTCCCTCTTCCTCATCATTCATCTCACCCAACCTCGCCCCATCTCACCCCGTAGTCATCCTTCCGTCCTGAATTCTGACGCCGTTAGATTGAGGGTAGCCACGGGTTCATCATTGAGACGAGAGCGGGTGCCCTTGGGGCCGTCAATGACACACGATGACCATCCTCTCCTCCGGACAGTCAGACTCCGCCGATGCCATCGCTGCCGCCGCAGGATGCGCAGCAAATCACACCGAGGATAAGCCGTACCACTCAAAACGGCCTCACAAGAAGTCCCGGACGGGATGCAAGAACTGCAAGACCCGCAAGGTGAAGTGCGATGAGGCTCGTCCGACGTGTCGTAACTGCGTGCTCCGTAAGGCCAACTGCGTCTACCCCGGACCTTCCCACTCCCACTCCGACCACGCTCCGGGATCGCCATCTGGCTCCTCCCCCGGGCCCTTCTCACCGGCCCGCTCGCGGTCTCATACGCCGCCGCACCACATGGGCGGTGACGACGACTCCAATGCCCTCGTCATCCGGGAGCCGCTCTACATCCCCGCCGGCGATAGGGATGTCATCGATATGAAGCTGTTGTGGTTCTATACTACCAACACCTTCACGTCGTTTGCTACGCAGGCTGGAAGAGTAAAGCGGATCGACGATATCTTGAAGGTCAAGATACCCGGTCACGCTTTTGAAAGTCCGTTTCTCATGGACTGTCTGCTGGGCACATCAGCCCTCCAGCTACAGCATCTGAAGCAGGACATTGCCCCCTCACGCGCACTACGATATCGTGCACGCGCCTTTGAAGGGTACCGCAAAGCCATTGAAGAGGGCAAACCGGAAACCTTCCCCGCTCTCATCGCAACCTCATTACTTCTCACAGCCCTCTCATCGCAAATGTTCCGCGAAGAGGGCACAAAAGACCTGTACATCATCGACTGGATGGTCGTCTGGCGCGGCATCGGTCTCATGATCGACATGGCCACACCCCAAACGCTATGGGACTCGGGCCTCGCGGAGCTCTTCATGCGGCCGCCCATCAACCTCGACGAGGCTGCCAAGCACATTCCCAACAACCTGCTCTTCATGATCTCCTCCATTCAGCCGGGCGACCCGGAATACAACGATATATCAACCTACTACGACACGCTCAAGTACCTCGGCTCCCTCTACGCGGAGCTCGTCGCCGGCTTCGGCCCCATCATGACCCTCCGCGTCGTGACCTGGTTTACTTTCATACCCAAAGGATTCGTCGAGCTCGGCCGGGAGAAGCGGCCTCGGGCGCTCGTCATCCTTTCCCACTACCTCATGTTCATGAAAGCAGTGCAGAACCTGTGGTGGATCGAGGGCATCGGCGACCGCGAGATCGCAGGGATCGTAAACTACCTGGGCGAGTCGTGGTACGAACAGCTCGCCATGCCGCGTCTGGCTCTGCTGCTGGACGACCGCACCGACATCGCGCGGCTCATCCTCGGTGATCCGGAGTGGGAGTCGCCCGTCGACTTTTACAATGCCCCGACGCGGGATCCGCGCACCGAGTTGCTTACTTGGGTCGACGACCACGGCAAGCGATACAAGGGCATGCCGCAACGCGTCGGGGACTTGAACCCCGCAGCCCCGGCGCCGCGCACGCTACCCTGGGAGAGAGATGGCTTCCACAGGGACCCGATGATGCTCAGTCCCGCGGGACGGCGGTATGCTGAGAGAGTGCTAGAGGCGATCGACTCGGGAGTGCAGGACATGAATGTATCCTGAAGAGGCTGGGAACCGCCCCCGTCGATCGAGAGGCGGGGGGAGGGATTTCCGACGGTCTTCGATTACAATACCCAATTAGCGCACTTGGTTCACGGATTTCAGCGAATGCTGTAGCTATCTTAATCACCACAATTTGAATAATCAGAATGAACACAATCAAGATTCGGCTAGTACAAGCTTATCGGCTTTGAACCTCGCCGAGAGCAGTACTTCTGACGTTCAGAGGAAACGAAATTTCGCAATTGAGGAGAACATCTTCAAAGGCACCCATTTATAGGACATATTCCCTTCGAGATTTGTCTCCTGCGACGATTGTATCACATGACAACCAGCAAGAGGCAACACGCATCAATAAACACTGCGGAGATGAGTTGGAGCAAAGTCATTGTTGACAGACCCTCACTGGCTGTGGTTTTCCAACGTTTTCAATTATGCCGCTACTGCCAGGCCTATACAATCGTATCCAAGGAGACCCGATCATCCGCAAAGCAAACTCGATAGTGCGATAAAAAGTTTCGTCGAAACCAAACGCACCCATGAGAACCGCCTTCAGCAAACACTACTGGGGTGCGTTGGAGCGGCGAGGGAAAACCAGGCTGTGATGGTAGCTGTATGCTGGTGCAGGGTCGTGTATGAGGTGCGGAAGAGTGTGATGAGAGTTGCAGAGGGGATGGGGGCCAAGGCAGGAGGCTTATCTCGCTCTCGAGAAGGGCTTCGCGCCACAACTCACGCTGCTTTAACGGGAAGCCGCCTGGGCTGGAGGGCGGGAGATGTGCTAGCCTGGAGTCAAGGAGACGGACGGATGGTGATAGGATGCAGAAACAAGTCACCTTCCACCCTGGAGCGGAAACTGACAACCCTTTCCTATGAGATAAGGAAAGTGAGGCTGCAGAGCTTGCCTGAAGTAGGGAGGCAACCACCAACGTACAGGGGAACAGGCAAGCAAGCAAGGGTCGCAATTCAGGTATGATGTGAGTTCAAACAAACAAGCTAACTCCAATAAGAAACAAGACATGAAATGGCCGTTGCATTTTCCAAACCATAAAGCCCTCGTCCAATTAGAGAATCTTCAGCATCAACAATGATGTCAGACGATAGACAAACGTAAACACTCCCTGTATGCAGCCATAGTACATTATGTACAAATCCTCCTCTACTGCGCAAACAAAAGCGACCTGGGGTTGCCCAACAGAATTTTGAACGTCTCCTCAATCTTGTCAAGCAGCTCCGCAGCATGGCCCTTCCAAGACTCAAACGTGACAATCTCAATCGTCAACTTGTCGCCCTGGGGGAATGCCTGGATCTTCCACTCGCGCAGCGGCTCCTGCTGCGGGTAGATCGTCTCCATGCGGCTGCTCGCCGTCTCGAACCCGAGGCTCTCGACGTGCTCGACGTCCTGGTGCACCACCGTGTCGAACCAGTCCACCGAGGCCGGCCAGTCGGTGCACAGCTTGGCGATCTCGGGGAGGCCGATGCCCTCGTGCGCCGAGCTGGCAATGTGCTGGTTCTGCACAAGGTTGAGGAGGTCGAGCACCGTCCAGTCGTCCTCAAACTTGACGCGTACGGGCACGTATTGCCAGCAAGGACCAACGACCATGTCGGCGTTGGGAAAGTCGATGTTGCGGCCGCTGACGACTTCGCCAAAGGTGACGTCTCTTGTGCTTTGCAGACGGGCGAGAGTCAGGGCCCAAGCTGCGGTGGGAAGGGTGGCGATGGTCACGTCCTTGGAGCGGGTTGAGATGTCAAAGGTCCTATCGATGGCGTAGTGCTGTCTCTCCGTCACGGGGGTATTGGGCTTCAGGACATTGACGGAAGATCCCTGAAGGAGCTCCTTCCAGTAGTCGACACTTTGGGGGATGTTTGACTTGACAACGTGGCCGACAAAGGAGGAAAAGGGAAGAGCCTTGGGAACGGGCTTGCCCTCGTGCAGGGCCGACAGCTGGTGGAGCATGATGGGCAGGCAAATCTCATCGTATTGAGCATGCGAGACGCGGAAGACGAGCGCGGACTGGCCGTTGCTGCTGTGGACGAAGAACCATTTGACGAAGATGGAGCCGAGCGGCATCCGGGTCTGGACGTCGAGGTTGCAGAGGTCCTTGACAAAGGTCTCGACGTCGCTGTCGATCTCGTACTCCACGACAGGGGTTTTGACATCTTCGAGAATGACGCTCAGGCAAGCGCCGTCATGCTTGACAAAGACTGACCTAAGCACCTCGTTGAGGGAGACGAGCTCTTGGCAGCTTTGGAAGAGACGGGGGCGGTCGACATCGCTCTCGAAGTACATGGCCTCGTAACGAGCAGAGAAGCGAGGGATCTCGATCGTTCCCTTAACGGCGACCTCCTGTAACGGTCTTGCGGGGAAGGCGTCCACGATCTTCCAGGTTGGATCGGCCAAAAGGGGGCGGAGGGTTTCTGCGGGGGCATTGCCGAGGGTCTCAACCAGTTCAAAGGGAACGAGAGCCTTCACAGCGTCTTGAGAGTCTTGCGTGGGTTCAGAATCTTGCAGGACGCTGGCCATATCGTACAGTGTCCTCTTAGTGAAGACCTGGTTGACAGTAAGTGTGAGGCCAACCAAGCGAGCCTCGGAGACGAGCTTCATAGCGCCGATGGAATCTCCGCCAAGACGGAAGAAACTGTCGTTGAGTCCGATATCACTCTCAGGGAGCCTGAGTACGCGGCTCCAAAGAGTTCGCAGACGACGCTGCTTGGCGGACGTGGCGGAGATGCGCTTAGTAGGCGCCTTGCTAGCAGTGCTGACCTTTTGGACCAGGTCGCTTGTCTTGCCGGTGATCTCAACAGATCCATCCGCATTAAACTTGGCTAGACGCTCCGTCCTGTAGAATTTGCCTGCCTCCTTTTCCTCGGCCCACGAGTAGTTCTCCAGTATGGAAAGGGACAGGTCGGCTTTGCTAGCAACCACCAATTCACCAACGACTCCCAGAGGTGCCAGAAGCCCAGAATCAGTCGGATTGACGATGTACACCGCCTCAGCTTCCGGGTACTCCTGCTGGACGCTCTTCACGCTCTCGGTGCTCAAGCGAGCCACCTCGGTCTTGTCCTCATCAGTCAGATACGCGACATCGCCAAGTGGCGTGTCGGTAAGCTGGCAAAGCTTCTGGGCCACTTGAGAGAACTGGGCGAGGGCCTTCTCCATGAGAGGCTTCTGCACAGTCTTTGAGTCGAACGAAGCCATCACCAAGAAACCCTTGGGGTCTGTAGAGCAGACGAGCATAAGAGCGTAGGTGTTGAACTTGAGAGCTTCCTCTGCGGCCTCTGCGTCACCTGCGGGCACCAGGCGGTTGGCAGGGTATTTGTTGAACTCTTCTTGGTCAAATTCATCGGCGCTCGGGTGCAGGACAAGACCAGTTCTCAGCTCGCAAGCTTCGAGGGCATCGGGGCTCAGACGACGAATGTGTTGCAGACCGGTGTGCTCGTAGGGGATTTGCTGGATGGTCTGGTCCTGGATGTCTTGGAGGTAGTCGCTGACAAGAGTCTCGGCATTCACCTGGGTACGGAAGGGGACGGTCGTGATCATGGGGCCCTCAATCTCCTCGGAACCTCTGATGGGCGCATTACGACCGGTCAGAGTCTCTCCAAAGACGACGTCGTTTGATGATGCGTAGTGAGATGCCACGTAAGCCCAAGCACCACGGATCACGGTGGCGACGGTGGTGTTGGATGCAGGTCTGCCGTTCAGGGGCACATAGACTTCCAGGAGAGAGTCGGCCTGCGTCTGGTAGCCTTCGTACGGTAGTGCAGGGAACTGAGTAGTGGCACCAGCACCCTGGAGCTGTTCACGCCAGTACGTCTCAGCAGCGCTGCGATCCATGCTGCTGAGGTACTTGATAAAGTCCTTGAACTCGGCGGGACGCTGGACCTTCTCTCCGTCAAAGGCCTTGTTGACCTTGTCGACGATGAGGGGCATGCACCAGCCATCGTACAGAGCATGGTGCATCGTCAGCACGAACTGCACCTTGCCCGACTCGTTGTCTGTAACGAGAGCGTAGCGGACGAGGGGTTTACCCAGGTCCATGCCCTCCTCGCGGTCCTTCACTAGGTAATCCTGGAGGTCGTCGCCAATGTGCCAGGCAATATCTTCCTTGACCACGACCTGAGCGAGGCCGCGCCCGGGGACCTGAACGATTCTTGTGCGAAGGATGGCGCAGTCTGCGGTGGCGACGTCAAATGCGTTGCGGAGCTTGTCTGCCGTAGCAGAGTCTGCGAGATCGACGACTCTCTGCGCGACATATGCCGATGTGACCTTGGCGGACAGAGCCATCAGACCCTCCTGAAGAGGCGTGCAGGGATAGATGTCCTCGATGGCAGACTCCTCGATGCCGCAAAGCTTAGCAGACTCTGCGCGGGCCTCCTCGGGGGTCCAACCCTCCTCGAGAAGAGAGAATGGCGCAACGGCGGCCACGTCCTCCGTGGATACCTTGGTGGCGTTCTCGGCCATGGCCTTGAGCGTGGGGAAATTGAAAATGGCCGCCACGGTCAGGGCGATGCCGTCATCTCTGGCGGCGGCGACGAGCTTCATCGCACGCAGGGAGTCGCCGCCGAGCGCGAAGAAGCTGTCGTGGAGACCGATGCTGGTCTCGCCGCCCAGGATCTTGATCCAGACTTGCTGCAGCGCCTTCTCCATTTCTGTCTCGGGATCATTCTTCTCTGTGGGCGCCACGCGCAGACGGGCGACTTGCTCGCGGGACATGGAGCCTCCAAGCTCGCGCAGACGCTTGCGGTCAATCTTGCCGGAAACCAGGGACGGCATCTTGCGGAGGGGGATGTAGGCGGAGGGGACCATGTAGCGGGGAATCTCGGCGCCGAGAGCAATATCGATCTCGGCGATGGCCTGGCTGAACTCGGGGGAGAAGGTGGTGACGTCGCCCTCCGCGTCTGCCGCGCCGGCGATGGGGTTCTGCTCGACGACGAAGGCGACTAGCGTCGGCTCGCTGCCGCCGGGCTTGACGACCTCGGCGACGATCTTGACGCCCGAGGGCATCTTACCCCTGAGGTGGTGCTCCACCTCGGCCAGCTCGATTCTCTGTCCGCGGAGCTTGACCTGCTGGTCTTTGCGGCCGACGAAGGCGATGGAGCCGGTGCCATCCGGATCGTAGCGGACCAAGTCGCCCGTCTTGTAGAGGCGGCCGTGCCTGCCGCGGGCGGGGCCGCCACCGGCGAGGAGCCAGGCGGGATCCTCGATGAAGACCTCGTCGGTCTTGGCCTTGTCGTTGAGGTATCCCATGCCGACGACGGGTCCCTCGATGAGGAGCTCGCCCACGGCGCCGACGGGCATCAGACGCTCGTGGTCGTCGGGGTCGACGATCCATGTGAGACCGCCGGTGCCCTTGCCGATGTTGGTCGACATACTGCTGACGTTGCCGTTGATTGTGCAACCGACTGTGCATTCCGAGGGACCGTAGGCGATGATGACGCTCGTGGTCTTGCTCCACGTGGAGGCATCTCCCGCGGAAACGGCTTCGCCGCCGAGACCGAGGACCTCGAGCGAGGGAATGACATCCGCGTCCAGAACACGGGCTACAGAGGGAGTCATGTGCGCCATGTTGCACTTGGAGTTGCGGATGGCGCCGCTGAGGTCGTTCATGCGGTCCTCGTCCGAGGCGATGCAGAGACAGCCGCCCGCGGCGAGCGTGCAGAGCATGCAGTCAATGCTGACGTCAAAGGCATACGAAGCAAAGTCGAAGCAGCGCGAGTGGGCGCGGTATCCGACCTCCCAGCCGCGGGGGACGGCGCCGCTGGTGAAGTTTTCGTGAGAGATCATGACGCCCTTGGGCTTGCCCGTGCTGCCGGAGGTGAACTGGATATAGAGGGGAGAAGATGGGGGGACGACGGGCAGCTCGGCGGCGAGCTCCAGGGTATCTTGGTTGAGGGTGTCGTCGGAGGCGACGACGAGGGTCTGCTCGGGGGCGATACGCCGGCCGAGCTCGCTCTGCTCCTGGGAGGTGACGATGATGGTGGCGCCGGTCTGCTCGACAATGGTGCGCAGGCGGGCCTCGGGTTGGCTGGGGTCGGTGAGGGCGAAGGCGGCGCCGGCCTTCATGACGGCGAGCAGGGCGACAGTCGTCCACCGCGACTTCTCGAAGCACATTGGCACCGTCGAGCCGACTTGCACGCCACGGGCGACGAGGTGTCGCGCGAGACGGGTCGAGAGCCGCTCAACGTCGCCGTAGGAGAAGTCGCCATCCCAGGACTCGACGGCCGGCCGGTCCGGGCCCCTGGCTGCGACCTCGGAGATGATGTCCTGCATGCACTTTTGCATGTTCTCTGGGAGTTCATTGTTCCATGTCCAGAGCTGCTCGAGGTCCTTTGCGGTGGGACCGATGGTGTCGGAGACTCGGCGGTGCGGCTTTTCGAGGATGGTGGTGAGGATCTCAATGAAGGAGTCGAGCTGGAAGATGGCGTGGCGGTGGGAGAGGACGGCGCGGTCCCATTGGGCCTTGATCACCATCTGCTTCTCGTTGAGCGTCGCCTCGATCTGGTACGTCCACTGGGTTTCATAGTCAGCATGTTGAGCATGGAGACAATAGTCAAAGTCATGAAAAAACCTACATCTTGTGATCTCTTGGAAAGCGCCTTCTCCGAGTTGCCTTGAGATTTTGGTGTTCCATTATTGAAGTATATCACCGGGATGGTTTGCGTTTCACTATCGGGACCGCTCTCGCCGAGCTCCTTGATGACCCCCAAGGCCTCAGCTATCGAGTTGCTGTTCTTGAACGGCGCCTCGCTCAGGCTCAGGCTGTTGTGTATTGCAGACGAAGGTTCCTGGCCGTCCCGCGTTCTGAATCCCCAATTTACCTTGCTCAGGCCGTCGTCGTTGTTGCGGTGAAGTACGAGCAGCCATGCGAGAAGGAGCTCGTGTCTGAAGTCGCTTATACCACTGGTCTCGGCCCGCGATGTCACGACGACGGTCCTCGTTGAAGAGGAATTCACGGTGCCGTTAGTCAAGCTGTTTGCGCCGTCGGCATGGCCAGTCTCTTGGTAGGCGGTTCCGCCGCCTTCGCTGTCCCGCAAATGCATCGCGTAGTTTGTTTACTTCCGGGCCGAGGGAGGGTAGGGTGGCGGGGGTTAGCAGGGAGTGGACGGGTGAATAACGAGCGTTATGAAGTAATTCGAGTTTGAAATAGCAGCATTTCAGAAGCTGGACAAGGATGGTTTCCTCTTCCAACGTTCGGTCTTGTGAGCCTGGACTTGTGAAGAATATGTTTGGAATTTTGTCTGACGACGATCAACCGGCCCAGGGTGGAGAGCTACCCTTTCACAGTTCACACACATGCACCAAGACTCTCCGGTCTTGTAACCGCGAGAGGCTCTTATGTGCAACTCTGCAGCCGTCCGCGCAGGTATCCTTGCATGACGCACCCGAGAACATGCCTTCCCGACTCTTGCTAGATCGACGAACCCCATGGCTGGGTACCTTGCGGTGCATAGCCGAGCTACGCCTCCTCGCAGACCGAGCTGGATGCGCTGCGGAGAGCAAGCGGAGGAGCAAAAGCCTCAGAATGAGGGCGTGGGCATTTTACCCGGGAACCACCAGTCAGTTTCTGCGATGATGAAGGGTAGATGCGAGCCAAAACGGCGCAACGTCCCTAATCCATGGCGCCGTCCGGGTGGGTATAGTAGAACATGTGTGTGTACGGAGTCATCTGTACTGTCGTGTATCCCATTTTGAGTCGGCACGAACGTATGGGCCTGGCTAAGCTAGGAGCCTAGGTATGCAAGAGCTATTGCAACTGTACTACAAAGTCAGCAATGGGAACTTTGGGCGTGAGGAATGCCAGATATGAACGAGTTGAGCACACCCTCGCAGCACCAATGAGGCAAGAGTTTCACGACGGGTCCTTTGAGCTAAGGCGCCATCTCATCATACGTTCTGGACGGAGGGTCCAGGGAAAGGTACTCGGTGGTCGGAGAAGGAGAAAAAAAAAAGAGGTAAGGGGGAGGGGTGTGTGTGATGATGTCGTGGGCCCCGATGCGACCTTGCGAAAAGAGGAACGGAGGGTACGAAGATACAGACCGGTACCTGACCAGGGGTGGGCCAAAATGACGGATCTGATTAGGAGCGCCAAGGGGGCGTGTCCCGCTTGTGGGCCGGAGGCGAGCGCCGGGAAGCATCGGCCCTCTTCCTGCAGCGAAAATTTCTCTCAATTTCCAAACTCATCGGCATCCATAATCCAGGGGGTTTGTTCCGCCGAACAGTGGGTGGCACACGCAAAGAGAGAAAGCGCCGCTTGAGACCGCGGATCTGATAACTTTAACGCACCATCGTCCCTCCCAGGATGTGACGAGCATATGGATGGATGTCGTAACTTCATGACACATGTGTTTTGCTAAATATGGGTATAACGGCTCTGCGTCATCCAGTAAGCGCTCGTCAAGTCCATGAAGATTGGAGTAGGGAAAGCTGGTTGTTCCCTCTTGGCCTCACGTTGCGGCATTTCCATCGTCTCCTTCAAGGTTTATCGAGAACTGCCGCGTCAACCCCCGATGTATTTTGTGTGAATATAGTGCTTGGCACTCGAGTCTGTCGTCTCCTCGAGCGTCGTGGGGACGGCCTGCTCCAGTTCGTGAGGGAAAAGTCTTTAGGCGCGTCCCAGCCTAAATACTCACACAGAACGCACTGTGAGCCGGCAACTACGTCCCGTTCTGCTGCGTTGCTGAATCGATTCCCGACCTATCGTTTGATCTTGATTTGGCGTGCGCACACATAGAAAAAACAACGCACTTGCGCACTTTTCTTGTTGGCAACGAACCAAAAGACGGCATCCATCCTACTTCGGAACAGTCCTGAGCTTCACATACGGCAGGCGCAAGGTCCAGGACGCAGACAGACAAACAGCTGCCGCGGATTCAGCCCAGGTCAGACCGCTGCTCAAAACTCGCCAATTCTTGCCTTTTTCTTCCTCGGCTTTCATCAGACGCAATGGGCCTCACCGTTCTACCCGCTTTAATCCCCGACATCCCCCAGGTGTACGATGCCTATTTTGCGGCCTTCAAGGGGTCGGTAATCCTCGATATTTTGTTTCCGACGGGGATTGACGAGGCTTTCCGTGAGGGTCATACGAAACACACTGCCGAGTACTGGCACAAGACCAGCACTCAGTACACCATCAAGTGCGTCGATGTCGCGACAGGCGAAGTCGTCGGCATGGCCTTGTGGGACGCCTTCCTCAAGGAGCGCACGCCAGAGGAGTACAAGAGTCCTGGCGCAGTTTGGCTCCAGGGCGAGCAGAGAGCTCGCGCCGATGAGTTGATCAACCCGCTCAGTGCAGCCAAAGAAAAGCTTTGGGCTGGCCGAAAATACGTTTGTGAGTGGGACCCGTGAATAATACCGTCCTCGTTTTCCCGACCCCGGCTCGCGCTTTTTCCTCGAGACAGAGACCATGTGTGCCCCAGTTGCTGATGACACACGTCTTTTGCGTTTCCCTCCGAGCAGACTGTCATATTATTGCAGTGAAGCCTGAACACCAAAGAAAGGGTGTAGGCGCCCTTTTGACAAAATGGGGCCTCGACATGGCTGAGCTGGCGGGACTTCCCGTTTACCTCGAGTCATCCGCAGAGGGTTTCGGCCTCTACAAACGCCTGGGTTTTGAAGTGCTCCAAGACAAGATCGTGCACCGCGGAGGGCTTGTGGGAAAGGATGAGGACGTCGAAGTTCCTCTGATGGTGAAGATGCCGTCTGCCGCCAAGGGATTGACTTTCGAAGAGTGGCGTGCTCAGGGATACCCATCTTTCCAATAAGCATTGTGGCTGAGGGCTGCCGGGGTATACGCATGGACGCTGCGATGTCAGCAGGATGTAACCTTAGCTTTGAAAGTTTCTGTTTAACGAATGTCATAGACTTAGACGTTGATGGTTCTGGAAGCACTCAGGAGACAAAGTGCCAAGAAGAGGCCAAGACGAGACAAATCTGCAAGTCAATCAGAAGAAAGAAAACTCGTCTGTGCCTGGATTTATTGTGCGAACCTGCATGGCTTGGCTTGGCTTTGTATGTATTCAACAGAATCGTAGCCATGCCCATGTTCGCATGAAATCTGAGTTGCTTGGCTTCCGTAGGTGAGGGACGCGCCACACCGCACCCGATAATTGCAAGTGGTAGGACCGGAAGGAGGGGTGGAAGGAGAGGGTGGAAGGAGAGGGTGGAAGGAGAGGGTGCTTGCGGGTACCTAGGGAGGGGGTGGTGAACTCGGACCGGTATCAGATGGAATCATGGCGTGAGAGGGAGAGGCTAGAGTAGAGGTACTGCTACTGACGACTCGTTTCCTGCCCATCTGCCCACATAGGTCTCAAGGTAAGAAGGTGGACGGAGGGAAGTGGGCGAATGCAACCTGACGCCTTTAGCGAGGCGAGTTAGCGACGATCCGTGGGTTGGCGTGGATTTAATCTTCAGATGGAGCAAGGCCAAGGGTGCTGGACATTGTCCCGATCTCGGAGACTGGGAGGGAGTGAAAAAAAAAAAAAAAAAAAAAAAAAAAAAAAAAAAAAAAAAAAAAAAAAAAAAAAAAAGAAAAAAAAAGGGGGGGGGGGGGGGGGGGGGGGGGGGTAGTTATGAGGAGGGGAGAGGGGGAGAGGTGGGGAAAATGAGAAGAGGAGGGAGAAAAAAAAGAAGAAAAAAAAAAAAAAAAAAAAAAAAAAAAAAAAAAAAAAAAAAAAACGCAGCGAAACAATTTCGGAGCAACGAGGTTGCGGGACTGGAGGAAGTGTGGAAGGAGAGGGCGGAAAGGAGGGTCTACTGTGTACTAGGTATGTACCTAGACGAACTTGAGAGGGAGTGAGAAAATTTTGCACGCTGAAGAAGTAAAATGCTCCTTCCCTAATCTTATCTGATCCAAGATTTGATTGATTAGATCGAGGCCCGAACCTACCTATCCGAGGTGGTGACAGCCTGGCAGGGGCCCGGTGGGGTCCTCTAGTCCCTATGTGGGGTGTCACTTTTTTCTGAGAGTGGCTGCGCTGCAAACGCCATTGACCAATTTGAGACTCTTAATCCACATCCGATGCAATCACACATGTCAAGAGTATCCTAACTCTGACACACCCACACTTGCGATCCATCGCAATCCCACTTCTCCCACGCTCTAGGTTGCCGCCAGCGCTATATACACACGAATACTAAGTACGAATATGTACTGCTCGCTGGCACAATGTCCGCCAAGTCCTGTGGCCCCATCGAACCCATCTTCTCGTTCTGGTGTGTGTGCTCGCATCGCAGATAAAGTCGCTCTGCCATGACGCGAGTGGCCTTTTGAACGTTCGTATGCGCCCCTCAGTACCGGGAATACTCAATACTCCAGGTACTTGTCGTGAACCAATTACCCGTTCGGTCTAGCCCGCCGCTGACTGCATGTGCTGGGCAAGGTGAAGAAGAAGCAACCTTGGCTAGAGTGCTAAGGTTCTGTGCCGTACGGATACGTGCGCGCGAGTTCGCAACGTCCCGCTATGTGGCGCCCCATCTTGGTGGCCGGCAAAGCAATACCTTAACGGGCTAAAGGCCAGTCCAGCGGGGGGTGGGTGAAGAGACCTTGCTTGCCTCCTTGCTGGATCCAGATGATCCCCGAAAGCCGTTCCTCGGTGACGCAGATGCAGGGCCCTTTGGACATGGGTCGTCTCCCATCTGGCGCCAGGCCAGTTGTTTCTGCCATGCGACCCGAGAAGATGGCGGCGTTGCACGAAGATCGCGGAGGTATTTTTTCTTCTGTTGGCTTTGCCATGGACAAACTTCACGACGAAGACGACGACGTTCAGTTTGACTTCTGTAGTAATTTCGTTAGGCAATTCAACGTTGATCACTAATTCATTGCCGACAAAATGGCCGCAGAAGCATCAACAGCCCCGGTTTCCGAGCCTTTGGCTCCCGCGCAGAAGTTGTCTATCCTCCACGGGCCCCGCGACCCTCCTCTGGTTGACCTCAGTCTCGGCGAGCTCCTGGAGCTCCAGACGTATCAGCACGGCACCAAAGAGTGCTTGGTGATTCCTTGGACGGGTGCACGATGGACGTACAATGAGCTCAACCAGCAGAGCTTGCTGCTCGCGCAGGCCTTGCTCGAGATGGGCATCAAGGCCGGCGACAGGGTGGGTGTTATGGCAGGCAACTGCGAACAATATGCTGCCATCTTCTTTGCAGTCTCAAGAATCGGTGCTATCCTCGTCATTCTGAACAACACGTACACTCCCAGTGAGGCCATTTACGCGGTTGAGTTCTCAGGTCAGCTACCAATGCCACGGTCGAGGATTACTCGAGCTAATAATTCCGCTGTCAGAATGCAAGATTTTGTTCACCACCAAGCAGATTGGTAGACTCGACAACACCAGATTCCTGAGCCAAATAGCGAACAAGATCAACGGACCCAAGATTGTCATGATTCGGGGCGAAACGAGCGGATATCAGACCTACGATGACCTCATCAAGTCTAGCTCACGGCAGAGCCCGAGAGAGCTTCACCTGGCCATGAGCAAGGTGGTGCCGCATCAAGTGTGCAACCTCCAATTCACCAGTGGCACCACTGGCCGTCCCAAGGCCGCCATGCTCACCCATCAGTAAATGTGATTGGGCTATTTGTAAAGGTTGAAGAGGCTAACATTGGGTTCAGCAATGTCGTCAACAACGCACGTTTCATTGGTGATCGCATGCGTCTTAGTCCGGAGGACGTGCTATGCTGTCCTCCTCCCCTTTTCCACTGCTTCGGCCTCGTACTCGGTCTTCTTTCTGTCATCACACACGGTGCTAAGATTGTCTACCCCGCGGAAGTTTTCGACACCACGGCGACGCTCAAGGCCATCCTCGAGGAGGACTGCACAGCACTCCACGGTGTGCCTGCCATGTTCGACTCCCTGTTCCAGGCGGCGCCGGATGACTTCAAGTCGTCAAAGATCCGCACCGGTATTGTGGCTGGCGCCCCGGTCCCTCGATACCTGATGGAGTTGATGGTGAACCGTCTCGGCATGAGAGAGTTCACCAGCAGTTACGGTCTGACCGAGGCTTCCCCTACGTGCTTCAATGCCTTCACCGATGATGCCTTGGGCAAGAGACTGACCACCGTCGGCACGCTCATGCCCCACGCCTCGGCCAAGATTGTCGACAGAGACGGCAACATTGTGCCCATGGGCCAGCGCGGAGAGCTGTGCATGGCCGGATACCAGCTGCAGGCCGGGTACTGGAACAACTCGGAGAAGACCAACGAGGTCATGGTCCGTGACTCTGCCGGGGTCTTGTGGCTGCACACTGGTGACGAGGCCGTCTTCGACGACGCCGGATACTGCTCAATCACCGGCCGCTTCAAGGATATCATCATCCGCGGTAGGTCACAAGTTCTATCGCTCAGAGCTGGCCATTGTATGCTAACGTATTTCCCCCCCAGGTGGCGAGAATATCTATCCCCTCGAGATCGAGGAGCGCCTCATGGCCCACCCGTCCATCTCACAAGCCATTGTCGTCGGCCTCAAAGACGAGCACTACGGCGAGGTCGTCGGCGCCTTTGTGCAGCGCGCCGACAACTCGGAGAAACCGACGTTCCAGGAGCTCAAGGACTGGGTCCGCCAGCGCCTCGGCGGCCACAAGAGCCCCGCGCACATTTTCTGGCTTGGCGAGGATGGCGTGCCCGCCAACGTACCCCTCACTGGCAGCGGCAAGGTGCGCAAGTTTGAGATTGCCAAAGTCGGCGACGAGATCCTCAAGAAGAGCAGGACTGTCTCTGCCAAGTTGTAATATTTCAATCAGTCTCCTAGGATGTGGAGAAGGGCGTGTAGTGTGTTCAAAGAGCGGTACCACACAAAAGCTGTCCTTTTTTTTTTTTTAATCTCTTTTTCGTTGTAAGATTTTTGAATGTCAGGCAATGGCTTTTTTTTTTTTGGCGGGGAGGGGGATTTTGTTAGAAAGTTGAGAACATGCAGGATTCCCGAATACGTCGTTGAACTGACCTTTTCTCACGTTCCTCCCATGTGCATTCGCTTCTACGAGTCATTTTGCACTCTGTTCTTCTTTTTGTGTTCTCAGAGGCTATTTCCTTGCTACCCGTCTCTGTTACATTCAGCTCGTCCAAGATCGTCTGCCGGGATTAAGCTACAGTAAGTATGCTTGATGTTGTTGTTATGCGTTCCGTCCACGAGGACTTGGCATTGCAATTGCGTGACGATTCGGGGTTTCGCTGGAAGTTCCGCCGGTGAGGCCAATTCAACGCCCGCTGAGGCCAATTTGAATTACAGTCATCTGTGACTCTTTTCCCACCCACTTTGTCCCATTCGGGAAGGTAAGGTTTTTTGGGGGGGGAATTCGCAGAGAATATTTTGGACTAGATGCCAGAACTCTATCAAAATGGATTAGACAAGCCAATTGGACAATTGGACTGTTTCAACAGGTATATGCGCGCATAAGTTAAGTCGGCAGTATAAGTGATCTGGATTCAGCTCGAAAGATCTAAGAATCATGACGAAACTTATGACTGCTTCAATCTATCTCTGAAGGTTTTATTTTATACTCGACCACTTCCAGAATTAAATACATTCATCATATCAGCAGCTACAATCATACTGGGCACCATCCCTACCGCAACAATGTCTCAATCCCACCCCGAAGCCCCATCACAAACCCTCCTCTTCTCTCTCGCGGAATCCTACCCCCACAGCCCATCCCAGCTACACACCGTCATCATCCCGCAACTAACCCACCGCCTCCGCCTCTCAACACTCTGGTCCATCGCCCCAGGCACCAGAGTTCTCGACATCGGCTGCGGACAGGGCGACTCCGCCCTCGTCCTCTCCCACGCCGTCGCCCCCCCATCCACAACCGGAGACGGCAACAACACCACCCATACCGGCCCCGCCCCAGTTCCGGGACACGTCACGGCCCTAGACCCGGCACCCGGCGCCTACGGCAGCCCATTCACCCTCGCCCAAGCGCAATCCCACATTTCCTCCTCACCGCACGGTGCGCACATCACCTTTCACCAGTCCGACGCGCCGTCTTACCTCGCCTCCCACTCCGCCGAGACCTTTGACTCCGCGACCCTGTGTCACTCGCTATGGTACTTTTCCTCCGGCGCGGCAATCTCCTCCCTGTTTGATGCCCTCTACACCTCCTCCTCCGAGCAGCATCAGCACCAGATCAAGAGGCTCTGTTTCGCAGAGTACGCCTTCAAAGCCAGAACACCAGCCCAGAAGCCGCACGAGATGGCCGTCGCGGCGCAAAAGAGGTTCTACGCGCTGCAAGCGGATAAGGGCTTCACCCTGGACCAGGGCAATATCCGCGGCGCTCTCGATCCGGAGGAGATCCTGGCTTTGGCCGAGAAGGCCGGGTGGAGGTTGAAGGATCGGGGCGTCGTTGATACCCCCGGATTGCTCGACGGGCAGTGGGAAGTCGCAGCCGTGCTTGATCCCTCCTGGGCCGAGGGGATCATCAAGGAGGGGTTGGGAAAAGAGGCAGAGGAGGAGTTACTGGGGTACGTGAGCGACATACAGGCTGCGGTGAGTGAGCTGAAGAAGACTGGCGATAAAGCTACGACGATGGATGCCGTTTGGGTGGTTATGGAGCGTTAAACATGCATTATTGGCTACAAGATATTGATGAAATGCGATAACAAACTTGTTCGTAAGGGATCAATACTCATTAAAACTACTCGGTAAGGAATTCCACTGCGGTCGTCCGTCGTGCTCGTTCCCAATTGTCCCCTTTAAACCACATTTCCCTTGGTTTGCTTGACAGCTTTCACGTCAATGTCTCTCCAAAGCGCCACAAAAGCCACAGATAGGCACAGAACAGCCGTTGAAATGATGATCATGGTTGTCTGCGCCTCGCCATAGGCCTGAATGATGGCGGTCCGGGTCGGTGATCCCATTGGGTATGTTGTTTGTCTGTTCATGGAGCCCACGATTTCATCCAAGTGGCCCAGGTCAGCGGGCGGTAGATAGCTCTGGAGCTTCGCAGGGAAGATGGCCTGCCAGACGGCCGTAGCAATGGCCGAACCAATGGCGCCTCCAAGACCGCAAAACGAGCTTTCCAAAGCCATGACTACAGCGATATGCTCATGGGGTACAGTACTCGACGCGGCCGTTTGTTCGCAAAGGAAGACTGTTCCGCCGGCAAAGGAGGTCAAGACTTGGCACATGATGACATAGCCTATGCTGACATCGGGTCGTTGAAAGTGGATCATGAGACCAACACCCAATATAGTGACCGGCATACCGAAATACCATGCGAGCCATCTGAAACGGCCAGATTTGCGGATGGCTGCACCAACCACAATAGACCAAAGGCTCGACCCGACACCGTAGATTTGGCTGATGTAGGACGCTTTTTTGATGTCCAGTCCATTGACGACAATGAGAAACGGAAACAAATACGAGTAGCACATCGAGAAGCTAATGTATAGACTGGCACCGAGAAGGCAAGCGCCAAGTGTCGTGCGATCAGCCAGTAGCTTCCAAGGGATAAAGCCAATGTCCGTGTAAAACATCTCCCACACGGCAAATGCAATCAAAATCGAGATGCCAATTGTCATCATTGCAATGATCATAGGTGACCCGAAACCTTGCCTTTCTGTGGGCCAGAGCGTGAAGGGTATCAAAAACAACGCAAAACCAGTAATGACAAGGAGTAGGCCAATGACGTCGAAGTGTTCGAAGTAATGCTTGATGGATTGCCAGGTCGTCCGCCCGCTCTTCTCTTCCGTCAAAAGATACTCGTCCTTGATCTTGCGGTAGTTTAGCATGAAGAGGCTAGAGAGCGGTATCGTGATAGCTGGGATAATGATAGCGAAGAGGTCGAACGCCCATGCGATCCCGGGGCCAGCGAGCACCCAGTCCGCGAGTGGTCCACCTATCCATGCCGTAATAATGTATGGAGAGTTTGAATAGGCGATTGCAAGCGCACGATTCTCGAGTGACGATGTATCAGCTATGAAAACGTGCAAGGTGTAAGCGACACCGCCGTACCTAGGGGACCGTCAGTAATGCGTCCTCAAGTGCTCCCATCTATTAGGGGGGAATAAAGCTCACGGGGATCAACAAGGAGTGCAAGAGGCAGAGGACTTACCCAACCCAGTAGAAGACCTGCGCAGTGGCATACGTCTCAAAATTGTCGCAGAAGGCCATCAAAACCAACCCCAAAGTCAAGATAGCGACACAAAACAGGAAGCCCTGAGGGCGTCCCCAAATATCGAGAACTTTGGCAAGCGGTAACTTCGTGAGGCCGCCAACCAAACTGCTCATCAGGCCTACGGCCGGCAAAGACGAGTGTTTTCCGAACTTTCCAACCAAGAAATTCGTCAGAACGCTCGCCACACCCTGTTGGATATTGTTGATGAAGTAGATGAACCAGACCACGGCGTAGGCAGCGACAAGAATCTTCGTGGACCAGACTAGCGTCGTTGCCTGCATCATTTGCACGCCTGCTGACGCAGTTGACGAGACGGTGTCGTCTGTGTCGTCTGTCTTCGTATCTGTCCCATCTTGACTGGGTATTGCACCATCTGATTCTTTTGAACGATTGGTGCTCGACGTACTCGAACGGCTCATGGTTGGGAAGAGGCTGGCGAGACAATGTTTACCAGGGCGCGCTGAGGGGATGGTTGTCGCGAGAGTCGAGATCAGAAAGATCAATTTGGGACTAAGGGTAAGACAATCGCGACATTTCACACTTCATTACCACGAAGGCAAGTACTGCAATAACATAGCAGACGACAGCAGACACTCATAAAGGGGAGGGGGGCAGTATGGCCGCCGGTTCGTGTACATCCAACAAGGAAGCAACCAGTAATCCTCATCGGAACCGTCGAGGTCAGCTCCTTCCCCCAACAACGGCATTGTACGCAAGACCTCCTAGCTGCAAGCCGGGAAAGAACAGGATCTCCAGCAATGTAAGGCAACACGCAACTATCCCCGCTTCCATTTCCTTTTTACCTCAGTGTCGTTCCTACTCATAACACGGATGACTAACCCAAGGCGGGTATTCTGTGTTTGGTCCTTTCCAACAGGCCTGCTCGACGTCCCTGGCCTCCTCTATTCATTCTCATGAAGGGAAGGCAACAAAAAAAGCTCATGACACCCGTATTCTCTGGCAATTACCAAGAATCTATGGGCCTGCTGTAATAATCAACAGCATGCATACAAATCATTGGAGTTCTCCTGCATCACGATCGTCTCGGCGCGACTATCCGGCCGGACTCCGGGACCCAGATCCCGAGGAGACCTGGAAGTGACCGGCACGTTCCCATCAGCTCGGAAATGCCCCAGACTGATCATCATAGGGACCATCAGCAGGTGATGAAGATACCAGACGATCGAGACGACATTGACTCAGCAGCATGCAATACGACGGCCTCTACGGCACTGTGTGGACACAAAGTACAACGGCGTGCCCTGAGGGAACCCTTCTCGGACGAATGCCATTCAATGTGGAACAATGAGCAGAAAACGACAAGGACAGCGGGGTCCAAGCCGCTGGTAGGCGTTGGCCAGACGTGAGATGGTCGGCGTCAACGATGATCTGTGTAGCGCACATCGGTCCACGCTGCACATTGGCGCAAGGCACCTGTTGGCTGTTGCAGGTCCAGTGCAAGAGCTGCAGAACAGTCTCAGCCATCCAAATGCAGGCAGACCATTTGGCTTTTGTCGATCTGCTGCTTGCCGGAAGTACCGTTCGCTTTGAGATCACCGACGCTACTACCTAGCTCACAAGCTCCATCACGGAAGCGCCTTGGCCGGGAAACGAGTACAATGGCACATTCTGAATCGCGGTGGCCAAGTTATCAATCGTAGTGGAGTTGACCTGTTCTAGAGTGGGTTGTGGGCGTGGAGCTAGTACTGTGGACAAAAGATGCGACGGACAAGCAACCCGTCGGAGTACCCCCGTATTACGCTGTCGGATTCATGAAAGTCGTGGCCATTTGGATGACAGCACGTGAATCCCAAATAAGTCCAAGGTCACCGGTATCATTTGCCTCAGTGCCGAAACGGCGCAGTTGATGGGCGGCAGATGCGACATGGCAGGCCGGAGAGGCTCCGATCGAGGAACAGCCCAAGACCCGACGGAAACAGAAAAATCTACCTAGGCAGATCGGTGAATCCTCAGAGCTTGCGGCTTGATATTTTCCGACTCTCATGAACTGAGGCCGTCCGTAGCAAGGGATGGGACGCAGTGGAGAGGATGAGAGTTACGTGCCCTAATCTCAAGAGGTGCGGTTTTTTCCCAGGGATCTGCCTAAACAGGCCACTTTGTCCGAATCCGACCCCACGCGAGCTTCTTTTAGGCACACGCCCTTCTCGATGATGAAAGAGATCAACGGGTAGGTTCGGGATCTTGAAGCAGTGAACCACGCTGCAAGTATCGACACCAGCCCAGCATAATTCCACTCCCGCTGCCCCGCCCATGAGAAAATTTTGCCTTGATCTTATCAGATCCAGCTGGCCACCAAGGCCAATGGTTCACCCAGCTCCGAGTCCGGAGCTATGGCCGAACTTGGTTCTAATAAAGTTATCAGATCCGCTAAGACCAGGTCGCTGCAGCCATCTTCCCTGGAGAAAACGGAGGGGAGCGAAAAAGGCTGCTAAGCGCAACGCACGCAACTAACGGCATTACAACTACGAGGGACGACCACCACGAACCCCATTTCGATCAAGCCCGGCCGCCCGCTTGTTTATCAGATCTTTTGTGTATGCTCAAGGCGGAACATGCTGTGGAACTGAAATTCTCCGGGGCATTTCGTCCCCTGCTCTAGGAATCATTCTGACCCGAGGTCTCGGCGTTTCTTCGTGGGCCAGCGATGGAGGGGTGCAGACCCTGACCTCGATCATGTCCGCGTACCTTGGTCTTTTTTGTACTCTTTTGTATCTTTCTTCGCGTATAGACCCACCCCCCAAAGCTGCCGTGGAGTCAAGGTACAAACGTACCCCGCCGTTGAACTAAAGGAACTCTGACCACCACCCCAGAACTTATGAAGGATGGTGTGCTGGAGACGATGTCATGGGCCGGTACTGGAGCTGTCAGTCGCTTCGCTTTCGCTTCAAGCTCTCGCGCGCCCTGCAATCCATCGAAGAAAAAAGAATTGAGCCACGGCATGGCATGGCGTGGCATGGCAGACAAGTGAGAGGCGGGCTTCCGCTTCAATGGGCCGGTTCCGTAGCATTGGAGACCAGGGACCCAGTGGCGTTAACTCGGTATGTCTTCTAAAAGAGTAGGCGGTGGTGACATGAATGCCCGCGAAGCTCCGAACTCGAAGCTTACCTTCATCTGTGAATTTCTGATTTCTGTCCGTCGTATACAGAATCTTGTGATCACGCATTGAGGAACCATTTCACGTCTTGATACCCGCCTCGAAAGCCTCTTCTTATTCCAATCAGTCGTGCTTTGACTGGTCAGTTAGAACAGATATCACATCACCGCAACCATGTCGACACCAATCTCTCTGTCCGCCGTCTCCTCCAGCGAGAACATCATCAAGCTTCCTCACCCGTACCACTCCGAGTACGCAGTCCAGCGCGCCTTCAACCACGACACCTTTGCCGGAAAGACTTCAGAGGGCGGCATCCACTTCTACCGTCTCACGCCCCTCGCCGCGTCCAAGAATACCAAGCAGACTCCCCTCCCCGAGCGTCTTCACAGCGAGAACCTCTACTTCACTGAGCCCACGGACCTCAAGTCCAGCGAGCTCCCCGCTGACTCCAACAACAGCGCCTGGGCCCGTTCCCGCCGCTCCCCCAGCACCGTCTTCTCCTGGGACGGCAAGACGAAGCCGACACTCGCCCAGGCATGGCTCCTCGTCTACGTTATCTTCGTCCTCCGCCCCGCGGAAGAGCTCGTCCGCCTTGAGCTCCGCGGCACCGGCGCCGAGACCCTCGGCCAGCAGCTCCGCGACGTCCTGCTCGCCATCGAGCACCCGACCCAGAACGAGACGCAGAAGCCCGCCGCGACGGCTGAGCTTTCTACCGTTGTCCTCCTTCGCTCCGCCTTCTGGCAGGGCGCCGGCTCCCCCTTCGGCCCCCGTCCCGTCTGGCTCCCGCAAGAGTCTCCTGCGGCCCTCGAGCATCCTCTGTCATCATACCCCTTAACCCCCCTCCAGCACACCATGACGGCCGTGTCGGCCTCTGACCCGTCCAACCCCAACCTCTACCAGCAGGCGTGGCACCCCATCCGGCCGGCCAAGCCCGCGCCTGGCGCGACGGTGTACAGCCGCTGGATCCCCCACCTTAAGGAGACCTTCTCCATGGTCGCGCTCGATTACAAGAACCCGGAGCACCTGCGTCTCTTCCACGAGTGGCAGAACGACCCGCGTGTGTCGCAAGGCTGGAACGAGACGGGCACGCTCGACCAGCACCGCGAGTACCTGCGCAAAATTGACGAGGACCCGCACCAGTTTGCCATCCTCGCTGCGTGGGAGGACACCTTTTTCGCCTACTTTGAAGTCTACTGGGCCAAGGTGCGTTTTACTTATCTACAACATTGATTAAGATACACTCACTAACATCAGTAACAGGAGGACAAGCTGGGTGGTTACTATGACTCGCAGGACTGGGACCGCGGCCGCCACTCGCTGGTTGGCGACGTGCGCTTCCGCGGCCCCCACCGCGTGACGGCGTGGTGGTCCTCGCTGATGCACTTCCTCTTCCTCGACGACCCGCGCACAAGCTGGGTCGTCGGCGAGCCCAAGAAGACAAACGACACGGTGCTCATGTACGACTTCATGCACGGCTTCGGCCTCGATAAATTTGTCGACCTCCCGCACAAGCGCAGCGCCTTTGTGCGGTGCTCGCGCGAGCGCTTCTTCCAGCTATGCCCGCTCGGTGATAATGAGAAGGTCGTTGGCGGTATGCGCATCCAGCTTGTGCCCAAGTTGTGAGGCGGAGACAAGGGTTATGTGGACTGGCTCGTAGATGAAACCAAAAGTATCTGTATGTGGGCGTGTGCAATGTACATAGACGCAGAGACATGCAGACAGATTTAGGAAGGTGTTATTTTGCTTTAGAACTGTGTCAATATTATCTCAATCTGATCTGGTTGACCTCAGTGACATTTGTCTCTTGTTCAAAGCTACCATGGAAGAGTATCCTTAGCCTCATGAGAACATCATTGCAGTTAAGTCTAGCCAATCTAGTCCAAATCACCCGGACGGACCATTGCGTCGTCGTCACTATTACTCCCAAGAACACCATGAAACCCAAGAAACCCATGTTTAAACCGTCTTTTTGCTTTTTTTTCTCATAGCTTCATTGTCATTACCAACTCAAGAGTCGGGGGCCTTTCCCAAACCCAAGTGGTTCCAGCAGACTGGCAGACGCAACGTTAGCAATCAAGGACGGCAGCAAAGACAAAGATGGGGTCGGAGGGGGGGGTGTGGAAGAGAGATGAAAAGAGCGACAGGGAAGGCCGGTCCGGTGCCGGTGGAAGACAAAAAAAATACTCACTGGTAAAGCCGAGGTCGTCTCTAAAGTACGCGTGCATGACATCCTCACCCCACGTGGTACCCACAACGGGCCCGCTGGCGACGGCCTTCTTGCCAATGGCCAACCCGATCATGGGCTCGACGGGGCCGAGCTCCGAGAACGTTGGCTTATGGACCTGGGACGTGAGCTTGGCCAGCATGAGCTGGTGGGCGTTGATGGCGGCGTAGTGTCCCATGTGCATCGCCGAGCCGCAGCGCTTGATACCGGGCCACAGGCAGATGTCACCGACGGCGATGTGGTCGCCCGCATTGGGCACGTCGCCTTTGAGAACCATGTTGGGGTGGATCTTGACGTAACCCTCGTCGTCCTTCGCGGCGGCGGGGAAGTAGTCTGTCGAGGGGACACTGCGGGAGATGGCCATGACGACCTCGGAGGCGACGAGCTTGTCGCCGTTTGTAAACTCGATCTCGTGGCGCGCGCGGCCGGTGGTGGCATGGGGCTCGAGCTTGCGCGTCTCCTTGACGCGGTGGTTCAGGAGCACGTTGACGCCGGCCTCCTTTGTGAGCTCCAGAGCTTTATCCTTGCACTCGTCTGAAAGGCCCTCGGAGGAGAGGAGCTTGTCGCGGGAGTGGACGAGGGTGACCTTGGAGTCGGGCTCGACGAGTTTGAGCTCGGCGGCCATCTCGATGCCAACGGCGCCGCCGCCGACGACGACGACGCCGTCGGGGGCATTGCGGACAGCCTGGATCTGCTCCTCGGCCTCGAGGAGGTACTGCTTCCGCGTCAGGGACTGGGGTACGACGGGGAAGGCGCGGCGGAGGCCGGAGGCGGCGACGAGGAAGTCGTAGGAGAAGTCTTGGGGTTGCTTGGTGGCGTGGTCGAGGACGGTGGCCGTCTTGGTGGCCGGGTCGACCTTTGAGACGGAGCCCTGGACGAAGCGGACATTGGGGCGCTGGAGAGAGGCAATGTCCTCGAACTTGACCCAGGACTTTGCTGCGTATTTGGAGTCGGCGAAGGCAAGGGGGGAGCCGATCAGGTGGACTTGGAGACTAGTCAATAACGAGGTGGTCGCTACTTTCTATTCGGGGCCCTTAGGATCTCTTACAGAAGCCATCACGCTCGTCGACGAGGGTGATCTCGACGGGGACGTTCTTGAAATCCGGATGGTGGTCATAGGGAACTTGGGCGAGACGAGGCGACTTGCCGCTGCTCAGATCAAGCAGGTTCAAAGTGGTCGAGACACCGGCGTAGGAGAGACCTCCGATGACGAAGACCTTGAAGGGAGGGATAGCACCAGGAAGAGAGCCCATCTTGTCTGCTGTTGTGAACGAGTCGTTGGTTGAATAGTAGTCTGCTCCTAAGTCTGAAGGAGGGGACGATGCAGGAGGAGGAGAAAAAGAAGAAGAAGAAGACCGGTAAGAGCTACAGGACTCTAGCGGCGAGGCTTGATGACGGGGGAGGCAAGCAGAGGCGAGCGAAGGGTGTGAAGATGCGGATGGAGATGCAGATGCAGCAATTGCGGCAGAGAACATTCGCATGGACAGGAGCAGAGATAAAGATAGCGTCCGCCGGAAGCCGAGCGGAGGGCCTGGATCGGACCGGGACTCATGCGCGTGGGTGATGCTGCCGAGACTGGCTGAACTTGCCCGTTCGATCCCACTACCAACGAGGAATCCTTTTCCCAACAAGGACCCAAATTTACCCCTCCGAGGTTGCTGGACCAAGGAGGAGGGCGACGACGACGACGACAATAGGGGCAGGTCGAGCCGAGGGCTGGCTCGGAGAATGAGACGCCTTGCAGCCGAGAGTGCTGGGCGAAGGATCCGCTTGGCCATGGCGGCGATCGCAAGAAAAGGAGAAGTAGGGCGAGGTCAAGGTACCGACGGGCTGAGTGACACTCACACCAGCGGCGTCAGTAGGGAGGGGGAAAGCGACAGCGGAGATGACGGCATGGTCGGGTGGATTTGGGCGCCGGGCACCTTTGCAGAATTTATGTATGTATTTTCAGTGCTACATTGTTACTTTTTGATAAGATCTGAGAAGAGTATCGGAATGAGTAATCGGTTCAAGGGGGGCTCGCTCGGTTCGGATTCGGCGATGTCTTCGTAGAACGACTGGAACCTTTTGTTGGAGGAGTGTTGGAGGGGTCTGAGAATTATCAGATGGTGGAGGAGTTAAAGTTATCAGATCCGTTTAGAGACATGCAAGCCACTCCCAGCGCCGGGGCAGAAGCGGACTGGCTGGGCTAGGATCTAATCAGCATTACCTAACGAAGAACAGAGACACAAGCGAAAAAGTACCAGAACGAAACAGAAATCAAGGTACGTGTTGGAGGCTGCGCCTCGTTTTCAATGGGGCAGCAGCGGTGGTCGGAACCCGAGGATTGAAAACTGTAATTCTCTTTTTGATCTCGGGTTCCTTGGCTTTCCATTGTTTCTCACGAGCTGTATGATGTATGGAGTCATGGACGATGTTGATGATGGATGGATCGGCCGTTGAAGCTAATGCCGCCAAAGGTTCTTGCAGCAGCACACAACGCAGCAAAGCACTGGGTAGGCAATTGGCCTTGCTCCTCATTGCAACGCACCATGTATGTACCCAATGACGACTTATTTTTACAAATTCGAGACGAAGTGAATGAGTGGGTGTGTGTGTGGTGGAAATTGGAATGTACCTCCATGGAAGTGGTGTGTGTGGGTGTCAATTGGCTGCGGGGGCCAGCATCAGAGAAATGCGCCATTTTCCCCGGGAGCCATGGCTGCCGCCGTGGTTTCTTTGAAAATTTTCATCCACAAACCGGGAGGATCACGAAATTTGGTGAGGCAGGGGGATCCGAATGGACAGCAAGTTCGCGCCGATCCGCCAAAAAATGAATTAAGAAAAAAAAAACAGAGCAGGGTGAAGGCAGGGAGCAAGGATTCCTCAAGTACATACCCTCTCGTACCCGTTCGAGGCGAAGAACCCAGCCTTGCCTAATGCGGAAGGGATGGGCCGTCGCCGCCAAGACAAATTATCTGATCCGAACCCACAGTCCGGTCGTCGGCCCCACATAAAGTCGCTCCAGTCTTCTTCGCTTTCTCTGATTCCTTCACCCCCTTCGACCCTCCCGAGTCGCTATCAGATGCTATCGCGAAGCTCCATCCACCATGTACATGCGGCCTCACCCACAGACAATGCATACTTTCACCAGGATGTCGCGGGTACCCTTCACGTGCCACAGCACATCCCGCTACAACTGTCGACTCCCACAGTAGCGTCCATCGTGGTCTCTCGCCGCTTAACGAACCCCCGAGGACGATGAATGTCGTGAGAAGCAGTGCAGGCACGCAGGCAGCAGGGGGGTCACAGCCGGCTTTGGGCGTCGGTCGCCGGTCCCCCCTCATGCCCTTTCAGCTCCCTAACTCGGCTACTCCACGGCATGGCAGGTACTTTGCATTACCGCCTACCTCCCCCCAGCCTCTCGGGGCGGCAAGTCACAATGCCCCCAGCGGAGTCGCTTCTATGAAATGTGCTGTCATCAAAGCCTGCACAGCCAAGCAACTGCCCGCTACCGTTGGCTGGGTTTGGGAATGACTCCCTGAATTACCCGCTAATGGTGCGGATGCCACTGACAAAAAATCTCCCTCCACTTCTGGCATGGTCCCTGGCCTCGCTCGTTGAGCTCTTCCTTGCCACCAGCTGCACGCCAAGTCCGGGTCTGGCGATGAAGCTCCTTTCTTAACCATCTGCTTCAATTCGAAAAGCGGTCAAACTCTCCCTGAACCTGTTCGTCAGTTCAAGGTCGGATCACCATGCCTGACCAAGACTCACGAGCGGCCGCGGCCGAGAAGGCTGATACTGGTGTCACGACATCGCCAGAGCAACAACAGCTACAGACAACATCAACAGAGACCGCCCAAGTCGCGAAACCAAAGGTCAGTCGCAAATTCTGTTCTAGGCTGATCGTCATCAGGGTTTTTCCCTTTTCCTAGGTTGCGAAAGAAACTGACCGTCCTCACCCAGCGCTTCGAGACTGTCTTCAGCTTCTTCAAGCTGCTTTTTTATGCCAACCCAACATGGCTCGACTACACGCTGGTCTGCGTGGGCACCATTGCCGCCGTCGCCTCGGGTGTCCCGTTCCCATTGATGGGTATCCTCTTCGGACAGCTGATTGACGACATGAACGGCGCGACCTGCGCGGACGGCATTGGAGATCCGGGCGCCTACCAAGACGCCGTCAACGACAAAGTAGTCAAGCTTGTCTGGATCACTTGCATTGCCTTTTGCCTCATCTACACTCACACCACTTGCTGGGGAATCATGAGCCAGAGACTTGCCTCGCGCCTCCGAGAGAAGTATTTCCAGAGCTTGCTGAGACAGGATGTCGGCTTCTTCGAGAGCAGACAGGCCGGTGAAGTCTCGTCCCGCCTCAACTCCGATATCCAAACAATTCAATCCGGCACGTCCGAAAAAGTCAGTAACTTCATCGGTACCATCTCGTTCTTCGTCACCGCGTACGTCATCGGCTTCATCAAATACGCACCCCTGGCCGGCATGCTGGTTTCGCTCATCCCCGCCTACCTGCTCGCTTCGATGGTCTGCGGAAACTATATCCAAAAATGGAGCGGAGCCATGTCGGAGGGTATGGCCAAGGCCTCATCCATCGCTTCAGAGGCGTTGTCTCACGTAGCCGTCGTTCAGGCGTTCGGTGCGGGACCTCGCCTGGAGAACAAGTTCGCGGGACATGTCATGGTCGCTCAGAAGGAGGGTATCAAGAAGGCCATCGCTGCAGCCTCCAACGCTGGACTGCTGTACTTCATCGCCTACGCTGCAAATGCCCTCGCATACTGGCAAGGTAGCAAGGCTATCTCAAAATCGGTCGCTGGAACTGGTGACGGCACTTCAGTGGGTGACATTTACACGGTTGTGTTTCTCATTGTCGACGGTATGTTCTCGATTCCCATCGTATTCAGGCGACCTTGCTAATTGCAACCAGCCTGTATCATGCTAGGCACCATCGCACCTCTTTTGCCCCTTTTTGGCTCGGCAGCTGCCGCGTTCGTCAAGCTCCGGGAGGACATTGACAAGCATTCAACTATAGACTCCGTGACCGATGAGGGTGACAGGTTGCCCACCCACGTCAACGGCGAGGTTGAACTCCGTGGAGTAACCTTCTCCTACCCCTCGCGCCCCGATACGGACGTGCTCAAGAACATCTCTCTCGTGTGCCCCGGTGGAAAGTACACGGCCATCGTCGGCCTTTCTGGCAGTGGAAAGTCAACTATTGCCGGCCTGGCCACGAGGATCTACGACCCCAAGGAAGGCACGATCCTCATCGACGGCCAGGACATCCGCAACCTCAACGTCAGAAACGTTCGCAGTTATATCAGTCTCGTCCAACAGGAACCTTCTCTTCTTGACCGTTCTGTTATTGAAAACATTGCTCTTGGTCTCGTCAACTCGCCAAAGGAGGAGCACCAGAGACTCAAGGAAACACTCTACGGACCTCAGCTCGCCCAACTTGCCGAAGATCTTATGGGCGGCGCCGATCTCAACACGGCTGCTCAGAAGTACGGACCCGAAGTTATCGAGATCGTCAAGCTCGTTCAGAACGCGACTGATCTGGCCGACGCCACCTCCTTCATCGACCGCCTCAAGCATGGTTTCGGAACCTCCGTTGGCAGTGGCGGCAAGCTCGTCAGTGGTGGTCAGAGACAGCGAGTGGCCCTCGCTCGTGCTCTCATTCGTGACCCCAAAATTTTGATTCTCGACGAAGCCACGGCCGCCTTGGATTCTGCCAGTGAAGCTCGCATTCAGAAGGCTGTCGAGAGGGTCTCCAAGGGTAGAACTCTGATCTCTATTGCTCACCGTCTCTCTACCATCAAGAACGCCGACAACATCATCGTTATGAGCGCCGGTGATATCATGGAGCAGGGAACCCACGCCGATCTAATCGCCCGCAACGGCGCCTACGCTAATTTGGTCAACCTGCAAAACATCAGTGGTTCCGAAGAGGAGTCAGCTCCCTCTCGCGCAAGCACGGCCGTAGAGTCGTCTGCATCATCCGTGGATGCCGAGGCGCCTGGTGTCAACCCGAAGGATCTTGCTAGGGCCATCGAAACGGAGACAGGCCCGCAGGCGGCGACTGAGAAGACTAAGAAGGAACTCAAGAAGGAGGCGAAGGAACTCAAGAAAAAGAAGAAGAACGCCGCCCTGGAAACCGAGAACAGCGGTCTCGACAACGACAGGTCTACTTGGTGGATCACCAAGAAGGCAGGCGTGATGGTCCGCCCTCACATTCTGTATCTCCTCCTCGCCATGGTGTCCGCCTTCATTGTCGGTTGCACTTTTAGCGCGTCTGGTACCATTTTCGGTTTCGCCATCGGCGTCGCCAGTCCCTGCAACGAGCCCAGCTACATCAAGAGCAGAGGCGCCTTCTTCGCCGGTATGTTCTTCATGCTCGCATGCGTCGAACTCGTCGCAAACCTGTGCAGTTGGTCTGCCTTTGGTTACATTGCAGAGAAGCTGCTTTACAAGATCCGCGTGGGTTCGTTCCGAGCCCTCTTTCAGCAGGAGCTCGAGTGGCACCAGTCTGGAGCCCGCAACCCTTCGTCGCTCCTGTCCCTCATCACCAAGGACGCGGCGTCTATCGGTGGCTTCAGTGGTTCCATCATGGGAACCGTTTTCGCCGTCGTCGTCAACCTCTTCGTTGCTATTATTTACTCCCACATCCTGAATTGGAGAATCGCTATTGTGTGCCTGGTCATTATTCCCATGCTCCTGGGCTCCGGCATCATGCAGATCCGCGTCCTCTCGAGATTTGAGGAGAAGCACGCCGCAGCGTACGCCACGGCTGTAGGAATCACAGTCGAGTCCGTCAACTCCATCAAGACCGTCGCTACACTTTCCCTGGAGCACGAGGTCTTTGGCCAGTACAAGCGCGCCCTGAAGAATCCCAAGAAGGAAATCATCTCGGCCGTCACCTTTGCCAATATCTGGCTCGCCATCGCCAACGTCACCGGCAACATTATCTACGCCTTTGCCTACTGGTGGGGATCCAAGCAGATCGTCGCCGGCCATGCCACGCAGACGCAGTTCCTCATTATCAATGTCGCCATGCTCGTCGGTGCCCAGCTGTGGGGTCAGATGTTCACCCTCGCTCCTGAGGTGACCCGCGCCCGCATGGCAGCCTCTAGAATCTTCAGCCTCCTCGACCTCAGCAAGTCCGACGCCGACCCCGCGGGCAAGGCCGCCGACGACGCCTCGGAGTCGTCCAAGGGCAAGGAGAAGGAGAAGGACATTGAGGCCCTCGCCAACCCAAACCCTCGCCCGTCCCCTGGCAGGGGCGGCGTGGCCGTCTCCTTCAAAAACGTCTCTTTCTCCTACCCCGCCCGCCCCGAGGTCCAGATCCTCGACAATATATCCTTCACCATTCAGCCCGGCCAATTTTGCGGTCTTGTTGGCCCCTCCGGCGCCGGCAAGTCCACCGTCATGGCCATCGTGCAACGCATGTACACGGCCAGCACGGGCACCATTGAGATCGACGGCATGGACATCTCCAAATTCGACGGAACCGACTTCCGTGACGACATCGCCGTCGTGCCCCAGGACAGCGCCCTCTTTGACGGCAGCGTCAAGTTTAATGTCGGCCTCGGCGCCCGGCCCGGCCAGGACGCTACGGACGAGGAGATCGAAGAGGCCTGCCGCCTCGCCAATATCCACGAGACCATCATCGCGCTCCCGCAAGGGTACGACACGGAGTGCGGGCCTAACGGCTCCCAGCTCTCCGGAGGCCAGCGCCAGCGCGTCGCCATCGCCAGGGCCCTCGTCAGGAAGCCCCGCCTGCTGCTGCTCGACGAGAGCACGAGTGCTCTCGACGCCGAGAGCGAGAAGGCGCTGCAGGAAGGCCTGGAGCGCGCGGCGCGCGGCATCACCGTCATCGCCATTGCTCACAGGCTTCACACGGTGCGCAAGGCGGACGTTATCTTCGTCGTCGAGGCTGGTGCGGTGGCTGCCAAGGGCAGGCACGAGGAGCTCATGGAGAAGAGCGAGAGTTACCGCCTCAATGCCATGCAGCAAATGCTCGGTCACTAGGCAACAACATGGTGTGAGATGTGTGTGAGAGGCAGAGAGATAGTCTCGCGGCTGATTTCTATTCGGTACTTGGTTCCATATTTCGCGAATTAAAAAAAAGTGTAATAACAGCCCCCCCGCTATCTTGGTGAGGACGGGATTCTGAATTTTTCAGTCAGGAGTTCATAGAGAGGATGGGTGAATCCCAAAAAAACCTAGTTCATTTTGTATTCACATTTGCATTATCAACGGAAAAAAGGGGACAGACAATAATTAGCCCCGAAGCCAACGAGTGATCCGGTCTTTTGTCCTCTCTCTGCGGCAATCTGATGTTGGCCGTGTCATCTCACTCTCAGACGTGCCATCTGTTCGCCCGAGCATCCAAGCTTAAGTCGATATGCGTTTCCAACGTGCCTATTGTTATGCATGATGCCGGGGCGAGCCGAATCACTTCTTCGGGGTCTCGGAGAGCTCGTGTTTACCGCATGGCTTCAAGTCGCAGCTCTTTGACCGTGCATCAGGGGCTTCTGCAAGGCGGGCTTGCATGTTTTGTGTCGCTTCATTTTTCTCTGCGTGGGCTGTACGCTGGCACTCACGATGCTGGAGTTGGGGCATCATCACAACAATATGGTTTCAAAGGTGGACATTGAAGAGAACGGTCAGGCCAAGGTTTGGCACGGCGCGCTAATGAATGAAGTGCTATACAGAATGCCAAGAATTGTCACTACTACTGCCACGACGGAAATAGGTGAGAGATAGGGGTAGGAGGAAGAGGTGATGGAAGGCGACTGAATATGCGATCTAAGGAAACCACCTCATATCCGCGAAGCCAATTTCCATGCATAGTCCTCCGCGAGCCTTCAATTCTTGGAGTGTACCCAAGCATCGCAGGAGTTTCTCTCTGACCAGGTCAGGGGTTGCACCTGATCCTGTGACTCCTAGCGATATCGTGACTGCGTTTCTTCATAAGCCCCTGCTTCGTGGGGGAGACCAAAAACCGTGTGAAAACCCATTCCAAAAGTGCTGAACCGTTACATAGCAGACCGAAACGCCGGGAACATTCTGAAGCCGTTAGATGACTAGACCGTCAGAAAGTCGGGGGTTTAAGCCATCTCAAAGCCGCCAAAGGTGTTCTCGCCTGAGTAGGTGATGTAAAGGAATCTGGACACAAGTCAGCAACAAAGAGCTTGTGTTAGGTATTGGGAAGCTCGGAAACGTACCCGTCCTCGTCCTTGTGCTCCTCATAGATGCTGCTCATCAGAGCGGCAGTAGGTGGCAGCACCTCATCGACGAAGATGAAGATGGCCTTCTCCGGGGAGAGCTTGATGCGCTTGCGAATGACGTAGACAAACTGACCAACCGTCAAGTCGGCGGGGACGAGGTACTTCTTCTTATCAATAGTAGCGATATCAGACTTCTCGACCTTCTCGCAGATAACCTGTATCGTGAGGACCTTGTCAGCTTTCAAACTCCTCAAGGTAGATAGGCAGATCGGCGGTGACGGTCGGGGAACGTGGGGCACCTGCAATAACGCGCGAAGCTGACGAATGCAGTCTCGGCGAAACAGCGGAGCTCCCTCTCCGTATCGGAATTACAGAGAAATAACCACGAAATGAGGCCGAAGACAAGGAGAGTTACAACATACAGGAATCCGATCAGAGTACTTCTGGCGGATGCGCTCGGCCTCAGCCTTTCGCTTCTCGAAGGGGTGCTCGTCCTTGAACTTGGATCGCATGATGACGGGTAGCGGGTGGGTGAAGTGAAGTGGGTTGTGGGTTTGTAGATGGCCTGCTCCTGTGGAGTTGGGCTACGGTCAAGATATAGATGGCGAGATGTTTGTCGACTGGTGGTGCCTGATGCGGAGGAGTATGTAGAAGGGAGAGTTGAGGTAATGAGGGCCCGTTTGCGAAAGGCAGAAGAAGGATGGTTGCCGCCTGCTTTGGGGTGCCTTGGGGTCAGACACGGGGACGGGAATGGGCGGTCACTGACTGGAAGTGTCTGGGTGGCTCAGGCGGCTGGTTGATAAAGCACCCAGAAAGGCAGGAACCTAAGGTCTGGTAGGTACCTATCCACCGTGCAGTGGCTGGCGAGAGACTTGAAGTCCATGGACTGACTAAGCCGGTAAGAGAGAGGTGCTCAACCCCACGCCCCCCTTCCCCTCCTCATCCTCATCCTCATCCTCATTGCATCAGCCAGCTCCCTCCTCCTTATCCTTATCGGGTTATCGGAGCGGGGCAAGACACCGATGCCATCCCAGCAATCAGCGACGCAGTGAGACCAGCCCAGCGCAGGTGCGCCGGGTGCTGGGGCAAAGATTGACCAAGGGCAGGCAGCTGACCGTCCACGCAGCCACTTGACACAGCCTGCCAGCCTGTCACGCCTTCTGGACTCGACTTGAGTCACAGGAGAAGGTCCCGGCACATTGTTCCATTCTATTGGAGTAAGGTTCTCTTTTCAGACTGAAAGCGCTGGAAGCTCTCACGGGATCGCTGTAGTTGCAACCTCCTGATACGTGCACGCAGCCGGCCTCGTCTGTGCATGCAAAGCTGTTTGTTGTCTTCAAAGCCGCTTGAAGTGCATTGCCCTCTAAACAGGAGTTCGTACAATGCCTTATCAGACTATCCTCTTTTTGACGTCATTTGTCCCCAGTAAGAGGTGAGAGGGAAACAGTTTGCGAAAGCCCACTCACAATGGGCCTTTGAGCGAACAGTTGATAACCATACCTAGGTACCTTAGGTGGTAAGGTAGAGTCTTGACCCACACGGCCTAAGTGCTTTTATCTACCGATCTTACTTAAGCGACCCCACTCTGGACATCCGATAACAAACCTCAGGGACTCTGGAGCTGTTGGAAGCGAATGCACGAGCTTCGTTCCGAGACGTTGGACAGCTCTTCTACTTCCCTTCTCACTGAGGTATGCACTCGAGCGCTGAAATCAAGGCGAAAAGGAGAATGCAAAATACTTGTGGAAGGTTGCTGGCGAAGGAATTGCCGCAAGACTTTATTGATTCTGAGAGAGGGAAAAACATCGTTAGACTTCCTGCTGTTTGTTTCCAGATACCTACGCAGGTTTCCAGAGAGGCACCGCAGGAGAGCGAACTCGTGCTTCAATAAGAATAGAATCAATCCCACCATTGTTGACCCGGGGGACTGGAGAGCCGAGCTGCTGGACGGAGGACCACAGGCCCTCTAGCGGACGCGGATCTGGAACAGCTAACTACCTTACCATAACGTACCCCGCGGCAGGAGAGCAGTGGAGGGAACTTCTCACCTCGTGTTAGAGCTTGTCCGGCGTTCGGCGGCTGATGCACTACTGTCGGACTCACTGGACCTCACCCCACCTCTCCAGCCGGCAGAGAGGTCGGTCCAGGCTGTGGGTGGACAGCTCTCCTCCGTTGGGTCGGCTCAGCGACAGGGGTCCCGCACCTATCGAACGTGGAACGATTTCGGAATTTACTTTCGCAGCTGGCCTGACTGGCTCGAACGACGTTCCAGTCAGTGGTCTTATGCCTCTCACTTGAGAACGAATCATCCGATTTTCCCTCCATGTACCACAAGTCGCTCCTTTCTTCACTATTGGTTGCGTTGTAGAGTTTGTACTTATATCTTTGCCCATCATGGCCTCCACAAAGCACTCCCAGAGGTTGCTTGCACAAATCAGTAGCTCCCGCACCAGAATCGCCATCACCACCAAGCAGCCACAGCTTCAATTCGGTCGCAGACTCGTCTCATCCTCCTCAAAGTCCCAGTTCAAGGGTCATCAGACCGGTGCCGCTTACAACCGCTTCCTCATTGGCGCAATTGGTCTTGCTGCAGCAGCACCCATCGCCTACAAGATGGTACTGCAGCTTCTGCCCTTCATCACCACGAATCCAATGCCGGGGCACCCGCCCTCCCATTGAAGCATCAAAGCCCGCCGGTTGCTAACATTACTGTCCAATACAGGCCGTCCAGGAACCCTTCCAACTCGATCCGCCGACCCTGGCCGAGCGTGATGCCCTGACCAAGCGGGAATCCGAAGTCACCGTCGACTCGCCCATGCGCCTGCGCATGGAAAAGTTCATCAAGGAACAGCAGCAGATCATTGTCAAGGAGCTCGAGAGGGTCGACGGGACTAAGTTCCGAAAGGACGAATGGAGCCGGAAAGAGGGCGGCGGCGGCATCACCTGCGTGCTCCAGGAAGGCAACGTCTTCGAGAAGGGCGGCGTCGGCGTGTCCGTCGTCTACGGCACCCTACCCAAACCCGCAATCGCCAAGATGCGCGTGAACCACAAGAACCTCGACGACAACGTCGACTCCCTCCCCTTCTTCGCCGCCGGTCTCAGCATGGTCCTGCATCCCAAGAACCCGATGGCGCCGACTGTCCACCTAAACTACCGCTACTTTGAGACGTCGAACCCCGACGGCACCTCGCAGGCCTGGTGGTTCGGCGGCGGCAGCGATCTGACCCCGTCGTACCTCTTTGACGAGGACGCCGTGCACTTCCACAAGACACTCAAGGAGTCCTGCGACTCGCATGATAAGAGCTACTATCCGCGCTTCAAGAAGTGGTGCGACGAGTACTTCTACAATAAGCACCGAGGCGAGTGCCGCGGCGTCGGCGGTATCTTCTTCGACGACCTCGACGAGACCGAGAAGGATCGCGAGAACACCTTTGCCTTTATCCAGGACTGCCTCAAGTCCTTCCTGCCCGGGTACATCCCCATTCTCGAGAAGAGAAAGGATATGCCCTTCAACGAGGCCGAGAAGGACTGGCAGCAGATCCGCCGGGGCAAGTATGTCGAGTTCAACCTCGTTCACGACCGCGGCACCGCCTTTGGCCTCAACACACCCGGCTCGCGAGTCGAGAGTATTCTGATGAGCTTGCCTTTGACGGCGAGCTGGAAGTACATGCATGAGCCCGAGCCCAAGAGCCGCGAGCAACGCCTTGTGGATGTCCTCAGAGCGCCCAAGGAGTGGGTCTAGAGGAAGGCTTAGAGAAGGGGGAGAAGGGACCTGGTTACGGAGCACCGGATGCGAGCGATCTTTGTTGTAGGATTATGCCATTTTGTGGTGTACATAATGTGATTATTAGACAAAAGCTTTAAGGCGGCAAAAATCTTGAGAGATGTTTTCTTCTGTTCACGACCCCAGGTTCTGATTGCCTGTGCAATAAAGCATTCCCACAACCTTGCTTCGGGCGGAAGTGTGAAATTTTAGAAACTATCTCGAGGCAAGCTGCGGTACAAATTTAAAATCCTATCTGAGCTTTCGCATCAAGACTGTAGCTGGCTCCGTCGGCCGTGCTTATAGCAGAAGAGCCTGACGCCTATCTAATAAACAGCGAACCCAAACCTCGGTTTTTGATCTCAACTTTACCACTCAACACCACCCGAATCATCATCCGACAAAGTCGATACAATCAACGCCACTTACAACCCGTAGGCAGGTGGGCTGCCATGTCATTCTCACCGACATCAACGCAACCACATCACCTGCCAACGCCCCGAGTTCTGATCACCAACCTCATCAACTCCCTTACCTCGGCACCTCTACCACCGTCAGCAAATACCGCCTCAATTCCCAGCGGAGGCGACGCGCAAAATCCCCTCAGAACCCTCCCGCAATCCCACCGTCCGCTCCTGGTGACGCTCCACGTACTCTTCCCGTCCCTGGTCCTCCCGGCCCTAGACCTCCTGGACCGAGACCTTGTCACACGCGTGGTCCCGGAAACTACCACCTTGTCGGCCGGCCTCCGTGAGGACCCCACTGACCCCGCACCCGCCCGCCAACATCAACATGGCAAAGATACCGCCTCCGACACCCATGAACCGGGGTCCTCCTCACCACCCCGCCTTCAACTTAGCGTCAAGGACCTACAGCACGTCGACGAATCACAGCGAGATTCAGCTGCATTTTACCTGGTCCGCTCCGTAGCTTCGACAATGACCCGCAGACACCACGCCGTCGCGACGTCCGCATCGGCGTCCACAACGTATCTGGTCCAGCTCGACGCCTGGAACTGCTCCTGCGCCAACTTTGCATACGAAGCGTTTCCAGCAGTTGGCAGCGGCAGTGTTGGGCATAAAGCGGGTTCAGACTTGGTCATCATGGACGCCGATGAAGCCGGCGACGACAGTGATCCAGGATGCGAGGTGGGCGACTGGCAGTTTGGAGGCTTGAGTCTGGATGGTGTTGATGATGGAGGGGTGCCGTGCTGCAAACACTTGCTCGCCTGCTTGCTCTCCCAGCAATGGGGAGATACTCTGGGGAAATATGTTACCGACAGGAGAGTCAGCAGGGAGGAAATTGCGGGATTGGTTGCGGACGTATGATGATCTGATAAGGACAACGCATCGGTGAGGGTAATACGGGAGGTCTCAGAGCATCAGTCAAAATATGCTATCATTGTACAAGGCACACTCTTTTCTTGTGATTTGGCCTGTTCCCGCCCCCGGCCTGCCCCCCAGGACGCCGAGATATTATGACATGCCCACGCCCCAATGTCTATCGCGGGTATCATTCCCGTGTTTTGAATGTGTGTGGTTTCTCCGTCCACTGCGTGACCGCGCCTTCCTCTATTTCTTCTTCTCCTTTGCCTCCTTCTCCTTGTCCGAGGACTCCTTGTTCTCGCCGTTCACACCGTTCGCTTTATCGTCCTTCTTGTCGTCCTTGCTGTTCGCCTCTTCCTTCTTGGCCTCCTTCTCCTCCGCTTGCTGTCGGTTCTGGATCTTGTTCTCGATGAGATCATGGAAAGCAGTGATGGCCCGGATCAAACTGCTGAGGTAAATGGCCATGAGCTGGTCGTTGGTCTTGATGCTCATGGCGTGAGAGAGCTCGCCGCCGCTCGACTTGCCATCGCCCTTTGGCGTGGAAAGATTAGGTAGAAGGTTAAAAACATCCTGCAGGTTGCCCAGGATAGCGTGGTTGACGGGCAGCTGGCCATCGAGGACCTTTTGGAGGTAGGCGCCAATATCGCGGAGGCGGAGATGCAGCCCTTGGAGTGATTGGAGCTGGTTTGTTATTCTTGTCGAGAGGGTTCCGACTGCGACATCGCGAATATCACGGAGAAGGTGCTCGACGCCGATTTCCTCTGCTTCCTCGGCCTCGATGATCGACGGGGTGTGGACGAAGGTTCTTGACGTGGTAGTGCCGTCCTACAGCCAAGTTTGTTAGCAGTGGCCTCGCATGGGAGGATATTGACGGCACGCACATCCTTGATCTCCTCTACGGCGAAGTATGCATCCGTCGGCACGCCCGCCTCCTTGGGCTGGACATCAATAATGACTAGGAGAGGGTTGGGGGTGTAGCGCTTGAACAGCTCGTTGATCTCGAGATCGGACGCCCGCAGTTTGGGGCCGGAGTGGTACCAGCCGATCAGCTTTTCCCTCGCGTTGACCTTCTTGAACATGTCGTTCATTCCCTCGACGTAGTTGTGGTCCAGGAACCACACCGAGGGGTCTTTGTCATCTTCCTCAAATGGCACTGCATCCAAGGGTCAGCCTCGCAGAGATGGCCTAGTTGTATGGCATTCGCCAAAGTTGCCCTTACCTGCGAAACTGTTCGATACGCGGACATTGTTGCCATCATTTGATCCCAGCAGGACACCAACCACTCTTCGTTTCGATCCCTTGACTACCGCGCGGTTGTAGTGGTCGACGACGGAAAGAAGCACGAGAGGGGCAACGGATACATTCCGCTGGACGAGAGACAGAGTCTCCGCGGTGGTGGCAGGCATGATAGAGGAGGTCTCGTAGCTTCGTGGGTTCGATTGGGTCGGGTTCGTAGGGAGATGGAGGTTTGGTGAGGCGGCAGTGAATTTGGTTTGAGGTGGGTGTAATAAGGTAAGGCTGGGTATGTGGTGGAGGTGGTGGTGTCGTAACTTCTGAGGCTGCCTTCCCGTCCAGCTAAGCTACGAATCGGGCTTAGGTGCAAGCAGTTGGAAGCTCGAGCCTTGCCAGATCACGTGGACGATGTGGAGCTGAGTCAGCTAGACATGAGCCACAATCTCGGAGCTGCAAACAGCGCCCAGCCACAGGACGGGCCGTGCGAAAATGCCAGTGAATGAAAGCGCACGTCCGATGTTTATTCACGATATGACCCGGACAGTTCGAGTCCGCAATCGGCCTGCGAGAATCTATCCTTCCCGTGCTCAGTGAGTCGCTCAGTGAGGAACTTGACGACGGACTCACTTCCGTCAGAAACAAGTGACAGGCAACAGTCGAAGTCAAGTGAGACGCTCGGAGAATTGCGGGTGACTGGGATCACCCCAAGAGACTCACATGCCGCATCGAAAAGCACCAAACGACACTTGGGAAACAAAAATCCTGACCCAGTGACCTCATACATGGCGTCCCATCCGGTGCGCCGGGGGGCACTCTCGAGAGCTTCTGATGCCGTGCCTTATCCGCAAGCTACCTAGCCGGCCGTAAAAGGCCCCAATCGCTCGCGGTACTATCCCCCGATGTAGACGGTACGTATCCGCGCTGGACCTCGGCGGAGAGGCAACGGCGAGAGCGAGCCAATGGCAGCCGGAGCGCTGTAACGGAAGCGCACGCCGTGGCACCAAGGCGGAAATATGGAGGGCGCTGTTACGCTGCGAAACAGCCGAACGAACGCCTGCCACCCTGTTCCCCAGCAGAAAGTCCAGCGGTCCCTCGGGGCACCAATCTGACCAATGACCAGCCTTCCTTGCTGCACTGGGGCCGCTCGGTGGTCTGTCACCTGCACTCAACGGGGCCATGGAAGCGCAAAGCTCGGTACGATGTAGGTGGTACCTGGCACAACTGGAGGCGGAACCTGGGCGATTTGGCCTGCCAGGACCTTGCAGCGCTTTCTCAACCTCTCTCGCAATCATTTTTCCCGCAAAGCTTTAGTTCGCACTGCTCCCCCCAGTCCAACCTCGACCTCGACTCGATCATCCTCTCCTCTCCTCTCCTCCTCCTTTTCCCTCGTAGACACACTCGTGCATCTCTTTGCTGTTCCTCCCTCCTATCGCTAGCCTCGGTCCGGCCAAATCAACACCTTCATCAATCGTCAAAATGAGCAGTCTCGTTGAGGAAGCAGTCAAGAAGCTGACCAACACGGTCGAGAGCCTCGAGTCCAGAATCAAGTCTCTGGAGGACCGCGCAGCTGGCGGTTCCGGCAAGCTCACCACCGATGAGGTTCGCATGATCCTCATCGGTCCCCCCGGTGCCGGTATGTAGCTCCAATTGAGCATTTTCGCACGTCCTGTTGCGTCGCCGGCGGTGGTACTGATGATGATGTTCCGCACAGGCAAGGGCACCCAAGCTCCCAAGATCAAGGAGAAGTTCAACTGCTGCCACTTGGTAAGTCAATTGATCTCGTCTGTGATTGCTACTATGCTCTAAATCATTTCTAATCGTGTATCACACTCGCAGGCCACTGGCGACATGCTGCGATCCCAGGTCGCCAAGAAGACTCCGCTCGGCCGGGAAGCTAAGAAGATCATGGACCAGGGCGGTCTTGTTAGTGATGACATTGTCATTGGCATGATCAAGGAGGAGCTCGACAACAACAAGGAGTGCAAAGGAGGGTATGGCGCATCTTTCTCATGCCAAAGAGCCAGCTGGACGGCCTGAAGGCTACAGGACACTGAGTAAGCCTTGCTAACTGGAACTCGGTAGTTTCATCCTCGACGGTTTCCCTCGTACCGTACCCCAGGCCGAGGGTCTCGACGCCATGCTCAAGGCTCGCAACCAGACGCTCCAACACGCCGTCGAGCTGCAGATCGACGACTCATTGCTCGTCGCCCGCATCACTGGCCGCCTGGTCCACCCGGCCAGCGGTCGCAGCTACCACACCACCTTCAACCCTCCCAAGGAGTACATGAAGGACGACATCACTGGCGAGCCCCTGATTCAGCGCAGCGACGACAACGCCGATGCCCTGAAGAAGCGTCTTGCTACCTACCACTCTCAGACCGCCCCCGTCGTCGGTTACTACAAGCAGACCGGCATCTGGAAGGGCCTCGACGCGTCGCAGCAGCCCGGCCAGGTGTGGAAGAACATGCTTGAGATCTTCGATGAGCAGCGCAAGGGTGGCCACGCCTCCGGCATCCTGAGCCGCATCGCCGGAAAGAACTAAGCGGGCACGGGCTCCTAGCCTTTGCTCCCGCCAGCGCGCCGCCCGTCCACAGCCCCACGGCCGCACACGATAAGACGGTCAACGAAAAAGCGGAAAAGGTCTTGCAACGTTTTCCTTTTTGGCCCTCTATCAATCAGGAAAAAAGCTACGACCAGAAAAAGAATGGCGTGGATCGGAGGAACTTATTATGGGACTTTTTATGGATCATGGAATGGACTGGAAATGATTCATCCTCGTCCTCCCCCGAAGGTGTTGTGATCAACAGGACTGGCTGGTTTTGTCTTTTACGTCAACGTGGCCAGACTTCTCGCATTTTTTCCCTCTCATCCTCGTCCACAATCGCCGAAGGATCAGTTGTACCGTGTAGAAAACCCCCTCCATCGCACGCTTGTATGTAAAAACACAACTTTATTGTCTGACTAATAACCAAAACCGGCGGTTTGCAGTTGGATGGCCTCGCAATAATTTGTCCCCATGGCTATGCGGTCTCTGCTTGTTACGCGTTTGCTTACAGTGCCTACGCCAATGTGAACTCCTTCTTTGGGACAAGATTGGAGGAATTTTCCTGAATTGCGACGCAGACAGCCGGACGCGTAGAAAAGGAACACGCTGGCCGGATTCGGGCTTCGTCGGTACTTCTCAAAGGGGCGAAAGAGTGGGGCCGCGGACCCCGATGCCGACCCACCCCGTGTCCTCCGATTGTAGAAAGCGGGATTGATCAGTTGCCCACCCCCCCGCCATCAAACATCCGGAAATTCCGACTGGCCAGCTACCAAGTTCACGCGTCGGAGCTGCGAATGCCAATGACAGAATTTGAAAGCTCAGATCCACGACTTTCAAAGTCTGAAAAGGGGGGCTTCATGAGAGGATGCCGATGCCGATTCACTGACCAACGCTTGAGCTCTCTATTATGCAGGTCCGGAATATTCGGGTACTGGCCGCTCCGCTGGCGAGCGGTCCGCGAAGCAGCCGGTGGACCGGTATGTCCACCAATGCAAAATGCGAGATGATACGTCCCGTTGGCGAATATGCCCAGTCACTTCAATACGCCAAGATCATGAGGAGGAAAAGATGTGTTGATAAAGAATTCATTCTATCCCAAGCCGCCCCAAAATTTCTGCGTTCGCCAAAACGGAAGACGATAGGCTTGCAAACCTCCCGCACGCTCAAAAGTTATACATAAAAGATGAAGAATATGAAGCTGCACGGAAAAAGACTTTGATAAAAG